GTCGGTCAGGCATACGATACGTTGGCGTTGTTTATTTGGGGGAGCGGTGACAAACTTTGTTGGTTGTTGAGGTGTGGATTTTGGGGGGAGGGGGGGGTCTCCATGGTAAGTGGGTGTGGGCTGCCTAACGACCAACCCGCTACTGTGTACTATCAATGACAAATTCCCAAGAACAACAAAAAAGACCACAAAAAAAACACACGCACAGGAAGGCCCGGGGGATTTCCAGAGGGCTGAACCCGAGCCAGGCTTCCCCGGCTCGCCAGCGAAATCCCCACCCCACGCGCACGCCCATGGCCCATATCCACACGCTGTCCTGGGCGCAATTATCCCTCCCTCCCCCCATCGGCCGTCAAATCGGCACTTTGATCATCCCCGTGTCCATCACCGCGGATTCCAGCCCTGGGTCCAACGCGCTCACTCACTCGTCATGAGGCAGAGTCCGAGGGACGGGGCGCCGCCCGCCTGGGTCCCGCTCGAAAGTTTATCAGGATGGTGGTGGTGGTGGTGTGCGCGCGTGTACCCGTCAAACAGAGTTTTGGAAATCGTGAGTTACATGATCTGTGCAGTGGTTGCGACTCGTGGGCGAACTCTCTTAACCTCACGGCCAAAGCTGCTGGAGCAGCGAGCTCACTCGTGGCAACATGAGACGAGAAAAGAAGGGCTATTCACCAAAGGCTAGGGGGAAGAACTCATGTTTTGCAACCAGCAAGGTGTTTGTTGAAATGCCAATTTTTAGGCTTTTTCCCCCTTCTAAGCTTCGCCAGCTTGTCAGAAAGTGTGTAGCTAGCGTACATCTGAATCCTCTCCCTCCTCTGTGGGTAGAGTATCGTACATCAGCTCCCAAATGAGCAAATCTGATCTATCGACGTAGACCACAAAAGTAGGGAAATATACAATAAGTTATAGTGTAAGCGAGTGCTTCTCGCGTGGGAACAGTTTTGCCCACCAGCCTTGGGGGGAAGAAACACCTCTCCACCCTATCCCATCTGATCCTGAAAACAATAGACCGTGAAGCGCCCGTGAAAATGCTCCCAACAAGCGCGAAGGCGCGGAAAATAAGCCCCGACTCAACGCCTGTACCGTGGGAAAGTCCAAAGAATGTTTTGTTGCGGAGTAATAAGGGCCCGCTCCAAACCCCGCCACCAGCCTCGCCGTCTGGTGGTCGAGAGAAAATCCTCTGGCCCGTTTGTTGCTTTGGTATCATGCCAGGTTGCCTCCCAGTGCCACTCAGCCATCCCGTGCCAGGTATTGCGCATAAAAGAGCATACCGCGAGGTATCCGTCCGTCTGATCATCCCATCTTTTTCAAAGTACCCTTCGTAGACATGTGGCGCACCAATTAAATGTACGTAGTGGAATAAGCTTTTGTGAATCGAAGTCGTCGTCGTGACGAGACATTATCTCTCTCTCTCTGTCTCCTCTTCTCTCTATGACATCAGAGGTGATCCATTGCTGCTGGTCTCAAAGTTGTGGCAGCCGCGCTCGTGTCTCTTCATGTTGCTGCGAACGCTGAAGGCCTTGCCGCAGCCGGCGTGAGGGCACTTGAAGGGCTTCTCACCGGTGTGAGAGTGGCTGTGGATGCGCAATGAGCTGGGCCTGGAGAAGGCCTTGTTGCAGGTCTGGCAGATGTAGCGATCCTGGGACTGAGGGAAAGACGCCGCTGAAGATGGCGAAATGTAGTGGTGGTGTTGCCAGGGGTTCGAGCCGGTTGAGGGCATCGCAACGCTGAGTGGCATGGGAGGGAATGCCTGAATAGAATGTGAGTTTGGAATCATTTTTTTTTTATGATTCAGTGCCAAGATACTTACATGAGGCAGAGGCCTTTGGTAGTAGAGACCAGAGACCTGCGGCTGTGGTGGTGGTGTGGGTTGCATAGCTGGGTAGTAAGATGCCATCGCTGGTGGTCCCATGTAGGATGAGGCTGCGAAGGCAGACTGAGCGTAGGAAGGCGCTTGGATTGGAAGTCGGGGAGCCATTTGTTGTTGGCGGTGAGCCTCAGACTCCACATGTCCCATTGCAGGTGCCGCGTCGTAAAAGTAGTTTGAGGCGGCTGATAGTTGGCTCACAGACTTTGTCGACGGTGAGTGGTAACCTTCGAATGAAGCATCAGAAGACATTGGCGGCGTCGGTGGGAGCGCACCGCTGCGGGCAGCGACATTATTGTAGTGCGAAGAATCAGGGCGCGCATCAGCCTTGTGTGATGAAGCTGGCCGGTATGTCAGTGGCCGTTGAAACTGGTCGCGTCGGTGCCTCTTACCTTGTTGCGACGCCGGAGAGTGTTCGGTAGTCGGCGACCCTCCATCGGCCAAACCAAGTAGGTTGGAGATTGAGGGCAGGGAACATTTCGATGTCTCATCCATTGGGGGCGATGGTGGCCCTTGAGGTTGTCCGTAGGCGTAGTGTGCACTGGGTTGTGAGGCGTAGTGATTTGACATCATCATTGTTGCCATTTCTGTTGTGATTAAAAGGCTTCCCTCGCGGAGGTGAAGTGAGACTGTTGTGTGTGTGTGTGTACGGGCCGCAGCAAAGAAATAATAAAACTAATATTATCCAAAGTAAGATGGGTTGGTTCGACAGTACCAGATCTGCGAGAAGATTGAGGCTGGGACTGATGTATGTTTATGTTGAGATGTCAAAGGAGCAGGACGAGTGCCGAGGACAGGATGTGGGAGTGGTGGATATCTTATGTAGGTGACGACGAAGACAAGCCCGATGTGGGAATGGCAGGGCAGGTTCAAGGGCAGAGAGGGATGCTAATGAGATCTCCCGAAGTAGAGAGGCAGGGACGATCAAGCGTAAATCGATGACCGTTGATCCCTGGACGCGGATGCCGCAATAGCAGCTGTCACAAATTATGTGTGGGTCACCCTCTTTGTTCTGTGAGGTTACGACAAGACCTTGGACGGAGGGGACTCTCAGCAAGACGCTGGCCCCAGGTACTCGTGCGTAAACGAGGTGTACCCTCGAGTTCCCTCTGACTCGGGACGTGATCGGGGTGATCCTTAGCGGTGCTTTTGCATGGCGGACCCGTCCAAGAGCCCCCTGCCGAAAGCCCCTGGCTGCCACGATCGCAGGCAAGGGTGGTGGGGAACATGTCTGCAGACAAGGGTCCGACGAAGCGGTCGAGTGTCATGGTTGCTGCCGGGGGTCGGCCATGATGTACCCCATGTATCTGATGTACCTGGAGCTTTGGGAGAGAAGATCGGTCTGAAGAACATGACTTGCAAGGATCTGCATTGGATCCGCTCCCGGACACTGGGAACCAAACGGCTGCCCGCCAACCCGACCTGTTCCTGTGCCTAGGAAAGTGTAGGATCATCCCAAGCTGACTCCATTGATGGAGAGCAGTGTGCCATAGTAGTGGGCTCAGATGGGGTGGAGGAGAGAGGGTGGTGAAGACACGAAAATCAGGTTGGCAGAGGTGCCGAGTTGCGACGAACACGTCCATCCAGCCCGCCAAGCGAATTCAACGTTCAGGCTAGCCCGAAGGAGTAGGATGCAAGGCTTTGTCATGGGCCACCTTGCCTGTTGTGGTCTCGCTGCCGTAGTCCCAAGTTCGACGACAGTCTGTGAGGAACCTTGCTCGGACGGCAGGGGTATCCCGTCCCATCCACCACACACTTGAGACGAGCAGCGACCGGATTGTCCCTTTGCCTGATAGTGTTTGAGGCCCCAAAAGCTTCATCAGTGCTGTATGGGCTTGGGCTGCGACCGGATTGACCAGCCATCTCAATGCCGTCCTGCCCTGCTAAAGCTGTCATCTCAAACCTGTGGACGTACTCCTACCAGTGTTCGGATGACCGCTGTCGCCGTTCCAGAACATCAGCCCTGTCTCTGCCTAGCGGACTGCTTGCTCTTCCCAGACGCAGGTCTTCCAGCCACATTCCGCCATCCGGCTCGTCGAAGCCAAGGGCTTGAGACCGTGGGCTTGCTTGGTACGGATTGTCGGATCTCTTGCTGGTGGATCGAAAGATCGACAACAAATTCTCCTGGCCCGCAAACAACAACATGCAACTTCGTCACGGGGATGCGAGTGAAGGATGTGCTGCACGATGCATTCAGCCAGTGGTGAGAGACCTATCGATGCGCCATGCGTGAGCTGAGGGTCTCATACCCCACGCGACTGCCGCAATAGTTAGACGCCCGACAGGGACAGTCTGCCATCGCCGTCACACAGCGCGCCTGGCGGGCGTCGTCCTGTGCAAGTGGGCGCGCGACTTCTTAGGCAGTTCAGACAAGGCCTCATCATTCATCCGTTGTGCTGTAGTGGTCTGGCAGCAGGGTTCGTGAGTTGACCGATGCGTCCCACGTGAGAGAACACTGTAGTTTCCACGGGGCACAATTAAGCTTGAGTGAACTTGGGTGGATTTCCACATGGGTGAAAACTTGGTTGAGGCTCTGATCTCCGTATTACTGTACCTTGGTACGTGATGACCCGCATGGGGGTGATGAGACGCGGTCCTCCAATTCTCAAACACTCTTAACCCAGGCTAATGTTTTCTCCTCAAGAAACGACCGGCCGGGGTTTCGAGACTTGGGAAACAACGGGTAACAAGAAGGTCGAAAAAGTTTAAGCCGACATGTTGCGACTGTCGTCTTGGTGCCTGCACCACCCGGGGTGTCCTTCTCTTGCCCCTTAACACGGGTCGAATATGCTTTAATTGGGGCCCCGCGATCGACGAGGAGGAAACGAAGAAGTCATCGTGGAGGGTAGGGGTCGTACAGGGTGTCTTCTGTGGACGAGTCGCCTCCAGGTGGGTTGCGGAGCGCAGAAGGCATAAGATTGGCCTTGTGTTCCGAAGCTTCCGTTCCCCAAGCTGGAGGTGTCATGGCCACTTCTGGGACAGGCACGGTCTGAGGACGACAAGGCGGGAGTGGGCTGTAAGGCTTAATGTTGCCAGACGATCGACTCTGACGTCTTTCATCCAATGCTGTGTCCAAGACGCGTTGATACAGTGGCACGATGCATCCCAATGCCGAAGATGCAGCCATGCAAACATGGCGCCAATGCTCATGCCATCCCATCGTCGGTGACGGGCAAGGCCATTGCCTTCGGTTGACACAACACGACTCGACTCGACTCGACACGACAGGAACGTGAAATGCGAACCGTGAACATGACACCTGGCACGTGAGTGACATGCACAGTATGCACGCATCGCTCGCGCAGACACACTAGCAGTTTCCAAAGTGACCTTGCGGTGAAGGGCTGGTGATGATCGGCGAGAAGAGCCAAGACATCGGCAAAGCAGAGTAGAGGTGAGGGTGGGCATGGTTTTGTCACCGAAGGGGGTCAGAACGTGTCTTCCAGGGTTCCTGTTCAAGGAGCTTCTATGTGTACATGTACAATGCAGGCCATGTCTCTACGGTCTGTACCTGCCCAAATCCAAATGCAAATGCAAATGCAAATGCAAATCCATCGTGACTGTCGTGACTGCCGTGGCTGTAAGGTTCGGTGTGGGGTGTCTCATACCTTCCCGCAGAGGCCATCGGCGCCATCGCCAGCCGTCCTGAGAAGGAAGGGGTGCAGGGTAATAGGAACGGCGCAACTCCCACCCGCTCCAAGCATCCTTCACAACAACGTCGCATTCTGGAAGCCCTGCAGCAAACCACCACCATCGTCATTTCTACTGTGCTGCGCTGCGTTGCGCTGCACTACAACAACTACATGACAATCTCTGTGTCGTCGACCGTCTTCGCCCCAGACGATCCTCCTCAATTGGGCCGCGCGAGATCGACTCGGATCGGTAGGATCGCGGAGATCAAGACCTGACCCAAGTGCCGTGACCATTGGGGGGCTTTCGAGCAACATCCAGGATCCCGTCTAGCCTCTGCCCAGCCCGAGGAAGTCTCAGAGGTACTTCACTCGTACTTTCGGAATGTGGTTTGGCCTGGGTAGGATTTGAGCCCTATATTGTACGGCACATATAATGCCTCCTTGCACCAAGCTGGAAACATGCGACTCGACGTCGATCCCGTGGCGCCGCCTTAGCCCTCGTCGCTTAAATGCAGGTGTGCATCTCATCAGACCTTAGCGGCTCGCCGAAGCCACCAGTCAGGAGGGACGAGATTGGATTGGCCTGATTGGGTGCGAACCATGGACTGCTCTGCTTTTCACAACCGATGCCGTCCACCGGTGGTCGAGGGCTTTCACGGCTCCCCTTCCAGCAAACGACTGAACTGTCGACACCTTGTCTGTGCACGACAAGATGCTCCGGTCGGCTGTCGCTGGGCCAAATGACCGTGAATAAAACCGGCCGGGGCGTGGACTTCAGATTAGCCTACCCGTGGCTTGTGACTAAGGGCTCGGTCATTCCAAAGGAGGCAAAATCGTGCATCCGCACCCGCCTGCGTCGTCATCCTCGATGGTTGGGTCACCGAACGGCTACGGTTGTGGATCTTGGCAGGGTCGACGTGCTGCGCGGAAGCAACAGTCTCCGGGCGTCCTGAGGCTCAAATGCAGTGCAGGGTCTCTTCAACCTGCCGCCAAAGCGGCGTCGCTGAGGACGAGCCCAAGCTCACAGACCTCGCTGCGACAGGTCCTGAAGCCTTGGCATCCTCTCAGACTTGGCACCATGCATTGCGGTCCTGAAGCCCAGTTTGTTACGGAAATTGGATCGCCCGCTACCCTTACATTCTGTTATGACGCCCTTGTCTCAACGCCCTCCCTGCCTCTTCACTTGTCGATCACTGCTCCAGGATTCCAGTTTTCCGCCAACGTCTATTGGCCTCCTGTCAGGTGCGCACCGGCCATCATCCCATCCCTCTGCTGCCGAGACGCACGTTTTCAGCCTTGCTGTCAGCGATGTAATCACCACGCGACCTCAACATCCAGATCCAGAACTTTTCATTCCGATACGACGGGATCAACCTTCTTCACGGATCCGCCTAAACCTCATTGTGCTGGGCCAATGTCACTCTCTAGCTTTTCTGTCTAAGGAGCCGACATTACGAACCACGATGTGCAAACCATCCTGCTCCCAGCTTCAACTCTGGAGTACGGTATGATTGTGTTTAGCCTCATTCAGGCGTGGAATTACAATTGAGATTGAGGCGATATCCCTCGAGTTGCATCCAGCGGTGGTGCCGCTGGTATTCGAAATTGACAGACGGGGTTGATCATCAATGACTGCTCCCGCCCTCTTTCTTACGAAATTAGGATGGCCCCGCCGGCAAGAGCCCTCAAGGTTGGCTCGGGTCGCATTTTCTGCGAGGCAAATGATGATGGGCCACCTGCCGATCATTCCCGACATGGTCACTGGAGATTTGGATGGGCCACGATGGCTTTCCCCTTTCGGCCTGCTGGGGCAACTGGGCTGATGAGATGGGTCAACCTCTCCCAGATTCATTCTCAGCTACGCGCCATGCCTCTAATCGCGGCAGAATTAATCCTACCATATCCTCTGCCCTGGGAAATTTGACGCTGCCAGAATAGACACTCTTGACTCGACATTGGCACGATCTCAAGTCGAAACCTTCCGAGGAAAAACTCAGATCAAGATCACGAGATCTCAATCTGCCCAATTAAAAGGGATTAACCTTGAAGGTCCAGGGGGGGGCCAACTCTAAGGACAGACTAGGAATGAACTCATCCAGGAACATCAGCGAGCTGCTCTGTCAGTCTATCGTTATGGGCTAGATGGGAACGGTGCGTAATTGTGAGCTTCCAGAAAATCTGCATTTCTCCGCAAGCTCCTCTCCCGGCAGTCCCGGGCACGTGTCGGCTGGAGCCTTTGAAACTAAGTTTCCCCAGGCCCGCCCAGCCCCTCGACTAATTTCATCACAGCACAGTTCTTACAACGGCTGCAACTTTACTCCCAGCGCCGTTGACCTTAAAAAGCCAGGCGCTGTGGAGTTTTTTTGGCACTGCAACATCACTTGGTTTCCTAGCTGCGAACCGCCGATCATTCGCCGACAGGGCAATGTCAGGCGGCATGACTCCTTTGTCCCTAGTGAATGCTGCGGGGCCTCAGTCTCAGGAACTCATTGCTGAGGGCATCGTCTTGGACCCAAAGGAAATGTCCTGGAAATCCTTGAAAATCCAGGCAAAGGATGGCTCTCAGCATTTCAAGTTGATCCCACGATCAGTCGGATCGGTGCACAGGCCAGCCGACTTGGATGAGCCCTGAAGCTTGTCGAGCGGGTCTCCGGCTTTTTTGGCGATCAGTCAGGGAGCCCCTGCTGAAGATCTGTCTTCTTGCAGCGGTGATGGTTGCGGCCGCGGAGCGATTCTGGAAACGTCACTTAATCGGCGTTCTCCTTTGCTTTGTAACCACGTATTAGGTTGAAGCATCATGGAGCGACTGGAAGCGCAGTCTGGTTTTGTGTCCTCTGGCGAGCGCAGACCAACGGCGCGAACGATTTGACGATGACATACGACTGTCCGTATTGGTTGTCATTTAAATCCCTGACGATGATCTGCGGGCCATTGTCGATCGCTCCAACCCAAGGGCCTGACAGATCGATTTGCAGCCTCCTGAAGTCGGGCTACCCAGGCTAATCGTCATTGTGGCCTGATTTGATCCTTCGGCTGTTCTGTTGGCTGGTCTGTTGGCTTCATCGGTCTGCATCGAAACCCCCACAATGTCAACTTGGCTGAACTCTCTCAAGTCTTCGGTTTAGATTTTTCCGACGCGATTGTCTTCGCACCAATCCAAACAAGACCCACGATATGACGAGGAACCAAATAAAGGAAGTCGTCTCTCCAGGTCATGAATGGAAGCCGCTCGGATGGCTTGGAGATGCACTCGCCACAGCCGCCACGACCAATGTCTTAGAGCTGCGTGGTCTGTGGGGACGAGTGAAATACCATATGAGGCCTAGAATGACGCGTGGCCAACGGGTAACTTTATGGGAAGAAGTCTTGGGCGTATTTTGAGCCTATTGCAACGACACACTGTCTCAGTTACCGAGAGTCTTCGGGGTTTGGCGATACATGACAGGATCACCACACCGCTGTGCTGCCATAGACTTCAGTGGATAACAGCCTTAGGAAGCGGCACCTATGCAATCCTGCCTGTTGAATCGGCTGTGGACACTACTCCGATGTTGTGGATTGTCGCACTGCTTTGGGAATGGGAGAAAGCGAAGTGTAAGAAGCTGGAGTCTGTCAGCGTGGGATGCCAAGGGCGCCTACCACAGCGTGCCGTTGATCATCTCCCGCAAGTCTCTTTCCGTTTATAAGTGGGATGCCGTCCCTTGATTCCGAACATGCATCATTGCATGCATCACGGTATGCCATCGGTTGCAGCGTACTATCGGCTCAGCTGCGTTCTGGCTTGCCACAAGCTGGCCTACATTGGAGTAACAAATCAGTTCGACCAGTCCAGCCTACAGCGAATACCCTAAAATGTGTGGACGAGGTTATGAGGCGCAATGATCATGAACCAGCTATTTCCAATCGCGGACATCAGGGGCTCTCCCACTGGGCATCCTGACCTGCAGCTGTGGGAGATACCGGCAGAGCAATGCAAGGCTCGTACAAAGTCGGCTGTAGAAGGCGGAAGTCATTGGCTCCCAACACATGCATCTCAGTAGCCAGCCAGTGGGGGCTACTAATGCGTTGTGGCCACCACTTCCAGCATGGCTCATCAGTTGCCTAAATGGATTCACAGACTCTTGTGACACGCATGTCCTCACGAACCCAGGGCGTCAACCGTTCCGGCACACTGGCATCGCTGTCGACGAGTCGACTTTGCTGTCTTAATTTTTTTGTACCCCTTCTTCTATCGTACCGGCTTGGATACTCCAGGTTCGCAGCTCAGCGACCGCAGACCACAACGTCACGCTGTCCGTGATGTCGATCGTGTGACGGGTTGATTCCACAGGTATATCAAGACACATTATGCGTCTATCCCACCCACCCTCCTAGTACTGATAGCACCGCAGGTGGAGATCACCCGGATGCCAGGCATGGATCTTCCCGAGCCGAAATTCCTGTACTCAGCCTACCAGTCTTTGCCCGGACAGGTTGACAGGTTATCCAAGGGTGTATTCTACTTGTGAGGTGGGCGATCACGACATCTCGTTCCTGTCCAATGCTTGATATAACGCCTGATTTTAGCCCACCAGCGTTGACGGCAAACGAGGAACATTGAGGAAATGAGCGTACATTTGATCAGGTTGGCATGATGGCTTGCCTCGAGCATCGACCTTTGTGACTGAGTCTTGGTCTGGGCCTCACAAGGCTTTCACATCCACTCCCGTCCTGCCCTTTCTCCTATAATTCTAGAAACCGGACCGGGCCTGTTTGATTCTAGCCCTTTCCGTCGAGAAATATCAAGCGCTTGTTGCCCAAAATTGACCCAAGCTGCGAAGCTGACTACCCCTTACCACCATCGCAGGAAAGCTGACTGCAATGTAACGAGCCTGATAGGGCCGGAGATCGAAGGGGTACTGCACACCTTACATGTAATCCCACGGCGAGTAATGAGGGAGATGCGGCGACGAGTGGGGGCATGGCCACGTCTCCATGTTCGATGACTGGCTGGGTTTGTGATTTTCAACCGCAGGAAGCGCATCCATCCAGTCGGCGACCCACGAGCCGGATTAAGCAGGTCATGAGTGCGTTCCCAGTGGATCGGTTCGCCTTGTCGAGTCTTATCGGGAAGCTGCAGGTGCTTCATCCTTTTCGATGCACACGTACGGACTGCCAGACTGTACAGCGGCTTCGTGAGGAAGCACCCCGAGACAACCCCGTCGTGACATCGGTTGGAATCGTGGAGAACGCTACCGCACACTTTCCGTCAAGAATGTCGGATGACATCAAGATTGATCACCGTGGGCTCGAGGACAGCGTTAGCCTTGCAAAATCCCGCACTCATAATCTTTCGGTCAGCACATCAGATCTCTGCTGGTGGGATCCCCATCCGACCCAGTTTCCACGTCGGATTCCCTCCTGACGAGCGGACTACACTGCAACGTTGGATGGATCCAATGACGAGGCCGAGCGACTCACTGTCCTGAATGATCCTGAACGACGATCATCAGACAGAGTATGGCTGTCAGCCTTTGCTTCACAGCCAGCTAATCAAACTCTGCATGCTTTGGTCACATTTTGTCTGCATGAAGGACCTGCCTACGGCTTTGGGGCCTTGGGGGCCAAGGGCTGAACCAGTGGTCAGAAAGTGAGCTCGCCAAGCATCCACCAGAGATCTCCCGCCGGATCATCATCCAGGCTCATGTGTATTGATGCCAGGTTCCAATAGCCCCCTCGTGCTTGATTTTGGCACAACCGTTGTTTGCCTTGTCTTGTGCAATGAGGGAAGTGAAGTGGGCGTACTGTCTTGACGTGGATGTGCCTGGGGCGGATTCATCAAGAATGTCGGGCCGTACAGGAGCCACGAGTGACACCTTGAATCAAGGGACATCCCCTGCCGCCCACCCCACATGGGATCTGGAGGATTGATTTGCCCATGTGAACCAGGGTCGCCAACCTCGCTTCTGCCGATCACCTCCAGGATTGTTTAGACGAAGCCAATCATTCTACCGGTATCGCCGGTGAGTTTTCTCTCGGGACAAGGGAGAACTGCAGGGCAGTGGCAGCTGTCTGTTTGTATGTTTATGTACCTCGTGCTGTGAGAGACGATGATCTTCACAGGCATAAATTTGGATGGCCAGCCACATGGTGACAGCGCCATTTGACAGCGACAGCGGGATGCTGCTTCTTTTTACGCGCGCTGGTTGCTCGATGAGGATTAGATTCAGCCACTAAGGCGCGTTCCATGGTAGGACGGTGCTCTTTTATTGCTTTCAATCTCTCTCCAAAGCCCGAAGGCTCTGCTTTTCTTGTACCATATCAGGGTCACTATTCGTTATCGCCGCCGTTGATCATCGCAAGATGAAACACTAAAGATCCATGATGGCGCACTTACAAATCCCGGACCACACAGGAAAACGACATATCCAGTCTGCCAGTCTATGGTCAGCAGGTTCACTGCCGTCGAAATCTGACGATGCGTTTCGTTGCAGATTTGTACACAGTACATTTCGTGCATCGACTCGGCTGTCAGGCAGATCCGGTACCCACACGTACGACTCAAGCACTGACCGCCAGAACGTGCAGTGCCAGGGTCCTGCTGGAATAAGGTTCTTCTTGTGCTTTTCTCGTCTACAGAGTTGCAGTGCGCCGGGGGGCCTCGTGCCAGATCGGGACAGCTAGCAAACTCCCCGCTCTGTGCTTGCAAAGCCTTCCATAATCATCATGGACGACAGTGTGGATACATCGCGTGCCCTCGAGGCAGCCCTTTTTTCGCAGCCCCGACGACCGTTGCGACCTGACGAGTTGGCGCCCCCCACGGCTGCGCCTTGGGGTATCGTCATGTACCACTGACGTACTGCTGTGTATGTATCCTTTTACTTCTTCCTTCCCACGTTCTCTTTACTGGGTCTTCCTCCGAGACATGGAGTAATGGCGGCTTTCGCTACCGAATTAACAACGGCAGCAGAGCATGGACGCTTTGATTGCCAAAGTGATGCTCTGGGACTTTTGTTCTGCGTGTTCAGCTCCTCTGCTGGCCCTGCTGCCGTCAGACGCAGTTGTTTCTTTTTCCACGCACCTGACGAATGTCTGCCGCCGGTCGGACGGAACGATTGCTTTGGTCGCCGGCCCATTGCCCATTTTTGGACCGAAAGGGCCGTCCCCGCAGGTAGGGTCCCGGACGCCAGCCGGCACAGCCCACGTTTGCTTTTTTTGAATCTGCACTGGTGATCGTCATTCCCGGGGGACACTGCAGCCGCCGCAGCACCGCGTGGACATCGTGCAGGCTGGTGGGACGGGTCTATGGAGTACATCAAAAAGGTACCAACCACAGTGTTTTCGCGGCCTGCTTGCCCCTCTGTGGTATGGTGTGGCGGTGAACTCGATTCCACCTCGACGGCAGGGCTGTCTCGGTTGGGGTTCGCCCATTGCGCAAGCCCAATAAATAAATGATCACACTTTTTGCCAACACCACCACCATCAACTTGGGTCCCGTTATCGTGGCAGCAGTGCCTCGAAACCGGCCCCACCAACGGCGACTATCGGGTGGGCTTTGAGAGGCGCGTTGGCGCTTTCGAGCTTGTCGACGTGTCCCGCTCATCTTGCGATCTGGGTCACCCAATGGCTAGCGTCGAATGCTTTGTGGTGTGGCAGTCATGATTTGGCGCTCTGCGAGATGGATGCCAGGTCATGAGGGAGTTTGCTGGTACAGGGCACTGGTCTTCCTTTTCCTGGTGACGACGCGCAGTCAGACAGACAACCAACAGACTAGCAGCAAGTCTTTTTGCACACACCTGCACAGTAGTCTAGGCACAACGAGACCAGGCCCCACACGCAAGCGGCAGATCGACCACCAGACAAGGCTCCTGCTGCTGCAAGCTAGTTGACCGGGTTCCAGGGTCGATGACTAGTCATCCAGTCCAACAGCTTGGTAAGAATTGGAGGAGGGGGGGCCGCAGCCATGTAATCCCGTACCGGCTTTTCCAGAAGCACCTCCTCGAGGCACGAGCCCAAGCTTCCTGCGGCGCTATATTGGCCTCATATCCGCCAACCTGACTCTAATGTGCAATAGACCGGGAAGGCAGCTCGGAAATGTAGCCTAGCATCTTAGATCGGATCTGGTATAGACGCCTCCCTGGCTGGCTAGGTGACAGCTTACAGGGGGGACGCAGTGCTGGCAGGGCAAAACTCTCGGTACGGGGACTTTTACGCTCGACGAAACCATGGAACTTGCTACCGATGATGTACAGAGCGGAATGCTACTGCCACGAGGCAAGAATGAAAAATTGCCCGGGCGGAGGGGCGAACAACGCTCGTGCTTTGGCACCAACAAGTCTCTACGCAGGAGATGCGATTGGACGCCAGGCCGAAGAAGCTGTCTCGAAGGTGCACCGGCCTCTGGGCCGTCTCACAAAGAGACAGGCCGCGGGTCTCGTGTTCCATCTTACCGTACCGGACTTTATGAGGGGATCTACGCCGATGTCTAACTTGTATCCAAGGCCCTTACCTACAGCTTCTACCCAGCATGGCGCTCCCGTCCAGCGGGCGTGGCTTGCGGCCCTGGCGGAATGCAGGGCCGGGGATTTGAGACCCGGGAGGCTAAATAAGCAAAAGCATCAAACCAAGTACGCCAGCCGGCAAAGGGGAAAAAGGAAGAGGAAGAGCAGAGGAAGCGTGGAAAAGGAGAACGCTCAAGGGGGTTCAGAACCACACTTAGGTAGGGACGTTGAGCCATGGCGTGGCCAGCAACTGGCTCCCCTTTTCCTTTCAACACGGGGAATAAATTGCCAAAGCAAGCCACAATAACATACTCCCTCTACCTGCGCGTTCCCGATGCGGGGCGTCAACCGATGTGGGAAAAAAAGAAAAAGAAGAAGAGTGTCAGCCACGAGGCTTTTCTCTTTCGTTCGTCCGGGACCCGCGGCCTTTTTGTTTTTTCTTTGCTTTCCTAGAGAGCAAAAGGACCTTCGTCTTCATCTTCTTGCCTGGCCCCCAAAAGTCCGCTCGCCGAGTGCCCTCTTTTCAGGCCTGTTTCTATCTGATACTGCTGAACTCCTGCCTCGCTCGCTCCAGAGCAGCATTCGGCCCGCGAGGCTGTGGCGTACCGTCGTGTCTCTGTCTGGCTGGTCTGGAAAGGCTGGCGATATTGCATGTGGATGCACAGACTCGTCTGTGGTCGCCCATGTCGGGCCGGGTTGCCTTTGGAGCTATATGATACTGGCACACGAGACGTTTATTGCCCGGATATACGTACTGCACTTTATTACAATAAAGTGCCGCACGAGGTGCGTATGGTGTGTGTGTGATCCCTGGTCCTACCCCCGTCATGCACGAATCACTGGTCCCGTCACATCAACCATGGATATGCACATATAATATCGAAAATCAAATTTCAAATGCGGCCGCTCTCTCTTCTCATGAGCTAGCTAGCCTCATTGCAGTAGCTGTATGTACTGCCATTCTTCCTCGTGCCTGGCAGAGACTATACCAAGTCCATCCAGCTGAGTGCAAAATCCAATGTAGGACAGCACACACGAATGAAAACAAAAAGAAAAAATAAGTCGCTCATGATGCCCCCTCCCTCTAACGCCGGTCAACAACAGATGTGGCCTCTTCCTGTGCACAGCTTCAAAAGAAAAGCAATTAGCCTCGCAGGCCAAGCCGCGTCATTTGCGAAGACGGCCAGGCCGTGCCTTGTCATACCAAGGATACGTCCATATCGACGTGTGAACATTGCGAGTACACCGTGACGTCAGGCTGGAGTTCTCGAGTCCAGCACGTGTCGACGCTGCCCAGTCCACGCTGGCTGACCTCGTCAAGCGTTGCTCAAAAGACATGCGTAAAATCCAGGGCCCCTTTTTTCCATGCTCGTTGACAAATGAAATGCGGTTTGTTCTGCTCGGCATCCTGGGCCGCTGAGTGGTTTGGTATCTTCCCCCACACCGTGACATTCATTCTTGCATCGCGATGCTGATCGACGAAAAAAAGACAAAGGAAATGCAGAGTGCTTGTGCTCGCCATCGACCTTGTTGATGATGGAGGCTGCGATTAAGATATGTGCTCCGCTGCAGAATGTTCGCCGTTTAAATTGCGCATCCCATATTCTGACCGGGATGTTGATTATGGTTCATGCACCCAAGTGGGCGAAAGGACATTTTATACAGTTGCGCTGAAACTCAGAGAAGCAGGCTTGAGCCTCTTCACAGTCCCGGAATGGGCTTGGGAATGTGCTTGCTGCGGATCAGGAAGGGGCTCGGCATCTCCTCCACGGTCTCCGGATCCCAGATTGGAGCGGGCTTCAAATTCTCATTGCTGTTGAGAGCCCTTCCGCCGGCACGCGCCTGCGAAAGCTCGACGAGCGTTCGGCCACGCACATTGCCCATCTTGCTGACGAGACCACCGCTGCTACCGGGCTGACCGACAACGGATTGCTTGCGAGACAGTCCACCTCTAGTAGACGAGTCGCTACCGCTCGCTGCGGACAGGTTCGCAAAAGAGGGTATTTTGGAGACTTGTCGGTTGGGTGAATCACGCTCACGGAGACCGACGGGTGAACGCAGTTCCTGATTGGAGACCATGTGCGGCAGGCCAGTGGTGGTCTTCATGGGTGCTGGCAGGGACGGCTTATTCTTGAGCACGTTTCCTGTTGGCTCGGTCTTCATGTGAGGGAATGCCGGCCGCGATATGCTTTGAATCTTCTTGACTTTGCGGGTCGGTGATGGAGACGCCGGCGTGTCGTCGGATTCGTCCTCGGACTCGGTATCGAAGTTGTCAGGGATCTCGGGGACTTTGCGCCACTCTTCACTCGCAAAAATGTTAGGCTGGTGAATGAAGGGGCCCTTTCCAGAGTTCTTGCGCCGGGGTGATAGGGACAGAGAAGCGATTGCGCAAGGTGACGGCGAGAGGTTGTCCACGTCCATGGGTGTTCCGAGGTTGCCAGCATACATTGTCGCAGCACGAACGAAGGGGGTTCTTGCCGCCTTCTTCAATTCGTCCTTTGGCGTATCGGGGCCCATCTCTGACAGGTCTGTTGTGTCTGCTGTCAAGCCACTCCCGTTGCTGCTTGCGCCGATAGACGAGTAAGGGAATTCCGACTTTGTTGCTGACGAGCTGAACTCCACTCGTTGTTGCTCACTTGTGAATGTGACCATCTTCTTGTGCTGTTGCAACTCGGCCTGAACACGTGCCTGCACCTCTTCCTCGTACTTGCTCTGAAGCTGCTCGATCTCGAGATTGACTAGACGGTCAATTTCTAAGCGGGCTCTCGCCTCCCATTCCCGCCGCAGAGATGAGTCGATCTCCTGCCTCATTGTCATCTTTTCAGAGTCCATTCGGAGCAGTCTCTTTTCAATGTCACGCGCCCGTCGGTTGACCGATTCCTCTTTCTTAGAGAGAGCTGTCTCCCTCTTGTGGAGTGCGCGGCTCATCTCAACGACCTCTCGCTCTTTCCGCATCAGCCGTACAACTGGCAGGTTGAGCAGTGCTGCCGTATCTGGTCTTCGGTCTGGGTTGACCTTTAAGCAGTCTCTAATCACAGCACTAAGCTCCGCCGAGTACACACCAGGCAGCGGCGCGACCTTGCCCTCCTTGATCTTCTGGACCAACTGGTAGTGTGATTTGGCGTTGAATGGAGGCTCCTTCGTGCAAAGCTCGTAGATGATGCAGCCCAGTGACCAGACGTCTGATTTGAGCGTGTAGTTCTCAGCAGCACATATCTCTGGAGACATGTAGAACGGGGTGCCAACGTAGGTCGATGCGAATTGTTGCGATGTCAACACCTTGGACAGTCCGAAGTCGCCGAGCTTGACAGAATTGTCTTCGCCGAGGAAGACTACAAAGAAAGTCAGCATGACGCTATGGCTCCCTCAATGCTCCGACACTTACTGTTTTCTGGTTTCAGGTCTCGGTGCAAGATAGTCATGCCACCTGGTGGAGTCTTGGGCTTTGCAGAAGGTCCCAGTCCCATGACATCTTTCCCAACCTCTGGAGGGTCGACCCCGTAGTGACATCGGTAAAGGGCAGTGACAAGCTGCGAGAAGATGCTCCAGACGAATGCCTCTTCTGCGTATTGGTTCTTGGCCTGGAGGTCTCGAATTACGCGTCCGAGATCGCCATTACCGCAGTACTCCATGTAGATGTGGAGGTCTTGTGTCGTCTTCAGATGCTCCCGGCTATAGTATCCAACGATGTTCGGATGGCGAAGAGAAGAGAGGATGGTGAATTCGGCGTGGAGCTGTTCCCTCTCCTTCTGAGACATTTTCAGGTAGCTGATCTCCTTGCGACAGAGGACCATGCTGTCGTCCTTTCTGCGGACCTTCCGAATGATTCCAAAGGAGCCATGACCTGTGTTGGATTGATGTCAGCAAAGTTTCATCGATAGCAACTCGGGTGTTGCAACAAAGAGTAGTGACAGAGCTGTGACAATGAATGAGGCATACCGATCTTCTCCAGGACCTCATACTTGTCAATGCTGTCCGATGACATCTTGAAATGCGGAACCGGGCAGCCTTTGTCAATGGGCAGGTTGGCAACGATCCATAAGCTGAGCGAGAAGCAAACGCAAGGACAGACAAATGTATCCGAGTAGAAAACAAGCTGTGATGGATGTACCTGCTGATGTTAGTAGGACTCGGGCGACCTAGGTCGGGGATGTTGTTTTGGAGGTAAATGGAGTCGGCTTGGATGGAGTCCAGGGAGGTTTTGGGGATGTGAGGATTGTGGGATTGAGGTGAGGCAAGGTGAGGTGGTAGTGCTGGTGCTTGGACACCTCCCATGTCCAAAAAAGTAAATGTCAACAAGGTGGAATTGCCTGGGCAACCAGTCTGCAGGGGTATTGGGGTTGGGGTGCCAGGTGCATAATCCCTACGGAGCTCCTGTCTGTCTCGGCCTGGGACCCCACTGGCGCTCAGCAGTATCGATAAGACCCATGACGACTCGCAGATGCGCCACCCGGAGCCGCTGCGCTTAACTCCGATGGCATCTTGCGGCTTTGTGCCGCGAGTGGGATAAAGACTGCTTGCGTGCTTGTTGAATTTGTACAGCACCTATCTAGCATTTTTATTCTCGCTTTCCTGGTCTGCACCATGGCTGGAGTGCTCAAGAAATATGAGCTCGAAGCAAAGCTCAAGGATGAGCACAAACTGATTGAGCAGGGGATCCTCCGCGATGAGAACCCCCTCGATCTGACTTCAGACTTCACCAAGTTCCTGGGCGCATGTAGGAAAGGAGATCTCAAGACGTGTCAAGAGCTGATATCAAACGGTGTTAATATCAACGGCAAGGATGCTTTCGACTACACTCCTCTCATCATCGCCAGCCTCTGCGGCCACTTTGAGCTCGTCCAGCTTCTATTGGAATCAGGTACGTCACTCTATGATTGTGATATATACAGGCAGTTAAAACAATTGCTGATGGCTGCGCAGGTGCGCTCGCGGAGAGGAATACTTTCCAGGGCGAAAGAGCCGTGTACAACGCTTTGAATGACAGGATAAGAAACCTGCTCCTGTCTTATGATTACTCAAAATCCACCGATCCGCTGCAGCCTTGGTCGTCGCACATAACGTCCTTGCTAACACGGCAAATACCAAAGACTGCAGATATTACGTTGACATCTGGGTCGGAATCCCTGCACCTGCACAAGTTCTTGCTGTCAGCAAGGACACCATATTTCAGAGCAAAATTGGCAGATGCTCCTGAGACGACACAGTGGAAACTGTCCAGTGCAGTGCCGGTTGAGGCTTTCCAGCTTGTAGCTCAGTACCTCTATCTTGGCGAACTTCCCAGAGAATTGGTTGACCCTCGCAGCTCAACCTCCGAAGAGGAGGTTTTCAAAGGCATCGACAAGATCAGCAAGCAGCTCGAGGTCGAGAATTTCTGGGAGACGGCATTGACGCTGGACGATCGAAGGCTGGCGAGGCAAAGGTATCAGGACGAGATCCATAGGGCACAGGAACAGGTAGAGAGCTTTTTCCAGGAGCATGTCGTGCGGCACAAGATGGTCGTGGATACGAAGAAGGTCAACGAAATCAAGTGGAAGGTTGACAATTCCATCTTTGCCGACTGCTTACTACGGGCCGACGAGGAAGATGGAGGCGATGAAGATGAAGGCGACGACGAACAAGAGACGGCGACAATCGGGGCAAATGGCATCCCGATTGGTCCCGCATCGGAAACGTCAAACCCAAAGGATACAAACCGCAAGTCCAGGAAGTCAACCGTATTTCCCGTGCACAAGGCCATGTTGATCAGGTCACCATATTTTGAAACCATGTTTTCAAGCGAGTTCCTCGAGGCGCAGGAATCGGAGCATCTCCACATCATCAAGGTCGACTGTACACCAGAGGTCCTTGAGATCATCCTGACATTCATGTACACGGAGAAATCCGACTGCCCGCTGGAACTCGCCTTGGAACTGCTTTACACGTCAGATATGCTGCTGATGGACCGGCTCAAGAGCAAAGCGGCGCAGGCCATCAGCACGCTCGGCAGCGCAACGGGGAACATCCTCGTGGACCGCACCCACTCCGAAGGTCACAAGGAGCAGGTCGAGGTCGAGCCAATCAATGTGTACGATGTTATTCATGCGGCTTGGGACCTCCGGGTGCAGCGGCTGGAAGAGTTTGCCGCGCGTTACCTCGCGTACCGGCTGGAAGACTACATCGATGAGCCCGAGTTCGCAGAGCTCATCCAGGAGTCTGCGTCGAGGCTGAAGCTGAGGCAGGAGACTGACACGATTGAGCTACTAGATGATATTCGGTATTACCTCTCGGAGCGTTTCCGCCTGAGATTCGAGGACGCCGGGTTAGATGAGATGCTCGACGAGGAGGGTGAGATCCGGCCTGAGGCTGTGGAGGGGCTCGTCGCTGCCAACGGAGAGAGGCTCGAGGCCACCAAGGAAACAGGCACAAACGGGGCCGCGCCAGAAGTGGCGGCTGCCATTGTTGAAGACGCTTCTCCAGGCAACGAAGGTGGTGGTGGCGGCGGCGCTGGTGGTGTTAGGACTCTGGAGGGAGAAGTCGTCGATGATGAGTTTGATCTAGATGCGATGAACTACCAGATCCTTCTCAGGAAAATCGATAATATGCTAGAGGGGCTAAAGCTAGATGCATAAGACTAGACATTTGGGTTACTACATCCCACAGACAAATAGATGTGTGCACATGCTGTGTACACTGCTGCTCATCATCAAAGGCATGGCAAAAGGTTGAGCCAAGAGGCAAAAGGTTCAGCCAACTGAGGCTTACGTCCTGTTAAATGCTGAGAGTAGATGCGAAACTATTTGGCTTTGATGGGGGTGATTGAGCCAGTTCTTTTTTTGCGCTCCCTTTTTTTCTGTTGAACGTGTGCTTCCCTCCCTCCACAGCTGCCCGTATTGTTTTTTCTGAATTTGAATCTTGATTTCTTGACCACTGCCTTACGCTCTCCTTTTTCCAGGGGCAGCTGGCAAGCAGTCCGATTTCGTCACCCTTATTAACACACGGTGAATGGCCGGCGGGTATATACGTGGTATTTGCTGCCTGCTACCTCGATGTCCCCTGGTCGCACTGAGGCTATCACCAACCTTCCCTCCCTTCGCCGCTCACGACCTCCAGGCCAGCACAGTCCAGGTTTGTTCTCAGCCATATGTGTAGATTTAACGTCTCTCCCATACCGATTCCTCAGGAATGTCCACCTTGCCTCCGCCTAGGAAGCCAAACAACCCTCGTGTGACGAAGATGCTTATTTAGTCGGTCTTGGAGTGGTGCGATAGCGGTGAGGTTTGTTACATGGGAATCGATGAGGATTCTGGGGGCAGCGGTGTCGTTTGTGTCGATAGAGACTGAAAATTATCCTGAAACCTACAAGTCTTAGGCACCGAAGAGCCTTCGGCTGGTCTTCGAGCCCCTCGGCGAAAGTCAACAGCGTGCCATCTGGGTGTTGAGCTGGATGATGAAGCGAGGATCTCTTTCGATCTTCTCGTTCGATGGGCCTACCAGATGGACGGGAGGAGGCCCACTGAGGGCCATGCCCTCCCAGAGCCGGTTCTGACATCAAGACTCTGGGTCATGGGCTCAGGAGGGGTTCGCGGAGAGAGCGTGCAGCAGCATCAGGACGTAATGTCGACAGCGTCAGCGTCAGGATCAATGTTGGCAGGGCGCCTGTGGTGCTTGAAGATTGCACACAAGTCAAGTCAGAAAAAGGAACGTGTAAGTTGCGGTGTGCGAGGCGATCCCACCGATGTGGGCTTGTCACAGGTTGGTGCGGGATGTGAATATGGAGCTGTGTAGAGACGGCAGCTGCGAGGCAAGCACCAGATGCTGTGGTATAGCAAAAGCAAGATACATGACATACAGCCAGCACTGACCCTCCAGGCGCCACGACCGACCCTGAAGCATTTGAGTATACGAAGGAGATGGCACGGCTAGAGAGGGCTGCCTCCAAGGCAGACAGACAGTCGATTGGTTTTTCGCCCCCATAGCCTCCCGAATTTCTTCACCATTAAGACTCGTATATTGTGACGATGTGTCAGGGAAATATGCAGTGGAGGAGGCCTTTACAACGCTTGATGCTCGGTCAGGCCGATGTAGATCCAAAGACAAGATGAAGACACTACGAGCTGTCTAAGAACATCTCCAGCAAGGAGTACCACAAGAATGCTCAAGAGGTCCGTCTGCACAAATCAGATGCTCCAGAGAGCATGTGAAAACAACCAGCTGCGAACGCCTCCGGGATTTGGTTGGGTGGAATTGCCAGATCCAGCTCGCCATACAATGCCAGGCAGAAGCCTCTGTGATGCATCTACAAAACCTTAAGCATATCCCGTCGAGTCTCAACAGCCGACGCCAACAAACCAGACACCCCAGACACTCGTCCTTAACAGACCAACATGAGGAAGTAACGTTACTGATGTGCTGATCACCAACACTGTGCATGCCCTCATAATATGCCTCGAGGATAGTAGCACAAGGGGAACGCCGCGGAGAACAGGCTCGCAAGGGGAAAGGGGGTCGAATACGAGGTTGGCCTATTTCTGGCTAGGCTGCACTGTAGCCTCTAGGGACGGGCTCCACTGGCCCTGTCTTAATTGCATTGCTGCGGTTCGAGTTCTGGCACAGAACCGCCGCACATGGACAGGGCTGCCAGCACGGGGCGCAGGACTTGAGTCGTCACTGTGAGAGGCGCGCATAGCAAACTCGGGCATGGACCACACGAGGCGGTGTCTTTCCGCGCAGGGAGGGGCGAGTTGCCTGCGAGCTTGCGGATCTTGAGTTGATCGCCAGTTGCATCATTCGTATGCCTCAGATCTCCCTGCCCTCGTGCCGGAAATATATGTGCTCGTTGTCCAATGAGACCCGGTCCTTTCTCTACTTTGAAGGTAGTCCCTTTGGAGCTGTCGATGTCATACCTAGGTACGAGACATGTAGTTCCCAGAGGCCATAGCATTCATCACATCCTCGAAATCTTCCAGTGCCTTGAAAATGGCCCATGATCACCACCACACCGCGAGGCACGCGGTCCTTGAGCATGAATAGAAATCTCATTCAAACCATAGATATTACATAATCGTATCCTATCAATCATCATCCCAGTGTCTCCTGCTGATAATAATCGGCCGCGCAGGGTCCCAGGGGCCGTAGATCTCATTCTTGTACTTCTGCAGCCCGATCAGCCACCAGCTGCACCCACCCATGGCGACGGCGGCGATGAGGCAGCCGACCACCATGCCCAGGAGGGCGCTCGCCCAGGGCCAGGGCTGGGTCTCGCACGCGCGGGGCTCGTCGCAGGCAGCGCCGCCGAGGATCATGCCCACGCCGCCGCCGGCCCCGAGGACAAGCAGCACTGTGAGGACAACGTGGTACCGCCAGCTGCGGTGGCGCGCGTAGCGCCTGAAGACGGGGAAAAGGCCGAACACCTCGATGCTGAACAGCGTCAGGCTGAACACCTGGCCAGTTGACGGCAGCCGGCTGGCTAGCACGGTGGAGGCCATCAGCGCGGCGTTGGTGGACAGCGATGCCACGGGGAATTTATTGACGCCCACCCAGGCGCCTGAGTAGTCGAAGAAAAAGATGTTAATGGCCAGTAGCCAGAACGACATGGCCCAGATGCTGTCGGAGGAGGTGGAGAGGGTGAGGGACTTGAGGATCGGGGACAGGCCCAGTAAGGTGAAGTAGATGAGAATTGCCGACTTGATGGTGTTCATGCGCAGATGGGCCCGGCCACCACGGAGTGGTGACGAGGGCCGATGCTTCACCTGTGGGCCGGCAGGGTCAGTGGGCGAAGATGTCCGGCGGGACCGTGAATGGTTCATGGCCGTGCCCGGAGTGCTAGTCTGGGAGGCGCCGGACACCAGAGAGCTCGCAGACGTGGAATAAGGCTTCACGGATAAGAGGTTCGTGGCGCTGATGTTGGCGCTGGGGAGAGGCGCCTGACCTGGTGGCATGAGCAGGTTCGTGGTGGAGCTTTCGGCCGATGGCAGTGTCGACGCGCTGCTACTAGCTATGCTGGACACAGTCTGCGGGGCCGCGATGTTTTCTTCCCCTTGCCCTCCACTGGCGCTCCCGCTGCCACTGCCTCCGACAGAGTTTCGTTTTTCAGTTTGAGGTCGTGAAGAGCGACGGTAGTGTTTAGGACCGATGCTCCTTGTCCTGTGGAGGGTCTCGATGTCATCATTCTCGCCCTCCTTTCCCACCCACCAATCCCATAGGAACCAGCCAACCGACGTCGCAATAGATCCCCAGCCGACTACTGCCACAGGACTTAGTCGCCGTTGGTGGATGCCAACGAAGCATACCACAAATATACAAACTGTGCAGACATGTTGCACAATGACGGTAGAGTCTGCGACAAGAGGCCAGAAGTCATATGGCTTCAGCCGAGGGTTGCGCTGGAGGTTTTCGAGGAAAGTCCCTTGGTCGGTGTAGTTGTCCGGATCTGCACCGTCGATATTCATCAGCTCTCCCGCTCTGGGATCACACGGCAGGGGCGAAAATGTCCAGGAGGAGTCGTTTCAAAACCTACACGACTGCTTAACCCACAACAATTTCTTCCATGGCCTCTTCCTCCTCCGCCGACTGCGACTCCTGCTACCCCCGTCCTTGCGATATAGATGGCGCGGTATATGGTCCCTGTTGCCAGATGATTCGAACCCATTTAATCTCCTCGGGGGCGAAGCGGCATGGAAGGCATCCTCGGGGGCAAGATGCGACGGGTCAGGACGGCCACGGTACGATGCTGCTGCTGATGCTGATGCTGTCGCTGCGGATTGTTGGAAGCCGGTCGGTGCGGTTATGGAGCGCGCCAGAGGCGGCAGCCGCTCGATCTTGTCATCGTAGTCGGAGGCCTTTGACGAGAACTGCAGGCCTGAAGGAGGAGCCATTGCGGCTATGCGGCTAAACGTCCTTTCTCCATCCACAGGCGGCGACAATTACTCGTTGGTCAAAGGTTATTGTGTCATTTGGGCTCTCGATAAAATTGGACTTGCCCTCGGCACTGACGTAGGCTGGTAGCGCGCGCCCAGGACGCGACGTTGAGCTGGCGATAACGATAAGGGGAGATGGGCACTGATGGGCACATGGGCACATTGGCTCGGCCTCGAGCTTGATTTGATGGGTGCACGGGCCGCCCCGTGGTGCATGCAGCCGTGCCCAGGGGCAGTGGCAGGGCAGAGGCTTTCAACAGCTCGCATTCGAGTGGCCTAGCAGCTGCTGAAAAGTGGCCTAGGGGATGGAGGGTGGACATTGGAGATGGGGATTGGAGGAGCCAGGTTCGGCGCCAGATCTGTGTCCCCCTGAGGATGGACCCTTCATGCTCAAACTCATCAACGGCGCTGCGAGACGTGCCAAGCCTCTCGTCAAAACCTGCCTCGCCTCATGTTGGCGAGTTTGATGAGAAAAGCTTGGCCTCACAGGGGAGTGGAGATCGTCTGAACGTCTGGGGAAAGGCTATCACATAACGATCTCAGCAGGATCCACTGCAAAACTGAGAGCGCGCCCACCAACCAAAAGAACCCTGCCACCATGCTACCTCATCCGCCAGCACCACACGATCTTGACGATCCCACTTAGCTCTAGGCAATCTAACACTGGATTGCTGCTAGCAACGGCTGGCTGCCTGCCTGGCGGACCTGTCTGTCAAACTCAAAAATAGCCCGGCAATTTCGAAATACGGCACTGTCGGCTAGTTCCCAAAAGGTAATCGAGTCATTGACCGAATGCAACCCGTCGAGGGTTCTCACGATGGCCTCAAATCGATTGACCTGGACCTGGACCTGGACCTGGACCTGGATCTGGACCTGGATCTGTCCGTCTCACAGTCTCGATGCTTGACTGGCCCCGGCCTAGGCAAAACAGGAGGGGGAGTCCATCGATGCTTCAGCAACCCCGACCGCCGCCCACTTCAAGCCACTGTCTCTTACCTGCCAGAAATGGTGCGATGGTAGATGCATTTGTCCGAGCCCCTGTCTGGATACGATCGCCACAAGGATCTTTGCGCAACATTCCAGTAGTCAACCCCAAAGCTAAGGCTGAAGCTTAGCCTAGCATGTCCTCCTAGCCGGACCGGCCCAACCGTATTATTGTGTAGCGCTGGTCCCCAGGTAAAAATAACTGATTGGCAGGCGATCGCTTTATTAGAGCGTCGGCGTCGGGTCAACATTGTCATAGTGGCTTGAGTGGTCTTCATTTACATTCTCGTATACCTCTGCCTGGTAGGGATCTGCTTTGTTTCTTTTTTGCCCTCTTTTACAGCGGTGTGAGCTAGGTTGAGACACGGTGGCTGACTATCGCCAGATTGCATTGCGGAAACATTCCAGGGCCGGCGATCTGAGTCCAGTTGCGCAGGGCAGACCAAGTCGACGACCTCTCAGGCCTTACTCAGCTCCCACGTGTGGCTGCATATAGTGGACCGGTCTGGGCTCCGAGAGGGCAAGACCAAAAGTCATGTAAACACCCCCTGAGCATGACCCGCCTGTCACTTTGCCGCCCTTTCTTGGAAGCCATGAAGCTTCTGGGACCAGAGACACGGGCTGCCCAACACGAATTGATCAAGCAATCCTGAACATCGACTCGGAACTTTGCCGGCGCAAATCCTCCTACAGAGTTTTAGGGGCCGGTCTCGAGCCGTAAATAGATGGATGTGTATTCGCAAGGGTTTGGCCGAGGTGACGGGGTGCCTTGTGCCATGGAGACGAGAGAACCGCTGCGCTAGGGCTCCGTGGACTCGGAGGCCGAGGCCATTTCTGCCGGAAGAGACCGTTGAGGTGGGCCGCAAAGACCACAGTGCTGCTACCAGTGCACTGGCGGCTGCTGCAGGTGTGAATGCTTTCTCTACCACACAACAATAAATCCCTCAACTTTTCGAGGGGTACAGGACTGCCCAGGCCTCGTCTTGGCCAACGCAGTGCTTGTCACAGAGAAGTTGTCATAGACTCAGGTGCGCGCACAGGTTCGGACACACTGCCCAGAGACATGGTGAGTCACCTATTGGATGAGGTGAATGCCGTGGCTGCCAGCTTTCGAAAATCGATACTATAAACTGCTATAGTAATTGCTTTTTTGGATTTATCCCATGGCGACACGGTCACATCGCCCTACACAGCCAGACACAGACAGCTCACGGCGTGCCCATCTGGTTGTCACTGTGGTGACTGCCACGGGAGCTAGTGCAACGTACCGTGCAAGGTGAACTCTAAAACTATCCGCCGCAGCCAATTGTTGCCATCCGACACGGGGCGGTGGGCCCCTTAGCTGGGCTTATATTAGATAAAGTTAGGTTCGGGGTCCCCCCATCCTAAGGGATGATGAATCGATCCATCGCCCATCGCCCATCGCGGTATGGCTTCGTGGGCCATGGTCATCAAAGTAATCAGTCAGCCAGGCAGCTCCGCCCACCTGTCCGCTGCGACGAATCACGGTGAGAGAGGCGGACACGGACACTGGACTTAGGGCAACGTTGCAGGATTCTAACAGAGCCTCAGCTGGATCATCATCTCCTGTGTCGAGAAGGGCATCAATTTTTTTAGGGGGTGATCATGGCATGAATGACAGCCGGAGGATTATACGCTTCTGGCCGGGGCGGTTTTTGACTGACCGAGTGAGTGACTTACAGTTGCCGATGGCTACGGCGCAGTGTTTTAGCCGTCGGGCTGCAGTTAATCTAAAAAGTTGCAGTGCTGGTATGCGTGCAGGTCCTTTGGGCGGCGGCAAACAGCAGCCAGCGAAGCAACAGCAGACCAGCAGCAACAGCGGAGGGGATCCAGCTAGCGCTCCTTGTAAGGTTCCGCTGGGACTTGCGCCAAGCTGATTCCTCAGTGTCTCTCTGCTCAATGCACGTGCGCCGTTCGCCAAGTTGCTCCAGGATCGCTATGAACATTAGTGGTCCCTGGTCCTTGTCGCGGGCCAGTGGGTTGGAGGAAGGCATCACGGCGTTACACTCTAGAGGGTCCACCCCGGTCCGCGGGTGTTTAGCAACTGGCAGCCTGGCACAGATCCCCCCCTTTCTCTCACCCAAAGAGACCAGATGCCCAAGAGGTCAAACAGAGCACAAAACGCGGGACAACTTTAGCTCAGCGTCAAGCATCCACGGGCTCCACTGCGCACGCTGATCCGCGCTGGCCTCTCTTCGCTCTCGGTTTATTGTTCTCCTTTAGGGGGAGGCTGATAATCACTCATGCTGATGATGCTAATGCCCATGCTCTGCTCGTGCCCGTAGTCCAAAGTGTACCTAGGTACTGCATGGCACCTTCTCATGCTCTGCTCAGATCCGGGCTCAGCCTCATCAGCTCACCTCTAGCCAAAGTAAAGGGCCACCCCTCCCCAAGGGACCACCCCCAAGACTACCTGTACAAGCTCATTACCGTCCTCCCAAAACGGGGCATATTAATACATGCTCTCTCCTCGCCCGCATGACCACTCACATCCACAGTACATACATACGCACATACATGAAATACGCCTCGTCCCATCCATCATCCACTTTCTTTGAGTTTGGCCATCTGGTTTCTTTTGCCGAGTTTTATGATTCACTCAAATAAAACTTATCCCAAGTCGTGCTTCCTTGACCACAGCAATTCCCGAGGGGTGGCCATTACCGATCAGCACGCACCAGTTCATCGCTCGTTTCAACATTTGTTTTGTCAATCATCCCAAGATCACCCCCCAAGTCCCGCTGGTTTCACTTGTCTTCAGATTGCCGCTGGGAGCCCCCGGACGTCAATGCCTCAACAAGCTTGGCCTTGAATATAAGCATCATTCGTCCCCGTGCAGATCAAACAGAGCATAACTTGGTCGTGGTGGAATCCTCAACGGGGTGGGCAAGCAAAAGATATTTGACACAGGTCCATTCCGAGACAGCTTCACGAGTCGGCAAATTGGAGTGTCTGAGACAAACGCGCTCGCGAACATCCTTGACAACTCCTCGCCGCCGCCCTTTCTTTTATAAGATATACCGTTCCAGGAAATCGGGAAAAGGGAGCAGCCAGCCGAAAACAAAACACATATACCCACCCACTCATCCACATTCACAAATCACAGAAACCGAGGCGTCAATCTCCCGCCAGGCGAAAAGGAATACAGATCAAACAAACACACAAGGGAAAGAGATCATCGCTCACCATGAGATCAAGCCACCTCTTCTACTCACTCTGCGCGGCGGCGCCTCTCGCCATGGGAACACCAGTACTACCTCACCTCGTCCTAGTGAAGACCCTAGACGAGACAGTGTCGGATCCTTCATCAGGACCTAAGGGGTACCAGCCGGCAACCATCACAACGGCGAGGGCAGAAGGGTCACGAACAGAAATCCTGCAGCCCCTGGACCGTCAATCAGTCATCGACGGAGCGGCCGAGCCAGCCTTTGACAACCGGCCGCTCCCATCGACGGCATCCGAGATCTCACGGCTTGCCTCTGCGGTCCTTTCCTCAGCAGGCCCACTGTCGTCGGACCTCCTGGAGGCGCTGTCGAAGCTGCAGTCGGCACAGGAGTCATCACCACCATCATCAGAAGAATCAGAGACGGAGTCTGAGCCCTCGCCGCGAAAGACAAAGTCGGTCGGCTCATTAGTGAGGCTCGCGTCGAAGAACAGGGACGGAGGTGTGCTGCGTATCAAGCATTCCGGACCGGCAGAGGACTCGAAGGCCATGAGGGTTCACCAGCCGCGCCCCTGTGGTGCCCACCACACCGACGTGCTGGTCATCGGGATGGTGTTGACGTTCCTGCTGGTGGTTCTCATGATGGAGACGTGGCGGCCGGTATCGAGGACGTAAGTTGGAACCCTTCTTCCCCCTACAGTCAAGGTGTCAGAATGGACGGTGCTGACTTTGCATGCTAGGGTGCGCCGTATCTTTAGAAATGAGGGAGCCATCCGCCTGCAGGACGATGTCGAGACGGCTCGGGCCACGTCTGTCCGGGCCCCGGGCCTGGACATCCCCGAGACGATTTACGAGAAGCAAGAAGAGGAGCATGACGACGATGACGATGACGATGATAGCGATTGTGGAGCTGAGCCGTGGGTGATCTGAAGGGGTCATCAGCGGAGGGAGAAGTAAGGCTTGCATTATTTTTGGGCATAGCGGGCGTTTCTGGATGGTTCTGGATGGTGTTGGTAATGGTGATGTGTAATGTGGTGTCCCTTGGAGGGGACCCAACAAGGGATGATACTGTGCGATGGAAGCGCACGATGTGCCACCTACCACTTGGCATCGACAAGGTGCCGTTCTCGACCGATTTGTTCGTGGAAGCGACTCGGCCATACTCCCCATAAGGTACAGACTGAGCTGGGATTGCAGAGCCGAGTCAGAGATGTTGTGGCGAGGCCACAAGAGGAAGGGGTCGCAGCGTGTGTGCACAAGTTCCGAACTGTTCGCGCGAATGACCTCGATACAAAAGAAAAAAAATAATTCAATAAAGAATATTCCACGACCCAGACGGGTGTCCCATCATCCTCCTTGACGAGACATGCTCATCACCCACCAGCCAGATGTTCAGATCCACTGACGGATAGGTAACTTATTGACCAACACGAGGATCTCGCAGCTCTCGTATCAGCCACAGTCATGAGCCATCGCCCGCGTTCAGAAACTCGCCTCTCTCGCCCGCTCGTGGATATCCACATACGGTCGTCAAAAACCCCACGAAGCAAGTCCACTTTTTCTTTTCTTGTTCAGATATCCATCGACCATGTCGCGCAATGTGTCACATGCCGCTGTGCCCTGCGTGCATTGACAGCGAATCAGTGCCGGTAACACGGGGGCCCGGCGACATGACATCTTTTTTGCCGTGCTAAGAGGTTCATCGGCCATTCCCGACGCCATCCGCCGCGCCGGGAAAGACCTCGCCCGCATTCTGCATGCCACACTACCACATACCACAGCCGAGCAACCTCACTGCCCCCAAAATTGTGGGGAAACCGAGCGGGCAACTCTGAGATCCGGGCAGGACGAGAGAGGGGTATCAAAAGAAGCTTTCCTGGCTTGCATACGAGGGAGGCGAGCAGCAGCGGCGGCGGCAGCAGCAGCAGCAAGCCAGCAAGGCTGAGCCTCAGGGCGGGGATGCCGGGCGGATCCCAAGCCTGCATTGCATGTGTGAGCAGTGCATGGGCATGGGGAATGGGGAATGGCGGGCCCGACTGACAAAAGTTCTGCAGCGCGAAGAAGTCAGCTGAACAGAGGCATGGGCTCCACATCCAGATTGAGAGACCTAGTGAGTACTGATTGATGACATGACTGTGCTGGGTTAATTTGTTGGGTATGTGCGCTGCGGTTGGGAACGGGCTGAATGATGATGATAGGCGCTCGATCTGGGCTGTCTGTTGGTCCCAGCCGAGAGGATCAGCTAACCATGAGCATGAGCATGAAGCATGGGCATGGCATGAGGCGTGGCGCGCTGGGGCTAGCCGTCCGGCGGTCCAGCGGTCCAGCCGCCCAGCCATCTCATCTCTCAATCTCACTGTCACTTATTGTTGTAACAGTGAGAGGTGGTATGGTATGGACGGCATTGTTCCTGCGGGATGCCGCCGAAAGGACTGGTGACGAGGGATCTTGTGGCTCCAGCAGGACTGTACCCCAGGGACGATCACCTGGGCACGGCAGCAAGATGCACCGCACGCAGCCGGTGTTTGCCAGCAACAACTACAACGGCAATGGGATGAGTGCAACTGATGGACATGAGCAACAGTACACAGACACACACACACACACACACCTGATGGACTGTGTATACACACAACACACAACACACAACACACATGACATACACACACACAAAACGCACGAACCCTGGGCCCCCGAGCCTTGGCAATGGCACATGGGGGGGGGGCATACATTAGCTCCATGAGCGGCTCCAACAACGCCAGGATCGCCAACACCCCAAGTCCTGCAAGGGAGGCTCTGAGCAATGATGATCAGAGGGGCCCCCGTTTCATGGCGCATATCTCTTCTTCTCCTGCAGGACAGCGGCACCCCGAGTCCAAGCCACAGACAGGCCCTGTGCCTGGGCTGAGGAAGAAGCTCAGCCCTCCTCCTCCCAAGTTCTGGCCCAGCCCAATCGACCCGAGGCCGAGCTTTTGCTGCAGCTGATGCATTTCTCACCTCGCCCTGTCCGATCTGCAATATAATACTCTACCCAACGCCATCTCTCTCCCTCTGATCAATTGCTGGTCGTTGATTGCTTCTGCTATTGCTACGCCAACGTGGATTTCTCACGATCCTCATCTCCTCTCCCAACCCCGCGTTGCATTCCTGACCCAGCCACCTGGGCCCTTCCTCTACCCCGCAGTGCGGGTCCTCCGTACCCATAACTTATCACACTCAAAAAGCCCAGCTCACCCTCTGCCCAAGGCCAAGGCTGCCTGCTGCTTGCCCATAGCTCAAGCTCAAGCTCAAGCAAGCTCAGACCAGGACCGAGACCCAGACGAGAGGCAACGCGCTCATGTCTCTGCAAGTCGAGGACCACCGAAGAACTCGGTCGCGTTCTCCGGGCCGACGCGAACGCAGCCGCAGCAGAAGCCGCGGCCCTCCTCTGGTCATTGAGACTGACCCCTACGCCGAGAGGGAAAGAGAACGCACATATGAACATGAGGAGCGCCGCTCCTACCATGCGCCCCCCTCACCCAGCGACGATGCCTATTATCGCACCCCAAGGAGTCCTGCCCACGAGAATGGCGCGCGGACGTCCTACGGCGACCTGAGGTACGACAACGAATACCGCAGGGACAGCCCGAGGGATAGGCACTCGGACTCGGACAGGGAGCGTGACAAGGACCGCGACCGCGACCGTTCTGGGCTGGTGGACGCCTTCCTGCCGCAGAAGTATGCCAAGAAGCTCGAGAGCTCCGACGCCTACAACTTCATGACAGCCCCCATCTCCGACAAGTCCAGGGAGCGGTCGCGTGACCGCCGCGCCCAGAAGAAGGAGAAGCTCGAGGAGGACCTCGCCTACGGCAAGCTGCACTCGCCGCCCACCAAGGACGTCCGCCCCGTGTCTCCGCGCCACTCGCCCTCGCCCTCGTATGACTATGGCAAGCCGCCGCAGCAGTGGGAGTACGAGAAGGACGAGAGGCTGTCCTCGTATTCGCGGGATCCTAGGCACAGCTCTGATGCCCTTGGCGTTGGGCACGGCAGCTCCAGCCGGGCGCGCAGCCGGAGCCCTGCGCCAGGGCACTCGAGGGGTGACAGTGACCGTGACAGGCATAGGGAGAGAAAGTCCCATTCCCATAGGGACTCACTCACAGTCGACCCTCGCGGCTCGTCGGCGAGCGTCGTCACGGTCGAGCCGGGTGAGGCGCCCCGCAAGAGCGCCATGAAGCGGTCCTCGTCGCCACAGCCGCCCGTGAACAGGATGTCGTCGCTCTCAGTGTCGACGCCGTACAACCCAGGAAACCTCTCCGTGTCCGCTGCCCCCGCGTCGCCGCTCCTGGAGTCGTACCATGGAACGTACCAGCAGGCCTCGCCGATGCCCTCACCGCTGCTCCTCCCAACCCACCACGCGAATGACCCACAGATCATGGACATCTCGCCGATCGGTTCGGAGGACGAGCGCAGCGGGGGCAAGCGGCGGTCGCGGCGGGCACGGTTCGCAGACCCGGAGGACGACGCGCAGCGGCTGGCGGACGCGCTCAAGGGCAGCAAGCCGCCCAAGACGGAACCGCTGATCGAGATCCTGCCGGGGATGACGCACGAGCAGATCATGGACCTGCGGGCCGAGTACAAGCGGCTGGTCAAGACGGGCCCGGAGCGCAAGGGCGTCAACGTGGCCAAGCACGTGCGCGTGCGGCTCAAGGACGAGGACCCGTCGCTGATGAAGGCGTGCTACGCGACGGCGCTGGGGCGGTGGGAGTCGGAGGCGTACTGGAGCAGCTTCTGGTACCAGGGCGACAAGACGCGGCGGGAGCTGCTGATCGAGAGCCTGATGGGGCGCACCAACGACGAGATCCGCGCCGTCAAGGACGCGTTCAGCGACAAGAAGTACGGCGACAGCCTGACGCGGTGCATGAAGCAGGAGCTCAAGGAGGACAAGTTCAAGAAGGCCGTGCTGATGGTGCTGGACGAGCAGCGCATGGACGAGGTCGACTCCCACGGCCACCCGCTGCGCATCGACCACGACCTCGTCGAGAGCGACGTCCACGCCCTCCACCGCGCCGTCAAGGCCGACAAGGGCGGCGAGAGCGCCATGATCGCCATCGTCGTCATGCGCAGCGACAGCCACCTGCGCGAGATCCTGAGGGTCTACAATGAGGAGTACCGCGCCAACTTTGCGAGGGACGCGCTCAAGAAGAGCGGGAACCTGGTGGTAAGTTTTTTTTTTCTCCTTTCTATTTCTTCTTCTCTCCCAGCCACAGGCTGGGTTCACTTCAGAGACTAACACAATCAAATCAGGGCGAGCTCCTCGCGCACATCCTCAACGGCGTCATCAACAAGCCCGTCCGCGACGCGCTGCTGGTGCATCACGCGCTGACGGCGTCCAAGAAGGACGGGCTGCGCCGCGAGCTGCTGACGTCGCGGCTGGTGCGCTTCCACTGGGACCGCCACCACATGGCGGCCATCAAGCGCGCGTACCGCGAGCGCTACGGCAAGGACATGATGGAGGCCGTGCGCGACGGCACGTCCGGCGAGTGGGGCCAGTTCTGCCAGGAGCTGTGCATCTCGAGAATGCCCGACGATGTCAAGAGGGTCGAGAGGATACAGCTTTCGAGGTGAGAGGCGAGGTGGTGGTAATGGGTCTGGGCTAAGGTTGCGATGATGATGATGTTGATGATGATGACTGCCACGATGACCATGATGCTACGGCTATGTGTGATCAAGACCTGATGAGGACGAAAAAAACGGCTGGTGAGATATTGCTATGGTGGTGGTGGATTCAGGGTGTGTGTCTGGTGTGTATTCAGTTCTTACAGGAGAGTGAGGCTTCTACAGGCTGCTTGCATATATGGCTTTTGATACCCGATCGGACTGAGAATGGGTAAATAAAGAGGTGTTCTACTTGATAAATACCGGTTCCTCGCTCCAGTTTATTTCTCGTGTGCTGTCACGTCTCCATCGTGGGAAATTTTGAGAGACTCTGCGTGCCTAGGCGAGTGTAACTCACCACAGGCTCCCGCTTTCTCCTGGCTGGACGTCAGACACGCGGTAACGGCCGTCACAAGTTGCTAGACAATCTTTGAGTACATGTGATCATGGTGATTTGATTCTCACCCTGACTCCCCTAATATCCCATTTCCAACCTTCTGCCTCCGCCCCGCCCTGATTCCGTCACCATGCATGCACGCCCTTGGTCATCGAGATGTCGTGTCCCATTCATGCCACCTTCACCAGAGATTTTGGGTCAGAACTATTGCATCCGACCAATCCGCGCCAAGAAAGGGTAAGTCCAGTTAATCTGTGACAGGGAATCTTCCACCGATTTGCTTCGAGAAGGAGAGGAGGGTAGCGTTACCGAGGCCTGCATCGCTGACAGAAACTCTAACCCCTCTGTTCTTCCCACCCTCCAACCCAGAACTGTCGCCGCCGCGTCTATGGCATGGACGCGATATCTCCGACAATTCATGTGAGTTGCACATATGTATTGCACACACTTGCACACACTTGCTGCTTTTGGTGCACATGATTACCATCATTTCACGGGGCGGCCCACCTCCCCAAGCCTCCCCCACAAACGCCCCCTCGGATCGACCCGCCCGCCACACAAGTGCCGGATATAGTGGGGAACAACTCATCACCGGCACAACATCCTTCCTTTCCTCACCTGTCCTCATACCGGTTCGGCCTCATGCATCGGCGCCGAACGGCACAGACGGCACAGCTGGGCGTCACATCGTGCGGCTCAACGCGCCAAACGCTGACGTCTGATTGTGGGGACCGATCATGGGGGCCTGGGTGGGAATACACGTCCTCGCATAGGGGCGGGGAGGAAAAAAAAGGAGGCGGCCGCTGTGGTGGTTGAACTCTGTGTGTTCTTGCAAGGGATCCCATGGCTCTTTGTCTACTGTGTGTGTGCGGTCTGCTCTTCTTGGCAGAAGTTGATAAGAGTCCGCGGAGCTTGATAAAAGTCCCCAGAGTTCGCTCGAGTTAAAGTCTCATCGGCGTGCTGAGGTGAGAATATAGCTGCGGTTGGTGTAAATGCGCGATATGAGGGCGTCGTTCGCTGCAACTCCACCTCGAGGCCGCCCAATCGTGATACATGAGACAGGCATGGGCCCGTCGGCTTCGGCGGTAGTGGTACGCCCCGAGGTCTACTTTGACCTGCGCGGGGGTTGGATGAAGTTGGGTTGCTTTGGATGGGACTTCCGTCCGACTTGGTGTATATTTGCGCTTGCTGATCTCCTGGACGATCATATAAGGCAGCACGCCTGCGCTGCAGTCGAACCAGAACTGTGTTTTTGACAGTTGCACTGTCACAAATGCACACCAACATATACGAATCTGCACTTCATCAAACAGTCAGCCATGTTGCAATACGCGATTGATTTAGGCTCCCACGCCGGTCTGTCTTCGACTTACAGCCAGGTCTTAGCCGGCGCAGCAGTCCTGGGCCTCGTGCTGTATGCCTACCTGCGCGAGCCACGCCTGTACGAAGGCATACCAGCCTTCGGTATCGACGAGAAGGGCTGGATGAAGATCGAGAAGGCGAGGCGCAGGTATACGGAACAGGGAACTCAGCTCGTCGCAGAGGCTGTTCAAAAAGTATGAAGGCATCACCGCCCGACAAACCCACTATATCAATAGGGATCTGAATTTGATGGTTGTATGATCTAGTTCTCGCAGCCGTATCAAATGGCCACCGACGTCGGCATCAAGATCTTCCTCCCCGCCCGATTTGCAGAGGAGATCAAGAACATCAAGCAGATGAGCTTCAAGAAGGCGATAGGGACGGTAAGTTGGGGCTCCGAAATAGCACGGCAGCCGTCTTAGGATATTTGCTGAAATTTCGACCGCAAAGGAATTCTTCTTGGGGTATCCGGGCCTTGACGGAATGGATTCATTGACGCACCAGAATGACATCCTGCAGAAGGTGACCCGGCAGAACATCACCCAGTCTTTGAGTCCGTGACTCCCTTGTAAACAGGTGGGATGGCGTGTAGTCGCTCAGCCAGGCTGATAAACTCTCGCAGATCTCATTACCGACGACCTGTCGGACGAGGCCACCTTAGCACTAGAGGAGATGCTGGGCGACAACAAAGGTAGAGGAGTGCATCCCCGGCCCCTTTTTACTCGTATCAAAGTCACTGATATCCGCTGCTGTAGAGTGGACGTCCATGACCCTGAAAACCTTTGTGCTCCACCTCGTGGCCCGGCTCTCGTCACGGTTGTTCGTCGGAGAGGAGCTTTGCCGTAACGAGGAATGGCTAGAGCTGGCCAAGACCTATACACTTGACACGTTTGCCGCCGCGCGGGTCTTGCGTAGTACGCCATTCGCACTCCGGCGCATAGCGGTGTGGTTCCTCCCCGAGTGGAAGAAGGTCAGACAAGATCTCGCAGACGCTAAAAGGATCCTGAGTCCGGTAATTGAAAAGCGCCTGGAGAGAAATCGAATAGCAGATGCAAAGGGTGTGCCGCGGCCCAAGACGGGAGACACCATTCAGGTAAGCAAGCTCCCAAAGTGTTCGGGTCCCTACACGTTGTTGACCCTCTATGTCTCCATGCTAGTGGTTCCATGATGCGTTTGAGAGAAATGGCCTCGAGCCTAAGCTTGCTGGTGCGCAACTTGCTCTAAGTGTTGTGGCCATCCACACGACGACCGAGTTGCTCACAGGCACCCTCCTCGATTTGGCGCACAATGATGAATTCATCGACAACTTGCGTGAGGAAATGATCGGTGTTCTCGAGGAACAGAATGCTGCAGCAGAAGTTGATACTGATGGAAGCACGAAAACAACATGGAAGAAGAATAGCCTCTATAAACTGAAGCTGTTGGACAGCGCGTTGAAAGAGTCGCAGCGCTTGCATACCCGAGACATTGGTGAGTTCAGATACAGCTGACTCTATGCCGGATAGTTACTGATGCGATGCTTATAGCCTCCATGCGACGCATCGCCGAAGCTCCGGTCACGCTTTCTGACGGCACTGTGATCCCGAAGGGAGCCTTCACTTGGGTGACTCTGGACGCGTACAAAAACCCAGACATCTATGCCGACCCGGAGAAATACAATCCGCGGCGGTTCCTTGACCTACGCAATCAGCCTGGCCAGGAGAACAGATGGCAGCTTGTCAGCACAACGGCTGACCATCTTGGTTTTGGACATGGAGAGCATGCTTGCCCCGGACGTTTCTTTGCCTCCAACGAGGCAAAGATTGCGCTTGTGCACTTGCTGATGAAATACGACTGGAAGTTGCCCGATGGCAAGAGGCCCGGCGACGTGGTGAAGGGAGGGACCGAGAGGGGCGTTGACGGGGAGACCAAGATTCTGTTCAGGAGGAGACAGGAGGAAGTAAGCCTGTGACGATGATCGGTGTGGGACAGGGTGAATCAGACGCGCGAAGAAATGACTTGAGAATTTTACTGGGTCCGCATTGCTCTGGAGGGCATTGCCCTGTGGCGAGAATGTCGAATGAATATCAGCGTATTGTCAATAGTCCAGGCCACGGGTATCAAATTGATCTCTGCCGCCATACGGTGGCAGCTAACGTGCACATGCACTTGCAATGTAGATTGGTCCCCTGCTTTGTGTATTTCCACGAATTTACCTGCAACGAGGCATCTCTATGGGAAGTTGTCCCATAGCAGGTTGTCCAATAACAGCCCATCCGCAGGTTGTACTTCCAACGGAGGTTCGATCCAGTGTGGTGGCCACGATGAGAGACCTGTTCAGGGGAATGCTCAGTCCAGTTTGCTTTTCTGTTAGAATTTGTCAGACGCCTTTAAAATAGCAATGATGGAATCATTGTGGGTGTTGACATCGTGCCCTTTTGGCCTACACCAACTCACTGTAGGGACCGACTCTCTCAGAAATAGCCGTATCTCTAGAGCACGCAGAGTACAAGACGGCGCCTAAGTCGTTCTCGGTCTTCGCAGTAACTACTTGGACCGGATCGCCGTGCTCCGGCCGGGTGTGGCGGATTATCAGACGGAGAGGAGATGGTCCCGTGGCACAGCAGCACCGGCAGTCCGGAGCGTGTGTATCGTAGGGACACTACCCAGGTGTTCCCAGGCGTACAGGCATGCTGTATCCAGTAACTTCTGGTCCCTGCATACACACAGTAGGGGTCCAGTCGCGGTCTGTGCTGCCAAAGCGGTCCCGTCGGGGGTAGCTAGTAGGGTGCGGCAAGCAGAGCGAACATAGATGAAACAGAGATGCAACGAATGGGAAAGGAGGGGACGAGGTAATTGGGCTTGGCTGATATGCCTGGGGGTTTACATAACGCGGTCCATGGACGCGCCTGCCGCTCTTTCACATGGTGTGGTGTGATTTGGATTGATTGCGGTCGGGTTGGGTTGTGTTGAGTTGGCACGGTTGGCTCAGTTGAGATCATTCATTCAGTTGAGTTGACGAGGGAGCTGGGGGAGGAGATTTGCACTGCCACCTCGTGAACCTGGTCTGGCTGGAGTGTGCCTGGAAGTCACGGAAGGCTTGGGAGGGCTTGGACGCCGAGTGGCCATTCCCAGGCAGGGCTGAGGGGGCCAGAGGTTGCGTAATGGTCCTTGGGAGACGGCAGATTGGGGCGGTCTGCGATGATGACCTGCTCGTATCTAAACTTCCTCTCAAAAATACATACACATCTGGGCCTGGTGTCCGGGCAACCTGGGGAAAGAAAAGAGAGGGCTGGAATGCATGTTCGAGCCAGTTCTGTGGAGCGCAGCAGCTTCAGGACGGGCTGTTCCCAGCAATGGCTGTGTGGGATGATAGTGTCTTGTATGCGTGAACGCCGTGCGCCACTAACAGGCACCCAGGTCCTCTGAGGCCTCGTCACCCCAGCAGCAGGGACGGAGCACAGGAACCAGAGCTGCCCAAAGCAGCATAGCTCATCCCGCTCTATACCCCCATCCATGCCGGCCCATCCTGGTGCTTGGGTTGCTTGCGTGGTGGCGCTGACTAGTTCTTTCTTTCAGTGACGCCAGCCCCAATTCCCACCCTCAGACAGACCTGTTTCGACTCGGTACGAACCCTGCAGAGTCCTGCCTCAGCAGCCAAAGCGAAGCGTCTCAGCTGTTCATAACCTCCCGCCTCCGTCTGCGACTTCAAACCCTTATCCGTTCTCATCACTTTCCTCCCTCTCCTCCCCTACGAACAGAACCTCTGCATCTGCCTTTACGATACCCCTACCCATCGCGCCATCAAAGCTCACGGACAAACGAAGCGCAGTTTGATTTCTGTGATCACAGCCATCACACCCTCCCACCCGATTGATCCGACACCTTCCACACCTCTCGCAAAAGCACAACCGCCGCAATGGCTGACAACAACTCCCCATACGACCCTGACCCGCGACAGGGACGCGGCCAGGACAGGAGGACACAGGCCCTGCAACAGGTAAGTCTCTTTTTTTTCTCTCAACATCTCTGCCGTTCACTTGGCCATGAGCCCCGGATTGCGAACGCTTGAGACCTGTCGCCGTGTTGCCGCTGCGGCCGGATTGGAGCGACGTCAGCGCTCTGCATCGTCGTCATCACACTGTCGGCAACACGAGCGAGAAATCGTGGCTTCGAATCGCCACACACGAATGACAGCTGCAAACTTCGATGACATCCTGCTGGACACGCACGGCAACTGCTCAAGCGGCGGTCAGAGACAGTCGAAGCGACGAGAGCACTGCTTTGTGACCGCCCAGAATATGCCAAGAAAGGAGCTACCGCTCGAACAACAACCTGCGCAGATCCCATGCCAAAACGGACCCTCGCCCTACGACGGCATCAAAAATTGGCCTTGGGTGTCAACCATTCGCAATCTGGGCTGCTCAGTCAAGCGTTGGAGCAGATTGATGTCATCATGCGTCTGTTCGTGCCAGTGGCTGACGTTTGAGCGCTTTTACAGGAAATTGACGACACCGTCAATGTCATGCACGATAACATCCAGAAGGTCAGGGAACGCGGTGAGAACTTGGATCACCTGCAGACCAAGACCGACAACTTGGCCAACCAGGCCCATGGCTTCCGCCGTGGTGCCAACAGAGTGCGGAAGCAGATGTGGTGGAAGGACATGAAGATGCGCATGTGCTTGATTGCGGGTGTTATCATCCTGCTCCTGATCATCATCATACCGAGTACGTGTGATAAGCCCTCCATGAGACTGGCTGTTATTGTCCGGTGATAACTTGTGCTAATGTTTGTCCTCACAGTTGTGGTCACCAAAACCTAAACGGCTGGCAAAGACTGGAGACGAAAGGCATCATGGCGCCACCACGTTATGAATACGACTAAGCAATGATCGATTAACACCACTGTCGATCTCGCAGGCTTCGGGACGCATCCTCATGTGGACGACAACGAGTGGAAATGGCTGGCAGGCGTGCGAGCCACAAGGTACCTAGCAAGGGTGGAGTTTTCTAGCTTTTGGTTTCGATCGGTCCTTTTTTTGATGAACCTAAATTCACGTCTCGGTTACGACCAACGACGGAAGAGCAGTCGTGCTGCGTGCTCTCGCCCCGGGCATCACGCCAGGCCATGGCTTGGGTTTTGAGCCTTCCTGGAAGGTTGCTGCTAGGCTGGGAATGATGCAAGCACTTAACGCGGGACTGTATGTATGATGGAATGGCAAATGACTTTTTGCAAATCACTTAATTGAGACCCTCACGACACACCTTCAGACTGCTCCTGCGCATGTGACAATGGCTTCCCGTACTACAGAGTCTCGGTGGTGAATATAGGCAAACGGTACAGCCTGCAAGGATCCCAAAGGTCAGCCCAATAATCGGGAGTAATCAGAAAGTGTCCAGAAGGAACAGTACCAGCCCAGGTAAATACTATCTATTAGAATAGTTCCCTATGATAGGTCATCTTGCAAGAGATTATCTTGTGGAAGATTATTCCACGGCAGGGCATCCGATGAGAGGTTCTCCCGTAGGAGGTTATCCCATAGGAGCTTATCCCATAGGAGGTATTCTACAAGAAATATCCTATAGGAGGTTATTCTACAGAAGGGATCTGTAATATACTAATCATGTTGTCCCGTACATTTGGGATCCTTGTGAGCTGTGTGCACAGATTGCGGCACAGGAACACGAGCTTGAGCTCAACGAGTGACGACACAGCTGCAGAGGACGGTGGAACCCTTCGCGTGTAAGTCAAGACGTCTTGTCAGTATGGAGGTAGGTACCTACCTACTTATATCCCAGGTACCTTAGTAGGATGAAAAGACCTCTGCGCCATGCTGGAGATATTTCCGCCCTGGTACATTACATTGCAAAGCAGTAGCAGTGACATAAACCAGCCAAGACCCTTTCCAGAATAGCTGAGTAAAAAAAATCAAGAGAAATGGACCGCTCCATTACAAATATATACACATCCACTCCGACAGGAATAGTGGCCGGCCGACGGGGGCTGGCTCTATGGGATGTCACGTAACTCGGGATCCATCGCGCATCACATCATGTCCATCATCACCGAGGGTTCCTCGCATATACGACACCAATCATTCAAGTCAGTTACGTGAAGTGGGCCTGGCCACACTGGGGCATCTGATTAGAGATGTTCGCGCGCCCAAGACCTCGGGCAGAAGTCACCCGGGTCCTCCCTCTGGACGGAGGCTCGCGAGAGCCAAGGGGAAGAGGGTGGATCAAGAGGGGCATCTGATAACTTTGTACAAGGATGGGCTCTTTCACCCGTGCCCCATAGAGTGGCCCTGGATCCGAAATGAGGGAAGGAGGAGGACTGGAGGCCTTCGTAGACGATGGTGATGACTATACCTCGGTCCAGAACCGACTCGCTTGCTGGCTCTATGCAAGTGTTGACGATCCTGCACGCTCTGTTGGCGGCATGAAAATCTCTCACTGCAAGGCTACTACTGTATTGTAAATAGAGCACATGCCGAAATCTGGATGTACTCACCCGGGTCGACGCGGGGGAGGCGTGGGTTGAGCCAATCACTAGCTGCAGGACAGAAACGGTTGCGAGGCTGGGCAGGCTGGCAGCGCACAGCAGACTCGGGCGCACAAGGAGCGGCTTCGGCGTTCGTCTGGCCCCTGGTGGGAAAAATCCCTCCTTGGCTTTCCCTCTGCGCCCCTCCTCACCCCACGCAACTTTTTTTGGGTGGTGGAGAACCTGGGCCGGAGCTTACCCAGACCACACCCCAGTCGACCCAGCACACAGCATTATACAATACATCCAACTCTCCTCCTCCTCACACTCTCTTTCACTGCCTCTTCCCCCCTACCTCCCGTGTTAGACACTCTCCACTCCGTAGTTGACTGATTTCCTCCTTCGATGTTGACTGGGTGAGAAGGGAATTTCCTGCTTCTCAATTGGGCTTTGTGGTTTGCGCATTCGAGTCAGAACAGGAGATATCGTGAGTCAACAACAACCAGTCTTTTACGCCCCAACCTGATATGGCCACCATGGCAGCACAAGGCAATGGCAATTCGCTACGCAGGTTCCGGCAACATTAGACAACAGCCCAAGGCCACCTTCTGTGGATTGGACCACCTCGACCGACTGCACGGATACTATCATACCTCCAGAAGGAAAAGTCCTGCTGCAGATCCCGTCTCCCCCACCAAAAACATACCTAGACCCCGAGAGTCTGGCTGCGTTCTGTCTCCCGTTGCCGCAACCTGCTACGAAGTCAATTGACCTGTCGCCAGCTCGTTGCCAGCACGAAACGCCTCCGTCCCTTCGCCCTAGCTAACACGAGTACCCTTTGCCCTAGTAGCATCCCATAGGAACCATGCTGTCCACCTCCGTGAGGGCCTTCCGGGCCGGGGCCCGCCGATGCGCTCGACTGCCCAAGCCCCAGACCGCTGCCCCTCGCGTGATCGCCAGCGCGCGACTTGCCGAATGCTCTCGCCGCGCCCTGTCCACCTCAACCAAGCAGCTCACCGACCTCAGCACCCGTGGGATAGTCATCCAGACGCTGAGCAGCGTGGGGTCCAAGAGGGAGGTCCAGCAGTACCTGTCGCACTTCACATCCGTCTCGTCGCAGCGGTTCGCAGTGATCAAGGTTGGAGGAGCTATTTTGACCGACTAGTGAGTCGCCCAGAGTAGGCCTATGGCGTTGTTCGGGACACGAGATTGACAGCATTCGCAGCCTTGACGAGCTATGCAACAGCCTGGCGTTTCTCTACCATGTCGGCCTCTACCCTGTGGTGGTGCACGGCGCAGGACCACAACTCAACAAGTTGCTGGAGGACGCAGGGGTGGAGCCACAGTTCGAGGAGGGTATCCGCATCACGGACGAGAAGACCCTCGCGGTGGCCCGCAAGTTGTTTCTCGAGGAGAACCAGAAGCTCACCAACCGATTGGAGGAGATGGGAGTCCACGTCCGCCCCATCACCAACGGCGTGCTCGAGGCAGACTACCTCAACAAGGAGAAGTGGAACCTCGTCGGAAAGGTCACGAATGTGAACAAGGACCTGATCGAGCAGGCCATCAACCACCGCTGCCTTCCTGTCCTGACGTCTCTGGCCTATACCCCTGAGGGTCAATGCCTGAATGTCAACGCCGATGTCGCAGCCGCCGAGCTTGCACGCGCCCTGGAGCCCCTGAAGGTGGTCTACCTGTCGGAGAAGGGTGGTCTTTTCGACGGAGAGGGCGGCAAGATCTCTGCCATCAACCTGGACGAGGAATTTGAGTACTACATGTCTCAGGCATGGTGCAAGTACGGAACTCGCCTCAAGATCAGGGAGATCAAGGAACTGCTGGACACTCTGCCCCGGTCGTCATCTGTCGCCATCATCCACCCCCAGGACCTCCAGAAGGAGCTCTTCACCGACTCTGGCGCCGGAACCCTCATCCGCCGGGGCAACAAGCTGTTGTCCTCCACTAGCCTGCAGGAGTTCAGCGATATTGAGAAGCTTAAGGAGGTGCTCGTCAGGGATAGGGAAGGCCCGAACGCGCGACAGACTGTTGACACCTATATAGAGTTCCTGAAGGAGAACCCATTCAAGGCTTACTACGACGAAGCTATGAAGGCCTTGGCTGTTGTCCTGCCACCAAGCGAATCTCGTCCCCTTGCAACCCTGGCCACGCTCACCATCACCAAGTCGGGCTGGTTGAGCAACATCGCCGACAACCTCTTCACCGCCATCAGGAAGGACTTCCCGAAGCTTGTCTGGACTGTTAGGGAACATGACGAGAACCTGACCTGGTTCTGGGGCAAGGCCGATGGAAGTCTGTCTGTCAACGGCGATGTCATGTTCTGGTGCGGCATCGAGGACGGCAACGAAGTTATCAACGTCATGAAGGACTTTGAGACGCACGGCCGGGCCATGCTGGGTGACTCCAACCTGGAAGCTCGGATGGCACGCGCAGCCATCAACGCTGGTGCTACCTCGGCGCCTCAATCGGCTCCGCGACAAGCTCGGGGCTTCTCTACGATGACGAGACCTCGTTCGTGGCAAACCCAGACGGCCGGCCAGGCCCGAGGATTTGCGACGACGACCAATCCCAACCCACCATTGGGCAAGAGGAACAAGACAAGGGATGGACCGGCAAAGGTGGCGTTGATCGGCGCTCGAGGATACACGGGCCAAGCACTGATCTCGCTTCTGAACTCTCACCCCAACATGGAGCTGTCGTACGTCTCGTCTCGTGAACTTGCAGGAACACCACTGGAAGGATACGATAAGGCCCAGATCACCTATGTCAACCTCAGCCCTGATGACGTGCGGGATAAGGAGAAGGCAGGCGAGATCGACTGCTGGGTCATGGCGCTGCCAAACGGTGTCTGCAAGCCCTATGTCGAGGCTGTGCACGAAGGCCGCAAGTCGTCCAGCCACAAGAGTGTCATCGTCGACCTCTCCGCCGACTACCGTTTCGATAACTCATGGACGTACGGTCTTCCCGAGCTCGTGCCCCGCCAAAGGATCCACGACGCGATCGACATCTCCAACCCCGGCTGCTACGCCACCGGAGCACAGCTCGGCCTTGCACCACTGATCGAGCACTTGGGCGGTGAGCCAGCCGTCTTTGGTGTTTCCGGATACTCGGGGGCAGGCACCAAGCCCTCGCCCAAGAACGACGTCGAAAACCTGACCAACAACCTCATCCCGTACTCGCTGACCGACCACATCCACGAGAGGGAGATCAGCACCCAGCTCGGCCACAGCGTAGCGTTCACCCCGCACGTGGCAGTCTGGTTCCAGGGTATCCACCACACCATCAACATCCCGCTCAACAAGACCATGACATCCCGGGACATCCGTCAGCTGTACCAGGAGAGGTACGCGGGCGAGAAGCTGGTCAAGGTGGTGGGCGAGGCGCCCCTGGTCAAGGCCATCAGCGGCAAGCACGGTGTTGAGATTGGCGGGTTCGCGGTGCACAGCTCGGGCAAGAGGGTGGTTGTCTGCGCGACGATTGACAACCTGTTGAAGGGAGCTGCCACGCAGTGTCTGCGTAAGTCTACATTCATGCACCGATTCTTCGACTGAAATTTTACTGACTCCGGGCCTACAGAGAACATGAACCTGGCATTGGGCTACGCCGAGTACGAAGGAATCCCACTATAGGGGGATGAATTGAGTCAAAGAAGACGAGGTACCAGGCACGAATCTCGGCAGTGGGAGGACTGACTGTATATGGGCCAAACTAGATGTCCACATGATACATACTATCACAGTTGAAGTCCTGGGATCCCGGGGAGGCATGTCCGCCTGTGTTGATACCCTCCCCCCCCAAGAGGTTTGCAGGGTTGGCAGGTCAGGTTTCTGCATATGATGGCCTCTGCGGACACTACCTGGCGACAGACCATGGGGACGAAGGGGTGAGGTTTTGGAAGGGGTGCGGCATCCCTATTGCAGTCTTATTTCAGGCATCTGGCGTTTTGGGAAAACCAAAAGGGTATAAAGCGGCTTGTACAAGCTTTGTACAACTCGAATGATTTACTTTTCTAGGTATTGTCTATTCAGTTGGTTTCTGTAGCGGTAGATGAAAATCGCTTAAAAAGGTTTCTATATCCTGATATGTGCCGCTGTCTATTAAATGATGACTTTGCCTGCACACAGTGGCACGATGCTCGAATCAAAGGTGAGAGGATAGAACAAGCACAAGTGGGAGAGACGAGATCGGCCAGATCCCTGGTGCTTACGTAACCCACTTTTGGAGCATGCATCATTGCTAGACGCATCACATCGCAACCAATTTTGTCGGTCGCCAACATCAACCGACGACCGCTCCCCGCCCACGCAGCCCCATCCCAAGATGTCGATGTTCCGGGCGAAGAAGCTCGACCTGGGCTGCTTCGTCAACGTCAAGGTCATCCGCGACCACACCAAGCGGAAGGTGTACGAGAAGTTCGAGGCGGAGAGGTATGTCCAATTACAATCGCACGCTGCTTACTGCTGCTGCTGCTGCTGCTGCTGCTGCTAGGGGTTTGCTGCAGGCACAGGAGAAGAGGAGCAAGTGAGATGAGGAAGTAGGGAAAATAGCAGAGGCTGATTGAATTTATCAACAACACAGGCAAGCCCTCCGCTACATCATCCGCAACACGACGCTCCCGCCGCGCGTGCGCGCAGAGGCCCAGCTGCAGCTGACGCAGATGCACTGCTACACGAACCCGACGCAGATCCGCAACCGGTGCATACTCGGCGGCAAGGGACGGGGTATCTTTAGCGACTTCAAGATGTCGAGGGTAAGCAAGCACGCCACTGCCCCATCCCAGCGAACGGGGGTTATCAAGGTGCCCCGTGCGGACTTGGGTCGTTGCTGGGAGGGATGTTGAGGATGCTGATTGCTGACCGTGTTGGGGGATTACAGTATAACTTCCGGCTTCAGGCTATCGCGGGCTCTTTGCCTGGTGTGCAAAAGGCGAGTTGGTAGATGGAGGTGATGCTGGTGGCAGGCTTTGAGGATTGTCCAGGAAACGACGCCAGCTTTGCTGTGCTCCCAACGAATCGCCTGTGGTCGCGGCGAGACAGTAAGATCATAGGCAACCCGTGAATGACGGGAGAGCTGCCATTGTGTGATGGTAGGCGAAGCGAACAGACCAGTGGCGGCTTGAGATGAGCTGGCCTTGTATATCACAACTGTTCGGGCGAAAGAAAAGCCCTAAGGTACAAAAATATAAAAAAGACATCCCCAATCCAAGCCTGTTCTCTAGCAACTTCTACTGTGCTTGTTTGTTTGGAGGCGGACTTTCAAGCTTCCATGGGCGAGCAACTGCTGCAAGTTCTCTGCGAGAAGCCTTCTAATTTGCAAACGGAGGCGCAAACTTGACGCTGTCGCTCTGCTGAGGAAGACTTCTCCAATGGATAAGACGCCTTAGTTGACTTTCCTTCCCATTGTCTTGTCATTGACAACTCAACATCTGGTACGGTCGACCTGGCTTTGTGATCTCGCCTTTCACATCCTCAATAGCAAGCTCTCTGCCTCTTGCGGCAGCCACATCACCTTCCTTGCCTTCTCCTTTCTTACCATATCGGACACCCGCAACATCATCAATTCCCAATCCTGCGGCGAAATCTGCTGCACCAGAAATCCAAAGATGTTTCGACGACGCTGGTCTGGTCTCCCAGAGGACCCTGTCTTCCCTACTGACTTGGAGAAACTCGGGTAAGTCGACAACTTACACACTCGCTGACCCTGCTCGTCGACTTCTCATTCCTTTTCTACGAGTGTGTTCCACACGATACTTAGAAGTTACTTCAAATACCCAAAGCGTGAGTCCCAGCTAACCAGGCCCCAGCTACTTCGTCGAGCCCAAGTCGGACGAGATCCGCCTCATTGCCAACCCGACCTACTACTTCAAGTACTTCATCTCCAAGAACGCGCGTCACAACGACCGCCAGCGTTTCGCCTTCAATACTGCCGTCCAGGCACAGCTCATCCACCCGCGCCTCGAGGCCCTGGGCCTGGCCAAGCTGGCCCTGCCCCTCGGCGCCACGGACGCTGCCACCCCAGACGACGACGACGACAAGAAGAAGAAGCAGCCCCCTCACGTCCCCATCTTCGTCTCTTCAGGCCTCAAGGACAAGAAGCGCGTGGTCGTCATCTTCGGCGAGAGCGAGCAGGAGCTAGGAGTCATCGCGCACAGGGTCATCGGCGGGCCGGGCGGCGTGGACAAGGGCAGCATGGTGGGCATCGCCAGGGCGCTCCTCCAGAACAACAACAACAACAATAACAACACCCAGGGCCAGGACCAAGGCCAGGACGACAGCAGCGGCCCCGGCCTCATCCTCGCCAACACGGGCGAGCTCTGGTGGTGGCCCGAGGGCGGGCGGGGCCTCACGCCGCGCGGGTCCCAGGGCGCGCCGATGCGCAGCGCCGTGCACTGGGGGCGGTTCCGCGACGCGCGGGTGAACGCCATCCCGGGGAACGAGAGCGCGGGCGCGCACGTCGCCTGCGTGTTCGGCCAGGTGCTCGGCAACGCGGAGCTCGTGGCCCAGGACGCGGCCCTGCAGGTCGTCGGCGTCGGCGACGGCGCGGCCGCTGTGGAGCGGTTCCTGGACCGGAACTGGGCGCGCTGGGGCGGAGGAGGCAGGGTCGGGTGCCTGGCTATGTTTGGCTCTGCCGTTGAGGATGCCTCGGTACGGGATGGGGGCTTCAGGAAGTTTCTGAGGGAGGTGAGTTTTGATCCTGCTTCGTGACCGGCGCTGAAGATCTGTGGGCCGATACTAATGCGTGCGTTCCCCGTGTGTTAGAAAGCCCGCCTCTACATCACCTGCCAGGAGCCCGTCGGCACGCCCATCTCTGGCCCGGACGGCAACGACAAGACCGTCCTCCCCACTGACTACGGCACCCACATCTTCAGCTCCGGCGAGAAGTACTACACCGAGCTGACCCTCATCAAGGCCAGAGACGCCCTCCTCGCCTGGCTGGCCGAGGTCGACCGTGTAGGCGCGGGCTATGTCAATCCTGAGGTGGAGGTCACGTATGCCGACGAGCTGGTTGACGAGGCGCCTACCTGGGGCGACGGCGGTGGTGGTGCGTGGGAGGACCGCCCGGCTGAGTTTGGAGCTCAGATGCGAACGCGCCAGGAGGACGAGGAGGAGGGTGCCCTGGAGATCATCAGCCGCGAGGAGTGGGAGGATCGAAAGAGGAAGGAGGGCAAGCTGGATGCCGCTGTCCCCGACAATGTCTTTGTCGTCGACAAGCGCAAAGAAGAAGATTAAGCATTCGGGGTCAACAAGCGCGTAAGTCCTTGCGACAGAGAGGGGATTTGAATCTCGTAGTCAAATGTCTACGATGGACATCGGAAGCGATGTTCATCCGACTACCTCGAGTAGTTTTCGGCGCGCTTCAGCAGGCAGACTAGGTCGATCATCAGTCATGGGACATTGCGATGGTTCAGATACTTAATCAGAATGGTATCAATAGCAGTTCTGCTGCTCACTGTCACTAGAGACATGCTGGCCTTTCGCCCGTGAAATTATGTAGCGGGCATCATCCATAAGTGATGTTTCGTTCTCATTTTCCCTTTGTACAGGCAATTCCCTCGCCTCACCTCGTACGGTACCACTCAACCGCCCAGCCGGGCGGAGGCACCCAGTCCTCTTTGTATGTCGCCTGCCAGGAGTCTCTCTAAGCTCTCAGCAGCGAGGTCATCAAGCCGGCATTCGGCTTCTCGAGGTCCTCTAGGATCTGCTGCGCCCGCACCGTCCTCTCAATCACCACTTTCTCCTCAGCAGCCCAACGCCCGCCGTTCTCCTCGGCTACCTTTCCGCCGGACCAGAGGCCGAACCAACCCGCCGACGACTTGGTCTGACCGTTTGCCTTGGCAGCCTCCTCCTCCTGGACCATGCGGCTCACCATAGCAGCCCAGTTGTCCAAGCCCGAGGCGAGACATTCGCGGCATGTCTTCTTAGCTTCTCGGTTGTCCTTGTCGTCTTGTAGGACCTTATGCAGCTCCTCTTCTGCGAGGTCGACGCCCTCACGTGTCCAAGCCAGACCGTCTTCGCGGGCTGAGTTCTTGAGAACGTACATGATCTCACCAATGTGCAGGTCCAGTGCAGCCTCCTCGCAGAGCTCCTTGCTGTCGCGGATGGGCGGTGATGTCCCATCAGATGGTGGTGGCGGGTATGGTGGGGGCTTGAAGAGGTTGAGCACTGTCTGCAAGGGACCGTCCTTTTTGGGAGTGTCGTAGAGAGCGGCGAGTTGCTCATCGGGGCTCTTTTGTGGTGGCTCACTGGATAATGATCGTCGTGCCTTGAGTATGGAGATGAGGATGGGGAGGGCAGCGGACACCTCCTCATGGCGCGCCTTGAAAGTGGCTAGTGCTGTCAAGGAAGTGATGAGATTGGCAGACGGTTTGCGGTCGGCCTTGTCGCTCAAGACCGCTGTTTTGGGGTCGATGAGCGGCGGTGTACCGGGGCTGTAAATTTCCTCGATGGCCAGGTTTACCGCGTCGTCATACATGATAGCAGCAGGCCCCAGCACGCCCTTGTACTCGAGCCAATTCGCGTACGCTAGCGCTGCATCCATGCGTTGTTTTGATGTGAAACCCTCGGTGGACAACAACTTCAGGTAACATTCATCTGGGCTGGGGAAGCCCGCTGGCACACAGTCCTCTTCCCGTGGGGCGGACTTCGCTCCCGGAGGTATGGGCTTGGGGAATGGATTGGAAGGGCCTCTGACGACATCAGGAGGGAAGACAGTCTTCCTAGTCTTGTCAAGCACCCATCCGTCAACGTGCTCGGATGCTCTCGCATATGTCAGGAGCGCCTCGTAGTAGCCTCGCCTCCAAGCCTCGGGCATGGCGGAGACGTCCTTTGTGCCGGGAGGGCTCTCTGATCCCATGTCCTTGAGGCCCTTACCGTCGCAATTGGGGTCCTCGAGGCGGGAGATGACATCCTTCATCATCTGGCTGATCAATGCCCAGTTCTCCATGACGACGTCGGGCCTATTCTTCTCAGCCTCGGCGCCCCTCTTCAACTGCCTTGTGCGGAAGGACCACTCGTGCGGTGTTGGGAACTGGCGCTCCAGGAACTCCTGCTGGACGGCGAAAGCAGCGCTGGCGATGAAGGCCATGATTGCCCAAAAGTATGCGCTGTATTTGACGGTGAGAATGGCTTCGCGCCGCAGCCAGATCTTGCGCTCGGTGGTCAAGTAGCGCCATTGTTGGCGCTGGAAGCGGGAGGGTATGGAGAGGAATGGGAGCTGCGGGCGGGCATTGTAGAGGGCGGGCGAGTTGTGGGTGAATGTCCGGGTGGACTTGTCGGGTGTCTTGAGCTGGCGGAGGAGGAACCGCCGGAGAAGACGTGGTCGCATTTTTGGAGGGTTCTCGATGCCGTTCTCGATGTGGTCCACTTGGTGACCGATGACCGTCGGGCACGCGCAGGTTTTCTGCAAAGAACGAGCTCAGTCAGGGGGATTGGGGCAGAGAAAGGTTACATGGTAGAATTGATGGCTGATTACAGCTCAAAAGTGTGCTGTTAATGCATGGGCTGATATGGGTGAACGGGTGAAGTGAAGTCAAGTGAAGTAAAGTGAGAGACTGGAGGAGGGGCAGGTCGCGATTGTCAATCTCGGTCAGTTGCTGCGATGAGCTCGACCGGTCGATGTCGTCGCTGCTGAATAAGCAGAGCCAAGCTCCGACTCCAGCTTCAGGTGCCGGGCAGAGGCAGCTGTAGCTGTAGCTGTAGCTGTAGCTTGCAGCTGCAGGTGGTGTAAGTCTCGAACCCCACCCTGCTCCACCGCGACTTCCCCTGCTCCTTGGGCTGCTGCCAGTTCCCTTCTACTGGACAGTATTTGGGGACATGTCAAAAGTGCAGCAGCAGTCTACGAGCCTCGAACTTGCAATATGTCACGCTGTGAACTCAATGTCGTACAGGGCTGCCATGTGCCTGGAATGAGTCGTACACGTACATGCAGAGATTCACCTACTCTCTCCCTCTTCCGCCTTAGCCGCCCTGTCTGACCCATCCACTCACTGCCTGGAGAGGTGTGCCTGCTTGTGAGTCCGTCTTTGGGCAGATCCATCATGTGCTGCCAAGCTGGCCGTCTCATTCGTCGCTTGACATCACCTCCCGACTCTATCAGACATCCTTTTCGGTTGAGCCAACACACCCGACCCTCCGTCCCTTCAGCTCTCCCATTTCGCATAAGGCAGCCGGCTCCAGCCGTCTGTTGGTCATGATTTCGACCAGGTTCAACCATGTCACAAGCACGTCAAAGATGAGAGTCTCTCTGCTGTCAGAGACTACTCGCGCATCATGTGCTAGACCCATAAGCCTTATCTCCTGAAAAGATTCCCGCCTGAGAGCAACTGCCACCTCTTTTCTTACACAGATAGGAGACATACAGTAGATATATGTGGTAGGTCTGGTCTTTCTGGGAGGACGGTCTGCTCGGGAGGACCCATCCCACCCACCATCATGGCCTACATCACCACCAACAACAACGCCACCCACACCCTTATTCACGGGTGGACCAGCACGCCGATCCACAACTTCTCCCTCTCCGCCGCAGGCCTCCTCGTCCTCGCCGACCTCAACACCATCGCCCAGCGAACTTCTCTCCGCGGCGGGTCCTCCTGGCTTGACAGCCTCCTCCTCGCCCCGGGCCTGCACTACCAGCAGGCCGCCGATGAGCTCGCCCACGGTGATTCCAAGATCCTGAGCGCCGTCGAGATCCGTCCCGACGGCAAGCCTGTCTCCCATCAGATCGTCAACCAGGCTGTAGTGAACTATGTCTTGCGCACCGCGAAGGAGGGCGAGACGGTCGTGCTAGACGTGGGCGAGATTCCCGTGAAGTCACGGTCGTGGCGGACAGGCCGCAACGGACGTGGTGGCCAGAGGGCATCAGTGTATGCGGGTGGTTGGGGTGGGGGCGGCAGGGTCGACCTGCCCGACCTGGGCTGGACGGCGCATCTGCTGTACCTGGCCAGTCCACTGCTTACCTGCGTGGCTATTGTGTTGATAATACTCGTAGGAGACTGTGAGAGCCCTTTCGCTGCCATATCACCAAACATCCGACGAAACGTTTCCGCTAACACGGCACAGGGTGGGCACTCGCCATGATGGGAGCCCTAATGCTATCCCGCATCCTAAACATCTTCGTGATCAAGCAGCGCTCTCGGCCCAAGCCGAAGATCCTCCCGCCGCCCTTCTCGCAGCCCCCAGCCTTCGCGCCCGAGGTCGCCCACATCACGCAGTACACCATCAACATCAACCCCGTCACGACAGTCATCCTCCGCGGGCTCTCGACCGACCTCCAGGCCCTCACCACCACCGTCTGGCTGCGGCCCAAGACCCACGCCGAGGGCTACCTTGAGGCCATCGCCAAGGTCCTCGTCTACCTTGTCGCCGCCTGCAGCGGCAACGCCACCCAGGCGGGGAACCTTGTGCTCCTGGTGCTGCTCCTCGTCAGCGGCGGCCTGCTGGCGCTGAGCAACGCGCAAGTCAGGGGCCTGCGGAGTGGCGGGCGGGTCGTCGCGCCCTCGCCTGAGGACAGGCACACGCGCCACCGCAACAGCGGCAGCGTTTGGTCAAGCGAGAGCAGCAGGAGTAGTGGTGGCGGTGGTCGGGTGGTCCACAACGGCGGTGGCCACCGTTCGCGGGCGAGGCGGCGGGAGACAACCGAGTCGTGGCCGGAGAGCAGCGACCTGAGCAGCCTCAAGAGTTCCGAGGACTCGCTGGAGAAGGGCGAGGCTGGGAGGGGCTTCAGGCGCTCGTCGACTGACGATGGGTCGTTGGATTACCGCGTGCAGTTTGATACCCGCCTCGGCAAGCTGGAGGTTGTTGCTTTGAGGAACCGGTAAGGAATGAATGTGATTACCGTCAAAGTGAGGCATTTCATTGGGATTGTAGCGCGCATATGGGAGGCGGTTCATCATTTTAGTACCATTGCATGGGAGAGCTTAGCTTAAGGTAGAATATGGTGTAGCACGACGCTGGTAGGTCCTGTAAATTGATAAGGTTAGAATATAAAGCGGACTAACTACTTTCAATATCATTTTCGCCTGATCATCTGGGTTTCATCCCTTCTGTAAGAGGCTGGCAGCAAGGCTGAAGCCAACACGGCAGCCAGAACAAGGCGAGAGGCTGCCAGCACATACGTACACGAACCACAAGCACATCGCGAGCTCCAAAGAGGCCCAAGAAGGTTATAATCCGAGGCCGATCAAATGCATCTGGACATCAAAACGTGCCTCGCCGGAGCCTTCGAATTCTGGTTGGCTTTCTGTGGTATCTATCAAGACAAAGACATGCCCACCAGCTGAGAAAGGAAAAGGCGTTCTCAATTTCCATCGCCATTCTTCCCGTCTTCCACCCCTTGCAGATCTGCCACGCAATCGCAAGGTGAAAGAAAAAAGTCGAAACCTACAGGTCCTCGGCGAGGCACCCCGACAGCCTGAGCTCAGGGAAAGGGAGAAAAAAAGGATAGGAGATGGAGGGATATGAATATGTGTACGATCCTTCGCAAACGTTGCAGCTTTACCAGATGATCCACCGTCCGTTCCATCCGACCACCACCAACCTTGCGTTTCTCCCTATTTTGTATCCCAAGTGTTACCCTTCCCCGTAATTGAGTACGTGGCTCTTGAAGGCTGGAATGTTCCTCCGGACGACGAGTTTCTCTAACTGGGTGCCTCGCCTTTCGACAGACACAAGGGAGTATCAACATTCCTTCCCCAGGATGGCCGCTCATCAACAGCAGCCTCGCAAGAGTCCGAAGCTCTCCTACCACCAAACTCCTTCGTCTCTCATCTCTCTGAAGCTCGCAAGTCACAAGCCTCCCGCCTCTCCCGAGTGTCCAAGATGCCATCAATCCCCATGGCTCCTTTTTGCAGTAGGACCGAGCACTCTGAAGGGAACCAAGCCCACCACCAAAAGCATTATCATCCGTGAGACCAAAGCCCACGGTGCATAAACGAGAGTCATTAGTTGAACAGTAGACGGCGGCTTCCTTGTACTTGGTACACAATTCAGTAAGAGATGCTGTGACCCGCGGTCGAAAAGATCTAAGAATAAAATAATAATAGTTTGTTGAATCGGTCTCTGGTGTGCGTGCAAGGCGGAAATGTGCGTGCGAGGTGTAATTAAATATGCTGTGTACGTGATGGTCGGAACCAGGGCCGAAGATGCGTAGAAGAACAAAAGAGACCGAAGGAATCTGGAATCAAAATGCAGAATGGTGCTGAGTTGTGCAGTGTTGACGGATTTGAACTTCTGGCAATCCCATCCAAGCATTGCCATTTCGTCGGATTGCATCTCCCCGGTGGAAAGCTTCTTACCAGGCGAGTGGTGAGGAGATCGATGACATGTAGGATCGACGGATCCATGATCGCACCGCGCAGGCGGGCCAGCCACAACGAGAGTTTACTGTCGAGCGCCTGTCGTTGAGACCTGGGTGTTCGATCCACCACCCGCCGAAGAAAGCGAGGATGAACTGCGAACGACTGATGTTGGGATGGAATTGAAAGCCAGGGCCAAACCGAGACGTGTGGCTCGTAGCAGAGTGAGTGTGTCGCGCGAAGAAAACAACACAGAATAAACATCGTAGCGTGGTGGTACAGAAAGCCTCCCGAATCACAGCCGCCGTGAAAGAAAGTCATATGCTCGTGTCGCCTTCGGAGAAGCGGCTTCCATGATGATGGTGGTGGTACAGGCTGTCGCAGCGGCCAAGGGCGAACCACAAGGCCGCACTTGACACAAGGAGATGTAGTAAGTGCAATTAAGATAGCTCTTCATAGCAGCGCACAACTTCGCAAAGCGCGCGCAGCAGAACTGGCTCCAGCTCCCTGCCGTTCTGGCCCAAGATGGCAGCGTCCTCGCTGTCTTCATCGCTGTCTCTGCTAGCGGTGGTGGGCGAGCATTGCTTGACCGTCTCTACCAGACGCTTGATGTTGCTGGCGATGGCGTCGCGGAGGTCGCGCATTGCGGAATCGGACTCGAGCGATGCTGAGAAGGACGCTGCAGGCGGCGTGGTCTTGCGCTGCTTGTCCTTGCGGCCGGCTAGGGTGCCGGGGCGTGGCCTGACTGGCTTGCCCATGTGCGTCGCACCCAGGCCAAGGAGCGAGGCTGCCTTCTTGGGAACCACAGCGGTCGACGCGGTGGTGGCGACGTCGTCCTGGAGCTCGCGGATGGTCACGTCATCCCGGTCCTGGAGCGCCAGGTCCGCACGACTAGTGACGCCTGGGGGAAAGGTCATTGAGGGCCGGGAACGGAGACCAGGGTGGCCTGGGCTGCTTAGGAGATGAGGCATGGCGCCACAGAGAGAATTTATGTAGTTGTAGGCGATGAGGTGGGCGTACAGGCCGTCGAGGAGGTAGTCGGTCCCGTTGGGAAAGATGCTGCGGAGCGCACCAACGCAAGCACTCACATCGGAGGACTTACGAGAGGGAGGAGTGTTGGACCGCATCGAGATGTTGTGGTGGTCCACGGGCGGCCAGAAGTCATCATCCTCCTTCAGGAAGGGCGAGGTATGAGAAGATCCTTGGCGAGATGAGAGATGAAGCTTTTTGCCACGTAGAGAGAGCTTCTTGAACTTGAGATTGCCAAAAGATGACTTGCGCTCTAAAGAGCCAGGTACAGAATCCATGGTGGGTGCATCAAAAGCTGTTAACGCGTAGTCGTCGCTGTCACGGCTGAAGCCACGGTCCCCACTGCTGGTTCCACCGCGGCGGAGTTTACGCGAATAGCTACGAATCGTCTGCACGGTCAGAGAGGACGTTCGAAGCATTGTGTCGGGGAAATTGCCGACGCTAATCCGCAGATTCTCGAGAACTTCAGCAGCAACGCGAACACTGCCGATTGGTGCCGTGCTTGTAGGTGAGTTGGTGAAGTGTGTTGGCGTGGTAGGATGAGCGGTGGCGGCACTCGAGTCCAGCCAGGACTGAACTTGAGTGATGATGGGCATCCTCGAATGGCTTCGTGTCTTGCGAAGCTTGTGAAGCAAGTTTGGATGCTGTTGCGAGTGCTGATTCGCATCCAACGCGTCGTCGGCAGCTTCGTCAGGAAGCGGCGAAGGAGGTCGCAACTGATAGCTCGACGTCGCTGTGAGGGCGTACTGAGGCTCGTAAATTGGTCGATGGCGGCTAGTAGGAGCGATTGAGCACGAGACAGCCTCATTGGTGTCCCAGTCGTGCTGATTTTGGTACGATGGAGGGGGAGGAGGAGACGACTTGCGAGGTGAGGGTGGTGTTGGTGGTTTCGAGGCAGGCTCCAGGTCGAGCTTGGGCGGGGCACAGCCTACGCGAACATGTGCAGCCTCTCCGATCACAACCGTGGTGACTTGATGGCTGAGAGACGATCTCCTTCTGGGAACATTAAGATGAGAAAGCTGTTCCGTATGGCCCCTCTCGTTCGCCTGTGCTGCTGACCGGGCTTGAGGTCCGTCTGAATACTCAGCAGCTTCGCCAGATGCAGCGCCCTCGTCCAAATCTCCCGAAGTCTTCAACATGTCAGGATCCAGGTCCACCCAGCTCCTGCCGCTTTTCCCTGAAACTCGTGCGGCTCCCTTGCTCAGGCTGCTTGTCGGTGATAGGCATACTTCTGCTGCTCCTCCAAGCACCGAACGGATTTCCACCGACGTGGCCGCAGTAGTAACGGACTGCTTTCGGGTTCGGACTGATGGCGACGACGTCCCAACCTCGATGTCTGCGGACGAATCACTGACCCAGTCCTCATCGAGGCCGTTGAGGAACAACCTCGTAACGTCCTTGGTGTTATCTTGCTTCATGCGGATCTCCTCGACGACGAACATATGATCCTGCCGATGGCTTGGAAGTGAGCTGTATCGGGGCCCGGGTCCTCTAAGAGGCCACTCGTCCTGCTGTCTTTCTTGTCGTCTTCTGGCGTTCTCGGCCCTGGCCCTAGCGTACTCTCTTGGAGAGTACAAGGTGGTCTCTGAAGTTGCGCGGTGCAACGTACTTGTAACATCACGACCGGGATTGCGCTGCGGGACCTGAGGTGGCTGACATTCCAAGGTCAGGGACGTCGCCGGCGCCCCTGCGGTCAAGCTCCTTGTGCGGAAAACATCCTGCGATCTTGCCAGATCCCTAGCCAACAGCTCCGGGAATGTTTGTGTGATTGCGTCCATGGTGATTTTCAAAAGTGGGCCAGCAGCAAACAGGACGGTTAAGCCTCGGGAGGGCGGAGGAGCACAGGAGCTCTACTCAGATGTGGGCCGGCGGTCGTCCTCGAGTAGCAAGAATTAGCCTTTGAAAGGGCTGTCACAATTGGGTTGCACAGGGCAAGCTCTGGGATCGAATAACAAGACGAGCCACTTCCGGATGCTCATTTGGCGTGGCGGCGGCGGTCGAGGAACTAAAAAGCCTCGTAAACACACAGGTTGCAAGCCTTGGAGCGTGGACGACTCAGATCAGAGCTTGATATTAAAGGCCGTCATGCAGCGAACGCCAGCCGTGGTCGAGCGAACGGACGACCGAACGGGTGGAGTGGCCCGACCTGAGGTCTGACAAAGAAGCAGACCAGACAAGCGGTACTACCGTGGAAGGAGATGTTGATTAAGAAATTACTCTGCGTGGACAAGCAAGTAGACGAGAAGAGAGTTATGCGGCCAGGCTCCCAGCAGTGCTCGTCCCATGCGGTGACACGGGCTATAGGACCACGACACCAAAGCCAACTGATGGCTTGTAATCACGCAGCAGATCAGCCGAAACGGTGCTGCCACACGAGACACTGTCCTCGAGCATATAACAACACAGTGATGATGAAAAGCATAGTTGACATATTCGAGACGGCAAGGGAAAAGAAGGCGTGCCGGTGCTTATCCCTAGCCTTGCTGCCACAAAGTTTGTCCATGTCCCATGTGAGCCGTGGCAGAGTGAGGTAGCATCGGGCGGGCCATAAGTCAACTGAAATGACAGGGAATGGGATGGTGTCTCAACCCAGATCAGCCAAGACGAGCGCAGGCAAGGACGTGAGGTCTGTTCCGCAGAAAAAGACATCATGACCAGCACGCCTCTTACCACAGACTAAGGGAGAATCGCATATTGTTGACTCAGAATGGTGGAAGGCGTGCATACTCTCTGCCGCCTTGCATATGGCGCCGCAGGGGCAAAGGGCGCCACCAAGACTGGGAGAGAGAGAGCTTGCTGCCGCCGGCCTAGTGCAGGACTGCTGCAAGGCTTGCCGCGTGTCGGTGTGTTTCGACAAGTTCCGGTGTTATTGGTGAGGAGCGAGCATAGGACACTCAGCGGTCCGAGTAGCACGGCGGGCGATAACGGTCGACGCAGTAACCCGGTTCATAGGGGAGTCTTAAGCCGTCACGAGTTGGGATCCCGATGATCCAGATAGATTAATCGGAAACCCCGGGAAACGCGCTGCGCAGATGAACGAACGGCTTGGGTGTTCGCTCAGCTAGAGTCCAAGTGGCCGTCAACAAGTTGACAGCTGCTTGCCGGGCATGCAAAAGCAACCAAGGAGGCGCATCCAGACCAGAATTAGTGAACGCTGTGGCTTGTAAGTCGTCGTTGTGGTGGGCCAGCTGGCCAGGTAAGACAAGGCCATTACGGGGGACCCGATGGCATCACGATACCCGCGTGGCTCTCGCTTCTCTTCCCTGGGCTCTCAGACTCTGCAGTCTCAGTCTGATGATGCTCGCTAGTCCCATGGAGGTGTTGATAGGGGCGTTCGAGGGAGAATGACCGTCGTGGACCTGGGGATGGGCCAGGATCTGATGCGGCCAGGCTAGAAGCGAGGACCGATCTTCGAGAAGCCGGCGTAGCAGTCAAGAAAAAGCAGCCGTCTGATCGACCCCAGTCACTGCTCTTCCCGGTAGCGAGATCTGGAAAAGCAGGTGAGATCAGCGGATCAGACAATCGGACAGTCACGAGCTGGCAGTAATATGTGGTCAGGGTCATGTCATGTGTGATGAGGTTGGATTGAGGAGTGGCCGAAGGGTTACGAGGCCGGCCAGGGAAGAGAAGACGTTCAGTACCAAGGTTGGAGTTGATGTCCACCCCACATGGCGCTAGGCCTAACCAGGGGAATCCCACCAGGGCAGCAAACAACCTTGAAAGGAGCGCTAGGAGGGTGTCCAGTCACTATATTCAGCAGTCGCAGCTGGCGTGGTTCCTGCTCAGCCTGATCTGCGATGCAACTCTGCAATGAATCCCTGGGTAATGAAAGGGGATTACCACCTATTGATATTACACCGGTCAGCCTGATATACACAAGGTTGGTTGAACCTGAAGGTTCAGACAAAATTCATTCTCAGACTAACTACCAGACAAACAGACCACCGCGGCTGGAGGACAGACAGACAAATAAACAAACAAACAAACAGACACACAGTTCAAAAGCAAATGGATGATGGCTCGAGCATCTTGCATCTTGCGTCCTGCATCTTGGCCTCAATAGTCCACATACTAGTCAGCCAGAACCAGCCATTGATTCCCGCCTTGGCCTCTCGCTCCCGCCACAAGACTGGCAGCGGCCTGGTGGTGTATAAGACAGCATAAGTATTTTTTCCACCCATCTGCTCAGGCCAGGCCAGGACACTAACTCTTTCAGGGGGTCTTTGCAGCCTGACAGCCCAACCACCATCATTGAAAAAAACAATGGGTCTGTCTGCCTTTCACATGGCAGATCACCAGTCAAGTTGATCGAGGTCGACAGGATTCCCAACATCATGATCACTGCCACCGCCACTGCCTCGAGTCGCTCATGTGCTGTTCGCCGTAATGCTCCTCTTTGAGAGATAACCTGCCCGATCACCCAGGACATGACTGAAAATTCTGCCGAACGATGCCCAACACGAACCGTCCAGCGTCACAATCTGGTGAACGGACCGCAGCCCGGCCCGGCTGTCGGTCTCCCGGAGCCCAGTACCGGCACATCAGGGGCCGAGCTATCTCGCCCAACCAGTCCGGGACCGGCGACATGTGGGCCGCCCCACCGACGACGGAGCTCCGGTCTGAATTTTGCGCCCTTCGAGGTCGAGAGTGAACCTCAGAGCCACTTTTGCACCGCCTTAAGTATCGCACGATGCCTGCGCCTGGGATTGGCATAGGCACAGAAAGACGGCAGACCAGAGTGGTTATCTATACCACCACAGCACAACCTACATGCAGACCTTTCTTCCAAGTTAACCTTGTCAGACATGTTCCACCACGACGAAAAGCACTGGGGCCCAGCCGGGCCCAACGCCGGTGTGCTGCAAGACAATGATCCTGGTATGTACCCCGTGGGTTATGACGACCACGACGCCACAACGCAGGGTTCCCACGACGACGACGATGTAGACTCGACCGCTCCTCCGTCCGTGAGGAGGCAGAGGACCGCCCGTGCTTCAGAGGACCTGAGGAGGACGGCGAGCAATGTCCTGTCCACCATCGCCTCGCGTATCACGACGCGAGGCTGGCCTGAACCACCGCCTCCTCCCGATGGCGGTGCCAAGGCCTGGACCCAGGTGGCTTGTGTACGTCTTACAATCAAATTATCAATACCTAGGAATTTAAGATACCAAGGCAGCTCTGAATTGAAGACAATTTGCCTGATGTTCTGCTCGAGTTGTGCCTGAGTTGTGCCCAATGAATTGTGACCCCAAATTGCTGACCTTGAACGCAGGGATGGTATGCTATTGCACACTGCTAGATGAAAACTTTGAAATGCAGACATTCAAGATACTGATATGCTGCGTCTAGGGTCGCCATATTCGTAACATGGGGTTACCTCAACTCCTTTGGGAGCTTTCAGACGTACTATGAGCAGACAATGCCCGACACGCCGCCCTCGACTATCTCCTGGATCGGCTCCCTACAGATCTGGCTGACAATGGTCAGCGGAGTCTTTTCAGGCCGGCTCCTCGACGCCGGCTTCTTTGTGCCGACCTTCTTCGTCGGCGCCGTTCTCCAAGTCCTCGGCATGTTCCTCATGAGCATCTCAAAGACATACTGGCAGCTCATGCTGACGCAAGGTGTGCTCACTGGCATTGGCGGCGGTATTTTCTTTACGCCTTCGCTGGCCCTTGTGACTACCGTGAGTTGACAAACCCGGACTCTCTTGAAGAGGGAAACGCCTCCTTCTAGATCTAGAAGCTGACCTCGCAAAGTATTTTGACAAGAGACGCGGGCTGGCCATGGGGCTCGTCACGACGGGCAACTCGGTCGGTGGGATCATCTACCCGCTGGTGGTCCGGCAGCTGATCCCCAAGCTGGGCTTCGGCTGGACCTCGCGCGTTCTGGCCTTCATCAACCTGACGGCGCTGGCCGTCTGCCTAGGCTTCATGCGTCCACGCCTGCCGCCGCGCAAATCCGGGCCGCTCATCGACTGGGCCGCGTTCCGGGAGCCCGTGTTCGACGCCTTCCTCTCGGGCTGGTGGCTCATCATGTGGGCCAACTACTACACCTTCTACTACATCGCGTCCTTCGCCGTCGAGGACCTCGCCATGTCGTACTCGGCCGCCTCCGTGCTCGTCATGGTCCTCAACGGCGCCGGGCTGCCCTTCCGCGTCATCGTGCCCCTGTTCTCGGACCGCTTCGGCCCGCTCAACGTGCTGATGCCCGTCGTGTTCGTCTGGGTCATTGTCTCGTTCTGCTGGCTGGCTGTTCACAGTATCGGCGGGTACTATGCCTTCACTGCGGTCTATGGGGCGACTTCTGGGGCGTTCCAGTGCTTGATACCGACCACCATTGCCAGCATCACGGACCGACTGGACAAGGTCGGGACAAGAATGGGCATGGCTTTTGCCATTATCAGTGTCGCGTCCATGACTGGGCCTCCAGTTGGAGGGGCTATACGAAGCTCAGGTCCTGGCTCATTTTTGGGGCCACAGTTATGGGCAGCTTGCTCCTTACTGGTCGGATTCGTTCTCTGTCTCGTTGCGAGGTGGGCGAGGGGTGGGCTTAACTTGCGGACGAAATGTTAGTTCGATATCAGTGGTTGTTGGAAAAGCACCCGTCTGGGCTCGAGTCATGGATGGTGAAGGACGGAACCAAGAGGAGATCACGACGCTGGCGGTTTGGTGATCTGCTCTGGATGACCCCCAGAGTGACCAGTCTCTTGAGGGGTCAGAGCTAAGGAAGAATGTGTCACAAAGTGCTTCTAATAATGAGAGCCTCGAAGCGAATCATATGAAAGACCAACAATTTAATATATGAATTAGTAATCTCTAATGTGGTATAGATAGAAGCATAGCATTGCCAAATCTATTAGTTATTTGAGCTCTAGTTCAAGCAATAGATGAGAGAATTATGCTGCGTATGAAAATGTTCTTGCCTACTTTGACTTGACAGTTACATGCTTCCAGTCGCACGATGGGGATCTGGTCCGATTGGGAATCAATGCCCAATTTTGACCCATGCTTGCAGCCGCCGTCTCCGTGCAGGCCCGTTCAATGTGTAAGTGCTCGTGAACAAAATCCCAAACCTACCAGCACTTGCCTACATTCATTTTTGGACTCCGTATCTCTGTACGGCTTGCAACTGGAAAAGCAAGCAGTTGATCGATCCCCGGCGTCACTACGAAAGAGCTGCTGCGGGAGAGGTCTCATCAAGAATTTGGGGGGGGGGGGGCTCACCGATTTGTTCCAAAGAATACAAGAGAGATCTGGAACCGACTGCAAATTGGCCCGCGTTGATTCCTGTACCTGTCATGCCAAGGAACGCCGTGGAGAAATTTGCGAACAATAGGTATGATGATCTTCTCCAGCCCGCGCTATGAAAGTCTTCGAGTGTGTCTCGACATCTCTCCTCATTGGCGTTAATGGATTGGACCTAGCAAGAGAGCGTATGGCTCAAGAAATGAGGGCCTCGTGCCTAATAGATGTTATAGACGTAAGCTTCTCCCTTTGCTGTTTCTTTCTGGACCTGGTTCCCAGACATCCTTCCCATTTGCCGACACACCACTACACTAGAGCAGAACATCAGTTTGGCACCATGTCAATCAAATACTGGGAGGCACTGCTGTATAAATGAGGTTGGGAATTTCTCTCTCCCGCACCTCAACATTCGGGTACTTTCAGCCTCCAAGTACTGAAGGACTTTGGGACCTAGCGTCAGTAGCCAATTACAAATCCAATCGCATTAGTATCTCATACCTGCAGCCCATTCGCTCAAATTTACCAGAGAGGTGACGACCTGCAGTTTGGCTGCGGTCTTTTGCGCAGACGTCAGCGACCCCCGCATAATCATGAGGCATTCATCGCTGTTTCCATAGCTAAAGCCTGAGGCAGAAGATCTGTCAACGCCGTCTTCGTCCTTCTGGATCCGATCCCATGCGATGTCTGATACACAGATGGATGCAATCAAGGACACCATCAGGCACAGCTGCCATCATTGCCAACAGGAGGTGTTCACCGCCGAGGGATGCAGACTGTTTAGTGCGGCCCAGACGACAAAATGGCGATTGCCTTTGAGACACAGCCCACATGCTGTGATGGAAGCAGCTTCCTCTGGCTGTCCATTTTTCATCTGGCTTTGGGCCCAACTAGATTCATCCGGCACTCCATCCCAACAGATGAAACGAACGACCATCACCCTCGAACTTGAGGGTGTGCATCTTGAGAGAACCCCTGTTATCGTTATCGCCGACGACGACTCGCCGCCGACAAGCATTGGCTACCATGGCAGAGACAGCTACGACATAATTGGATGCACAGTCAAGGTTGAGACAGACTCTTATACATGGATTGCAGGTAAATTCGAAGTCATGTCTGACTGGGGTATGCGGATCCTGCTTGACCTTCGCTCCTATGGTTTCGTTCTCCTGTCAAGGCTTTTCATCAGCATCGCTGACTGGACCACAATAATATAGATGACCCGAGCGCGAACCATGCCTTGGCTAGGATGATCGACGGACACACATCGTCAAATCATGTGATAGGACAAATTCAGCGGCGGTTACAAAATTGCAAGGCACACCACGAAAATTGCCAGTCTGTGGCAAGTGCCGTCAGGCCGCATCGTTTTCTTCTAATTGAGAAATTGCCTGACGGAAATACCAGTGTGAAGGTCATACGTGCATTCGGTATTGAGAACGGTGATACTGAGCCGTACGTTGCGCTCTCCTATTGTTGGGGCCAAGACCAGGCTTTCAAAACTACATTGGCAAACCAGGTCGACATGGAGGCCGGTGTCCCAGTCAGCCTGCTCCCAAAAACCATTCAAGATGCCGTAAACTTGACCAGTGAACTCCGAATCAGGCTCCTTTGGGTGGACAGCTTGTGCCTTGTGCAGGACGATGAGGACGAGTTGGCCAAGGAGATCGCCAATATGGCGCATTATTATGGCAACTCTTGCATCACGATATCGGCAGCCACGGCGAAATCGTGCGGCGAGGGATTTCTACGTGACAAACCAGAATTGCATACCAGCGAAGACGACATACTTGGCCCGTTCTACTTCCCAGTCGATCTCGGGGTACTGGAAAAGCCTGGCCGGCTGAAACTTGTCACTCGAAGAAGCCGGATGGAGGCTATCGACTCGCGAGCGTGGACTCTGCAAGAAGGACTGCTTTCGCGTCGTTTGGTCTCTTTCGGCTCTCGCATAGTCAGATGGTCGTGTCAGACGAAATCCTATGGGCCACAACACCATACTCATCTGCGGGACTCCTTGAGAGATTTTCGCAAGGGAATTTGGTACCAGCCTAACGGCTCTAATGACAAAGTCTGGAGAAACTTGAAGCTCTGGAGCACTCTGATTGAGAACTACACAGCCCGGACCCTGTCAAATGAGCAGGATCGACTATCGGCAATTTCGGGCATTGCTTCAATTCTTTGCCAGAGCCACATGGGATGGAGTACTGGTATTCTTACGGGCTCTAGGCTGAGGCTTGAGCGTGGCGATGAAGACTTTCGTTGCCCAGAACCAGTATCGGGACAAGATCTAGCCAATCTTCCGAGACTGAGACCTCCATCGCCTATCTTACACTCCATATCATTACCCTCAGCTGGACCTTTAGGGCAGAGTGACCGGGCAAATTATGCGGCTGGTCTCATGGACGAGCCTGTTGCCATGGGCGCATTATTTCCCCACAGATACAGGGAAGAACTTGACACCACTTCCACGCTTCTGACTCTTCAGCTTTTATGGACACCCAAGTGCATAAAGAGCATAACCCAAGGACAGTGTTCTCAATCATCGCCTTACGTCGCCCCTTCATGGTCGTGGGCAAGCCATCGGGGTGCAGTGAAAACATCAATCCTCCACATTGATGACAGTCTACTAAATAAGATACACGTTGCGACTTGGGAACTCGAACTCAGAGTCTTGAAGATCAGCATTTCCCTAAGGAGTCCCGAAGCACCTTACGGAGCATTAAGCGGAGGCTCATTAACTCTGAAAGGCCCTGTCTTCCGGCTGGATCGCCTGATGATGGCTCGTACCGTCTTCGATGCGAAGACACGAAACAGCAACCGTCGAGCTCGAGCGAGCAATTTCTGCCTGCAGGTCATTCCACGACTCCAAGGGCTACAAGCCAAGGATCTTGCACAGCTTCGTAAGATCCCGCACGGCATCGTTCTTGAACCAGTTGCTCTCAGAAGCCTGCTTCAAAGTGGCAACAAGGTTTACCGTCGAATTGGCGTCTACTATGAGAATTACTTTGATAATGACTCAGACAGATCAGGAGAGATCCTGGGAGATGATCAGACACATCTGCTCAGCAGGTTCCTGGGAGAGCCTCCCGTCATTAGGGCTCGCCCTAGTCCTCGACTTGGCAACCTTGAGATCATTGAGATAATCTGATTCCAACCCCCTGGCCAACCCCTCCGAATTGAAGGACCAGCTCAGAAGCCAAACATCGTCTTACTCTTCTTTTCTTTGCACCCATCACATTTCACTTGCCAGTACTGTGACTCGAGATCGTTCATTGATTGAGCGCTGTTCTTGTGGTCTTCACATGCTCAAATTAAACTACAAAGTCCGTTTGTGACCATTGAACCCCGGAGACACGTTCACTATCGTTCACGTTTACCAACGCCGTAGGGCTCGACTGCAGTCCACAACATCCGTCGGAAGCCTAGAAGTCCAATAATAACTGATTTGTTGTTCTAGAGTGACCCCTACAGCACCCATACGCCAGGGACTGTCTTCTGCTCTAGCTGCGTCTTGACCTTGGACTTGTCAAATCCCATTTCCGTCCGCCAACCAGAACTTCACCATCAACATTAACATCCTCACCACACTTGCCAGGTCACGAGAAGCAAAAACGACAAACGCAAACAGCCGTCAAGGATCCTGCGGCGAGATGTCTCGAAAACACCGGCGCGGCCAACATCAGGCCCCGGCGCAACAAGGCAATGTCAGTGATGAGATGCGAGACCTCACGACGCAGGCCATACAGGCCGACCCAAGCAGTAAGTGTCACAAACCTAGCCATCTTTGCATACCAGGATTTCAATGCGGGTTAAGGCAATACTGACCAAGCCTCGTACATTCTAGACATCACCATCGCAGGTAGTGGCCATTTCGCACAGCACTTCAACATGCAGAGAAACGCAAGCCATACGGCCCAGCCACAACGCCAACACATGCAAGTACCTGGGCCCCAGCGGTCATCGAGGAGGAACAAAAATAACCGAGCAGAACCATACTCGAGAACCCCATCGCACCCAGAATCCTCGCCGGCCCCCCGCCGCGATGGCATAGATAAGCGCAAGGGGCAGGGCAGCCAGGGAAAGCCCTCCCCACCACCACAACCCTGTCCCAACTGCGGCAAAGACCATCCTTTAAAGTACTGTCCTTACCCCAATACAGAGGATGGAAGACTACAGGCCTGTTTCATGTGTAACACGACAGACCATGCGTGGTTCCGGTGCAGGAAATACAAGTACAACCAGCACAGGGTGTTCCACAGCGTCATTGCAGATCGACAAGGTCTCTGCCCCATTGTGCACAACATGGAAGCACACCACGTCTGGCAATGCCATTTTCAGTCCGGTGATCGGAAGACTCGGGCTTTGACTCTGCAGCGGCCTGGTCCATGGACTCCACAGTTCACGGTGCGCATGTGGAAGAACGGATCTCGTAGCACCGAAATCAAAATGCAGCTGGACCAGGGCCGCAAGCTTCCCTGGCACCTTTCTACGGCCGACTTGACAAACGTTGAAGAGCGCCTCAAGCGCGTCGTTCTGGATCCAAACACCAACCCGATGTCAGAAAACGTCGTTTACCAGGGCACAATGACTAAGACTGACGACATAATCAAGTTAATGCAGCCGAAAACCCCTTCCGGCACCAAGTCCCTGTCATCAGGAGGTCGGAGGCTTCTGCATCACGCGGCAGGTACAGACCCCCGACCCTGCAATAATTGCAGTCTTGTCGGCCATTCCTGCAAGGAGTGCCTCTCACCCTGCACACAGTGTGGTGAGCGAATGAACCACGGCGACCACTTGAAGGAATGGCTTAACGGCAGATGCCGCTACCTCTGCTGGTGCTCTGAGAGACCTGGTCACCCATACTGGAAATGCACGCGGCCCTGTCGGACCTGCATACTTTTCTTGGAAGATAAGAATAAACACCAACCGGTTGGGGATTGCCCGTGGCACTGCGGAGTACACCCCAAGGACACGAGGATCATGGGCGCCGACGAACACAATGTCTGCATCGAGTCTCTAGATGGAGTGTGTCAGGAATGCAATGAACGCGGTGCCCACTGGCCTCAAGACTGTCCTCAATTCCTGCGCAGATTATGCATGGTTTCTGACTGCAAGATTGAGAGCTGCCTGGAACACTGCAACAGCTGTGGCATGGGGAGGCCCGACGGGCAGCAAACTTTCACATACCTAAAAGAACACTGCAATGCCACTGAGTCCGATCTTGAGCCACTGAGACAAATCAGCATCCACTGGCACAATCTGATACACGGCCAATGGGACCGTGTTTTTACGGATGACATATCTGGAAACAAGCCGTGGAGCATCCTGAGGTGCAAGAAGCACCCCGCCAAAGAGTTCAAGGTTGAAGATCTCAACCAGATTCGCCTCAACACCCTCAACCGGATGATCGAGAAGCTGAGGTCCGGTGCTTCAATACAAGATCAGGCCACTGTCAAGGTTCTGTCCTTCCCCGAATGCCCGGACTGCTTCCTGGAGGTCATGGGCGGCAAGGCCAACTACGTCGAGCGGACGCCGGCGTAGCGATTCAACTGGGACGTGGTGCACACAATTCTCATCACCCGCAAGGCGCGCCACAGCTCGACTGATCACTTTGTTCTACTAGTTTGCAAATCCGCGAGGCGGATTTGTTGGATCTGTAGTATGTCAATTTACGCACACCTCAATACAATTGTCTTCTGATAATCATGGCTTCACACGAATCTTCCGTGACATGAACTGATCTGAAGTCATTGAAATATGCTCGTAGATGTGTATGCCCCTTGTCCCAAAATACGTAGATACGTCTCGCCATGACACTTCTCTACACAGTCATGAAGGGCCTTTGAACAAAGAGATTGTTGATATTTTCAACGAAATATCTGAACGAAAACTAGCTTTTTATGCGGGCTATATGCAACGAGAGCACGACCTCTGCATAATTGACAGTGAACTAATGCAACCACAGCATCAAACCATGGTTATCAGCTACTGTAGGACATTGTAAAAAAGTAACTTTTGTGAATATCTGCGATTTTCGGGTGCCTCATTGTGGTATTCTGCCACTGCAGAGTGAAGCATGGCATTGCTCTGATTTGATTAGCACATTACTTTCCGGCCATGCTTTAGATTGTTTTTTCGATGAGACATGAACTCGTTCTATCTATTTAGAAATGCATGTAATTTCCATGGATATGTTTTGAAGACCCTGTCTTTCCATGTTTCTGTCCATGGTCATCAATACCTGATCTTCTTTCAGTATGCGTGTCTATGTTGCTTTATGGAAAAAGACCTTCCTCGGAGCGGACTGTTTATAAAATTGTAATTATAACATTTTGATAAAATGTATAAAGTAGTCTATTTATAAAATAATTATTTTACATGTTTATTAAATAAATAAATATGTTGTAGTATTATTTACAACAATATATGAAACAGGAGAAAGCTATCTCTTTGTATTGATGAGACTCGGTATGATAGGAATTGTTGCAGATGAAGTATTTGAATCTTCCCCTTTGCTCATTCCTCTTCCGTTCAAACCTGCCAGAAGAGAGCGTACGTGGTCATCATTACAGCCTCACTACACCTCTTGCTCATGGACAATCTTCCACATTAGCAAGGTGGCAGACAGGCTAAAGTGCTGTTTCAAACACTTCGGGACATTGTTGACAAGCGAAGAGCGTCAGAAAGATCTCAGTCATCCAGACTTAAAAGAGAAAGTAATGACTCCTAATGTATGGACAATGAGTCCCCTACATGCATTGAGGAATGCAGAACTCGAGAGCAATTTAAGGAAAAAACTAAATAATGGGGCGTAATGCCACTTTTCCTCTCTAGCTCTGAGCGTGTCCGCTCGGATAACAAAAGCTAAGTAGACATTGGCTTTTCATCGTCGTTCTCAGTTCCCTCATCTTCGAGAATTTCCTTTGACAGGTCGACCTGATCGTCTTTGATTTCTCTTGTGATGTTGTCTCCCCTTCAAGGCTCGCCAAACTTATCAGGCTCCGTGGAGTGTTGCGCCTCAGTTGGTAAAGGTCCTTGGGGTAACGCGTGGATTCTTGATACTTTGAGGTGGATAATCCTCCCGCTCTCTCAGGAATTGTGGCTACAAGGATTCGAGGATGGCGGCGTAAAGTAGACTTGAATAAATGGACCCCGTGATACAGTTCTACATGTACCTGACCATCAAGACAGAAAGATGCGCGGTGCTTGGGTGGACCGCACCAACTTGTCATGGTATTTCGTGGCGGAGTGAGGTCGATGATGTATGAAGTTGGCCAAGCGGGCCCCGTTGCACTGAACGCTAATGCAGGTACGTGGATTCACCCCACGATGCACCTTGGTGTGCGCTGAACTAAAAATGGTCGTGGAATTCCTCCTGTACTGACATGGCTGTCATCAATTTCTCAAATACAAACGGCACGAGGATTACTGATCACTCACAAAATAAGTGTAGTTCATGGGGTGAAGCAGAGTCTCAGATCCGGCGGGGCTCCATATGAGCCCAAGCTCCAGGGTACCTAGGCAAACAATCAATGTAGGGCGGCCAAGTAAACTGCAGGTACCCCTGACAGTCTGGAGCTCACAGTGCCTTTAGCGCGTTGCTCCCTGCAAAGCCCCCCCTGCCCCTTGCCCCACCCCAACGCGCCAGGGACAGATACAAACCCACCACTTCCTGGCTTTTGGAATTTTGAGCTTTCTTCTTCATTTTCTTTTCGTTTTACGAAGTCAAGATGTCACAAAGACACACAGATGACCCATTTCCGGAGCGCCCATTGCTCCGGTCATATAACACAGTCGCGGCACGCGGCAATTTATCTGGCACACTGCGGGCTGCGGCCTCAGCGAGCCACGAGGACGTACAAGTCCAACAAAGCCTTGGTGGTCACGAGCCTCCAAGTCTACACAATGAACAAGCTTCCCTGGGCTCACCAGAGCCGCCAGGCGTTCCGCAGCTCAGCACCGCGATGAACTTTGAGAACCTGCCAGCCCTTCAGGGGTTAGGCAGTTTCACCCTTGTTGATCCACATACTGGACAACTTTCCCTGAGCGTGGACCAAATGAGTCTTGCGCAGCCGCAACAGAACACACAAGTGTCTGGCGGCTATGCGCTTTCGCGGGGAGCTGCGGCCCACAGGGCTGTTCAGCAAAAGTCTACGAGACACAGTCCACAGCAGATCGACGCCTCGCCGCACCGAGCAGACGGTCTTCGCTCACAGGACTCACAGCTGTGCCAAAGCCACACTGGGGAGCCTGTAGTTCTGTGCCAACAATCTTTACCGGCCCGTATGCTGCGTCAGCAGGCGCAGGATGCCGCCGCTAATGAGGCACTCGAGGATAAGAAAATTGCCCTGAACACCGACGTGGCTGATTTGGGGACCAGAATGGCTGACCTGAAGACAGAGACGCCCAAACTCCAAGCCTATGTGCCTAACTTGAGGGGCGGATGTAGTGATATGGAGAAATTTAATTCATCTCCTGAACCCAGTGAAGCAGACATTGACGAGCCGCAGATCTGCCCTGGAAGGTTGCCAACGAGGCGATCGAGGCACCGTTCTGCGCACCGATCCAAGCTCTGTCCCAACTGCGGCGGTGATCACCCACTTAAGGCCTGCCCGTGTCCCAACACGGATGATGGACGCCTACAGGCCTGCTTCGAGTGCAACACAACAGACCACGCTTGGTTCAAGTGTTCTAATTATATTGAAAATCAGTTGAATGATTTCTATTATGTCTATACTGCCCGCCGAGGCCTCTGCCCTCTTGTTCATAACAAGGCGCTGCATAAGCTTTGGAGGGAACACTTTGATATCTTAGATTATAAGAATCAACAGTTGAACCTCCAGCGTCCAGGGCCATTGACCCCGCAATTTGTGCTTCGCATGTTGGGAGATGACCCAGAGGTGAGTCGTCAAATAAGGTACGAGCATCGTCTGCTTCCTTGGGACTTGTCCAAGAAGTACTTGATTCGCGAGGAGTTGCGTGTTAAGTATGCCGTTATGGACCCAGAAACCAACCCTATGTCGCACGAAGTTGTCTACGAGGGTACGGAGACAGACCATGACCAAAGAATTGAGGTTATTTGGGCCCAAAGGATGAATGAGCAAGATAATTACGACCCTAGCATCGATCGTTACGCCAGGCATAGCCTCGACGCAATGTCCCGCGAGAGCCAGTTAGTCGAAACTGACCCCCGTTGGCCCCCAGACTGCTCTGATGGGGAAGGACGATTTTGCATGCGGAGTGCCTGCAAGCAACCAAGCTTTACAGACCACTGCAAAAAATGTGGCATGGAGACGGTCCTGGGAATAGAGACGCTTTTCAACTTGAATCAAGATTACGGCGCCACCTTGGAAGCCTACAGCTTGCTCGCTCAGCTTAGCAAGTACTGGCATGATCAAATCCATGCGCAGTGGGTTCGCGTAGACATAAATCAATGGTATACCAAGAAGTCCAGAAGTGTCTTGAGATGCGTCAGACACCACCTGATCTTTCAAACGGTTGAGAGGCTCCAGGAGATCCGGACCAAGGCCCTCGAGCGGGTGGCGGAGCAGCTAAGGGCTGACCCTAATATCTGGGACGTGACTAGTTTCGAGGTCCTCCAGTTCCCTGAATGTCCCGAGTGCTTCGCAGAAGCAACGGTTGACCTAGGAGACTACTTTGAGCGGACTATACCTCCTCAAATGTCGTGGTCAAAGTGCAAGGCTCTACGGCGCCGCAGGCGATCAGCTAGGGCTAGGACACGAAAAGCTAGGATAAAGAGGGTGAGTCCACACACAGTCTGACGACTCCTTACCCAGATCTATGATATAGATCTGCACGACCAAGTCCCCAGAGGCGGGCTCGTGTAGACCACCGACGACGTCCAAGACGTCGTCATTGAATTAAATTTCGATCAGATCGGCGAGTTGACCTTACTATACTATGTAGCAGAATAGAAACCCCGGTCTGACCTCTTTCTGACTGGAATATGCCATGTGATAAATTGTGATATGAAGTAATCTGATGCTAGCAAAATGTTCTCGTAGACTGTCATGCCCCCTTAGCCCCGGGGAAATATGTCCAATTCGCCATGACTCCATCTCGTAGCGATACCCGAGCCAGCTTGACCCTCCCGCCACTACTGTTGTCCATGCCGATTCCAGTTGCTCGAGCGGTGTTGCCGACATCGTCGATACCTGCCAATAAAATCGTGACCTTGACAAGGTTGAAGAGCGTGAAAAGAGAATTGTGGCAGAGGCAAATGGATAAGATTTTCGTTTCAGCTTTCTCGGTGCGAATTCGTCATCATGGCTGTTCGTCTACGCTGTGGGGTCAAGCAGCTTGCGGCGCCTAAACAATGCACCCAGCTCCTAGTGCGAGTCAGTCCATCAGTTTTGTCCACATGAGCCGTTGGCTTCCAGCTCCCCTTTCGTGATCGAGTGTCAGGGCCTAGTTTGGGTACTAGGCTTCGCCGTGCCGGTGCTTCGGCAGAGCCGCAGTGTCGATGATGACAATCGGCATTCCTCGCAGAACTCTTGGGTTAACAAGGAGGAAGTGTCGGCAGTAGAACGCTTAGGTGTTACAGTAGGACAGACGTTCCAGTGCAGAACTTTTGTCAACTTGACGTTGCCAGTTTTTCCCCGGGTAAATAAATATGTCTTTAACGTCATGACAAGCACATTCTGCAGCCTGGTCTGTCAGTCGGATGGAAACAAGTTCAATACTCAGAGAAAAGGGGATACGATGGGAGTTACCACAGTCAGATTGTCAGTACTGAGAGAAAGCATGTTCGTTCTTGTCTCGATTGTATTTGCTCCAAGCCTGATACGAGCTGGCTGCTCGAGGTGACCTTCAACCAATTCTCAAGGATTGAATTGTGAAGTTCCTTGAAAGCTCCTACTTTTGATGCAGGAGCGGAAAGAAAACTCTTGTCAAAGACTGGAAGCTGGTTGTTGTCAACTGCGTGCATGGGCCCTGGTGTCGGGTCCCTGGTGCTGAGCAACGGGTGCTGGAGATCACGCAACATCCTAGATGTGGCGCAGGTACGAATGTGTCTGAGGACATAGGTACGGGAGATAAGTCGTGATAAATCTAGGAACGATGGCGTGCTCTAATATGATGCATTTCATGCAACTGTCCTTTAGAAGACTATCATACCGGTCAGGCCATCATCAGTCAGGAGATTGTCCCACGCATCTCAACGCTGGAAGTTTCAGGCGGCACGGGCCGCAAATACTACTGCAGATCGATCTGCCAAATTGTGGAGACTAGCATGCTAGCGAAGGTTACCAGGGACCAGGTTGCAAGGGCCCACCTACACTCGCAGCAGTAGTACTGTATGTCAAATTCCTCCCAAGTCTCGCCGTCGCCGTCATATTTACTGTCCTAACTCCCATATGGCAATTTCTCAGTCCAAGACGCAGATGCTTCGACCCAAACCACCCGCTCGAACGACGACCAGCTGCGATGGACCGCACGCAGCGTGAACGGCCGTCTCGTGCGGCGTATGCATCCTTACCAGTCATCAGCCAAGCGCGAGAAAACACGGACTCCGAGTCACGAATACCTGAGGACATCTTTGAACTACTTCAAAACGACTCGCCAAAAGACTTCTTAGATAGCTTGCATGGACATCTGCCAGACGGATTGTCCCAGCCCCATCGAGAGGCGTATGGCGCAGGAAAAAGAGGACGTAGCCGGCCGGACTCGTCAGAGAAGCCAGAGAGACTGCGGACATCGAAGAGATACGAAAGCGGCATCTCGTTGTTCAAATATCACAAGAGAGAAGCTACCGAGAAACAAGCAACTCTGAATTCGCAGTACCGCGGGAGGGAACAATGGCACGACAATTTCAAGATGGGAGACACACAGCGAGGGTATACCATCTCCAATTCGACCAGTTGAGATAGCTGATCTTCGACCCAGCGAGTATAGCTATTCCCTGACGCTCAGGACACCCCACCAGATTCCGAAACCCTGCCATCGCAGTAAAAGATATCCTACGCGACCAACCATTTTCAGACTACTGTGAGAAATCGAGAAGGTGATTGGCAGACGGTATCGACTGGATCGAAGTGGACGAGAGGGTTCTGGCGCAGCCAACGGGTAACAAGGGCGGGTGGTCCCACTGGCAGATTATATGGCATAGAGTTCGGGGCCTCGTTGGTTGATCACTTCAGAATCAGGCTGATCAGGTTTGACCATATCCCAACATCGATAAGCAATACAGGACACTTCGGAAGGCGCGGCGAAGGACATTCGCCACAAAATGACGTTGCTATAGACCAACAAATCGCGGGAGCCAACCTGTCATCCTGCGTGGGAAGGCAACACTATGTCTTGCGCTCCGTGCTCATGGGGACAGTTCGTTGTCGCGTCAGGGGCCATAAAGACCCACTGGAGTCGATTCAGCTGTTGCATGAAGTTATAAACAACATGATCCATCCCATATAGAAGATGGCTAGACTGACCTATAATCAGACCGTGCGAGATAACATCCGCTCACTCCCTGTCATCGATCGGCTCTGCCGGAAGCTGAAAGCCCTGGTCACGCCCTGTTCCAGTTTCTACTAGCCTCTGCTTGATCCTGCCATCAAAACAAGGCTCTGGCCCGCCGTGAGCTGTATTACGGAGGGTAGGGAATTATCAAGCCCTCAGAAGGGATCAAATGGTTCAGTGTCAGGACGATGACATATTCGTTTTAGACAAGGTCCACGGTCAACAAGTGAGTATGGAATCAGCTTGCAGAGATTCTCATTGCTGGTACTGGCTCATACAAACGAACGGTATCGGCGAGACTCAATGCTTCGCCACGGCGACGCGTTTCGACGGGATCGAAGCGGACCAGAATCACTGCCCCATCCAGAGACGACTGGATGTCACCCGAGCATTGATCGTGCCGATGTATAGCATTCACCTCCTGGTGGCCTAGTAACCCACGAATACGGTCGAAACCACCACGAATATCCCGGCAAGATCTGGGTAGCTCGATATTTCGGATGCGGACTTCTTTGGCTGTCCGTAGCGAGCGCCGTTCGTCCTTCAACGATGAGGGAAGGGTCATTTAAACGACGTGAACAGAGTCCACTCCGGCTGTCCCAGATAGGTGACCCCTGTATCAAGAGGATGAATGTCCAGGTCAGAGATCTGCCAGTCCAGACGAGTCAGACGATCTTATCGCCAAGCTAAGCCACGGATCCGGCAAGCCGCGATGATGAACTTGTTGGCCAAAGTCGAGGATCAGCTCGTGAAATAATAGAACGACATAACTGTGTAGAATGCTGACATGCCGTCATTGAAGCATTGATGCCCATGGGTTGCTTACAGACTAATGGTGTTCGTGAGACTCCCGTTAACCACAAGGGCATCCATCAACCAAGGAAGCGATCTCGTCAGGCGTTCGTGGAAGAAGTGACGACAATGCTGGATACTAGCAATAAATATGCATATTCCCAAGATCCACAATGCAGCTGGAATGGTTGCAAGCTAGGACGAAAATTCCCCGAACATGGGCAGGGGCAAACTCGCACAAAACAGTTCTCAACAAACGAGACGGCACTAGGTGGGTATGTTATGGCATCATGTTGACTGACTAGTTGAGGGGAGAGAGATATAACACTGTTCCTTAAGATGCGTTCGTTGTGACTGGAGGCTTGCATGCGAGATAATACGAGAGAGAGTCCGAGAGCGACTATCCTGGTTATTCTCCAAGCCATTATGCGTTCGCACGGACGGCTCGCTGCCGTTGACCGTATAATCAGGGCTTCCATTCGTCAGACGGGTCGAGCCGCAGCTACACTGCCGAATACGGAGTGGAAACACAGATGTGGATACGGCAAGGGGCACCTTAGTGCACTCGATGCCGAACACGCGGAAAGGCCCAGTGGACCTTGCATTGGTCCCGGTTCCACACGTTTACTATTGATTAGCAACGGCTGCAGACGATCACTGCGGACGGACGGTGGGCACCTCCAGAATAGTCCCTTTGCAACGCGTCAGCGAAAATCACACTCGTTCTCATTGGCTCTGAGCCTTGCGCGCAGCCTGCCTTGCAGCCTGCCATCCCAACCTGGGCAGGTCACGATCTGCATCGTCGACGGGGATGGGCTGCGGAGAACAAGGCCCTATCTTCTATCTGGAGCGCGCCGTCCATAATGATTGGGGCGAGGTATCACTAAAGGCCGAGAAAATGCTGCCCCTATTATGGGAACAGCACAGAATCTGTGCGACCCGTCACTTTCTGGATGGCGCTCTAGCTTGATTGCTCCAGGAACAGGAACACAGCCCCTGAGGGCCGTTGAGAATCCCGCAGGTTGGATATAAGAAGGGCGCCTGCTCCGGCTGTGGAAAGATGAAGATCTTGTTCTCTGTAAAACATTGGGCCTTCTTCTTCTGACTAGCATAATCAAGAGCAAAATCTATTGTAAACACCATGAAGCTTTCAATTTTCTCGGTTGCCCAACTCTGCCTTTTGGCTTCAGCCTTGCCTCAAAACGGGGCTGGCGATCTCCCAGAAGGAGAATGGAGAGCAGGCGGGGCCGATGACTGTGAGTACAGGGGGAGAAAAATGCCTTCTCCTACGATGATACACTGACACCACATACCTAGTTCGTGGTCCCTGCCCGATGATGAATACTCTGGCGAACCACGGCTTTCTACCCCGTGACGGCAGAAACATCACCCGCGAAAATGCGATCCATGCCTTGGGTACCGGTCTCAGCTTCAACGCTGAGCTGGCTGGTATAATGTGGGACCAAGCCGTTATCGCCAACCCTGAGCCCAACGCGACATTCTTCACGCTGTAAGCCACGTCGACTACCTCAAGATATTGCACAACTCCTAACCTTGCACAGTGATAATCTTAACCGACACAATGTTTTGGAACACGACGCTAGCTTGAGGTATGCACATCAACAATCTTGGACCTGCATATAAGACTCGCAACTAACACTCCAACCAACAGCCGCTCAGACGCCTTCTTCGGCAACAACCACGTCTTCAACCAATCCATCTTCGACACCTCCACCGCCTACTGGACCACCGACATCCTCACGCCCAAGCAGATCGCCAACAGCAAGCTGGCGCGGCAGGTCACCTCGAGGGCCTACAACCCCGACTACACATTCACGACTACGACTGAGGAGTTCAGCCTCGGCGAGGTCGCTGCCCCCTTCATCGTCTTTGGGACTCTGCAGGATCCCACCGTCGAGAAGAACCTCGTCACTTACTTCTTCGGTACGCCTCGTCCCCTTTTATACCAAGAAAAGATGGTTGCTAACAAATGTGAAAACAGAGAACGAGCGTCTCCCGACCGAGCTGGGATGGACCAAGAAGGATGTCGAAGTCACCCTTACTGATATCACGGGTGTTGCGAATGTCCTCAGGAATGCTACCAATCTCTTCACCGGCGCCGCAACCCCGCACAAGGTCCGCCGCCGTGATCTTCACGCCGGCTTCTAAGTCGTTGACCGGATTTGCGAGAAAATGTGACCGGAGCTCAATGTTTTTCTTTTCTTCTTTGAGGAGGCTTCAGGCGATGTCTCATAACATCACGAAGCTTCATTGACTGGATTACCAAGTATATAAGCTTATGGCTAGGAGGTTGTTTTTGACTTCCGTCCAGAGAAAATCGATTATGTTACAACACTATTCTCACTACAATATTCTATTGTCCAGTGCGACTATGTCAATCCCGCAATATCTTCTTGTTTGAACTAACTATGTGGTCTAAACTAAGTTTTGCTTAGCTACTACGATTTTAAAGTTCAAGCCTTGTCATCAATATACGTTCATGGTGTACTACAATCCAACCTTACCCTGACCCTTCGAAACTCAATTTCACCGAGTCAATTTGACCTCTCAGCCCTACCTGACGCCTCCTCCCAGAATTCAATCATGCATTGAACCACATCCTCGCGATCCTCAAAGCACGCCCATATTCGACGTCGAGGTAGTAGATCCTCGGACTAACACCGACATGCACAGCCCTGCAGCCCAAATCATATGCAAGCGTGGCCGGGCCCCCAAGAGCGTCGAAGTCGAAGCTGAGGTTTGGGGATGTGAAGATAGGGATGGCGTAGCATATTCCAAAGTACCCAAATAGCAGAGCTGAACCGAGTCGAATCATGGACGACATCCTATCTACACCACTCTCCCCGAACCACTCCCGCAGCTTCTGAGGGGTCCAGTACGACTTCCCCAAGAGATGTTTCGATGCGAGCCAGATGAGGGACAAGGGGTAGGTGGCAAGGGCCATAATTGCAGGTATCCTATAGAACTTGAGAGCCGTCTCGTCGTCGTTACTGAGCATGTCCGGGTTGCTGAACAGCCATGTCTTAGAGCAAAACTCCTCCGCCGAGCACGACGAGACGCCCGGGGCGGTGTCTATCGCGGACGGGAGACAGTCGTACCGCTGAAAGACTTCTCGATCCTGCAATCGGAAAGCATGGATGGTAGCGCACCACTGGGCAAACAGCACAAAATGGAGGACATACTTTATGGTCTTCCGGACGTTGGACTCGGGGTGAGAGCAGCGCCAGGGATGGAAGTCCAACGAGGCGACCAGGTTCCACGTCACGATCCATTCGTCCAGCGATACGGGCTCGGCGCCGTCTGGGTCGCTCGCCAGAGTACCCAGGCCCCACCACCACCAGCCGATAAAGGCGATGGGAAGGATCAACTCGAGCCAGCTCATGGTGCCTGTCCCCTTGCACTTTTCGGGGCGGACCAGTATCTTCCGTATGTCCCATAGAACATAAATTGCAGTCATGGTGAGGTAGGACCAGGCCTTCATCGCCGTGAACCCATAAGCACTGTCCCTCGGGGTCGATGGGATGACCTTGAATCCTTCGAGGCAGCTTGCCAGCTCACACCATGTGTATTTGGTCGCAACTTGTGGTCCATCTTCCGGGTCGGACCACACTTGGTAGTCGGTCCTGGACATGAAGTAGTTGTCTTGCTTCACCATGCGGTGGTCCTCAACCCACGGCCATGTGAGGGAGTCTTTGGTGAGGTCGACCTCAATGAGGGCACAGTCAACCTTGGCCGTAGTGTTGGCCGAGCAGCTTTCAAACAAACTGTTCTTGTAAAGTGAGAATTCTGGCGTGGTGTCATCCGTTTGGGACGCTGTCTTTGTCACGGCACTGATCTGGTAGGTGAGGATGCAGGCTTGGAAGGCGACCGCCGTGAGCAGGCCGAGGTAGATAAAGCACAGCAGAATGATGCGTTTAGTGCTTGACATGTTCGAGGAGCCGAGTTCTGTACAGCATTCTGCAGTCTGTTGCTGAGAGTTCGAGTCCAGCTGATATTGTGGCTGCTCATAGTATCCTCTCCTGTCGTGGACGCGACTTTGCACATGGGTTCCTCTGATGTGCTTGTTGCGATGGGCTCTGTGGTCATTCCTGATGTTCTCGTAGCGGTCTCTTCCATGGTTATGTCCCGTGTTGGCTCTATGATGTTGGTCACGGTGCCTTCTCGTGTTTTCGTATCGATCCCGATGCATTTTACTTGGTTTCAAGGAGAATATCCACAGAGAGAATAATCAGACTTTCACGACAATAAAGGAGAATGGCTTCGAGTAGCTGCCTGCATAGAATCAGTATAATGAACCTTGTTGGACATCAAAGACATGATGAAGTGACTTAGGAAAAATCAATGCATTTATCATTCCGACTCGAAGCAAGGCTGCCATCACCGAAATCGTCGTCTTCGCTTCCCAGAGCAGAGCCTCAAGGCATAGCCACCTGAGCGAAGTGTCATATCTGCCTTGACATCCTTAATGCCACTTCTGTTTGAATCTGGGTAGATTGGTATCCAATACGAAGCGTTGGAAGACATGACTGCGTAGTAAGCGAGCTGAAGGACATGGTCAATTATAGCTGGTGGGTGGCGGCCACAGATTACAATTGGGTCAAAAGTTGCTGCATGGATGGAAGTGTGTGTCACCAAGGAGGTAGACATGCAGTTCAGCCTCCTTTGACAGCTGCTGGCAGAGTGGTGGCAAGAATCCCTCAGGGCTGGCCGGCATCGAATGACAGAGGATTGTTGATGTGAGAGTAACCGAATGGTGGAATGGCAATGGCCGACGATCGTTCGGTTCCGCGACGGGCCCGAGCCGGGCAGCAGCAAAGTAAAGAAAGAGACATGTCACAAAATAGGAGAAACAAGCTGCATCAAATGACAAATTCAACAAAGGACGGGCTTGGAGACCCTGTTAAAAATAACATGTGTGATGCTTTGCGGTGAGGACACTGAACAGCGGTGAGTTTGCTGCAAGACCGTATGAGATACTACGACGACAAGTCACCTCTGCAAGTGTGTTTTGTGATCAACAGACAAAGAGAACTGTCAAAATGTGAAGCATGAAGACATGATAAATGATAGTGTCGTGAGGAAAGGAATTAGGCTTAACCAGGGATGTGGTGACACTGCTGCCACTGGCGTGAACGTTTAGCTCCCGTACCCCCTGAGATCGTTGCGGCTCTGGCCTTAGACATTAAGCATCAAGCCCTGAACCCTGCAACCATCACTGGGGAACTTGCTGATAAGATAAGCCCTACCAAAACCCCGCTGCCCCGCCAGTCACCCGAGGTTGGTTTCTGCCTGCCTCAGCGCAAGTTGACGTCAAAAGAAAGCCTGAGGGTGAAACCAAACTTCAACCACCAACCTTACAAACTTCCACTACAGCCCTCCAACACCTTTGCCACCTTCATAATTTTCACCACACTCACCCTTCTCTGCCCAGCAAACTTCGAATTGCTGAGCACATCACGCACCCAACTCGCCACCTCCTACCCCCGGCCTTCACCTCAATACCGTCAAGATAGGTCGTCGGCGCCGCGATCGTCACCAACAGAAAGGACCCCGCTCCTGGCAGAAGCCTTCGCGAAGGAAGATGGGCCAAGAGCAGTCCGGCCTCATTGAGGATGATGTTCCTCCAACCACCTTGTCCGAGCGCTCGCTCTCTGCCGTCGCCCAGATGATCAAAGATGGCCACGCGCAGAAGATCGTGGTCATGACCGGTGCTGGCATCTCAACTGCCGCTGGAAGTAAGTGGGGGTTTCGCCCTCGTCGCACAGCCAACCTGGCCATTGTTGTGCGACTCTGTGCTGATCTCGTGATGTATAGTTCCTGACTTTCGCTCCCCTAACACTGGCCTGTACGCGAACCTCGCTCGCCTCAACCTCCCCTACGCCGAAGCCGTCTTCGACATCTCCTACTTTCGCAAGAACCCCGACCCCTTCTACGTCCTTGCGAAAGAGTTATATCCTGGAAACTACTCCCCGACCATCTCGCATGCATTCATCGCTCTTCTCGCCAAGAAGAACCTCCTCCGAATGCTCTTTACCCAGAACATTGACTGTCTGGAGCGACAGGCTGGGGTTCCCGGAGAGCTGATTGTGGAGGCCCACGGCAGCTTCGCCACCCAGAGGTGCATTGAGTGCAAGACCACATTTCCAGACGACAAGATGAAGGACTACGTGTTCCAAGGCCAGGTGCCTCGCTGTGTGGACAAGAAGTGCGATGGCCTGGTGAAGCCCGACATTGTCTTCTTTGGAGAACAGCTTCCGGAGCAGTTCCACAAGAATAGGCACGTCCCGTCATACGGCGACTTGGTCCTGGTCATGGGAACGAGCCTCACCGTGCAGCCATTTGCCAGCCTGCCGGAAATGGCAAAGGATGAGACGCCTCGTGTCCTTTTCAACTTGGAGCGTGTCGGTTCTATGGGAACCCGGCCGGACGACGTCTTGGTCCTCGGCGACTGTGACTCGGGTGTCCGAAAACTTGCCAATGAGCTCGGCTGGGGAGGTGAGCTGGAGGCGGTGTGGCGGGAGATCGTCGGTGACAAGGAGGCAGAGAGGCAGCTAAGGAGTGCAGAGGAGCGGGAGGCTGCGCTGCAGGCTGATGTCGAGGACTTGGCCGACAAGGTCGGAGCGGGTCTGAAGCTCGACGATGCATCTGGTAGCCGCGATGGTGCTGACACCACATCAGATGAGGAGGACGGCGACGACGGCGAGCGGCGCGTATTGATGAACCCAACTCGCTCCGAACCTGAGCCTCAGTCCACTTCAGATGCGGCTCAACAGGCGCCTTCTGACCAACAGGAGCATAAAGCGGCCCTTAGCAAGGATGTTTTGAACAGCGAACAGTCATCTTCCGAGGTCAAGGACGATACTTCGGCGACCTCAGTGGTGGCAGCAGAGGCATCAGGCGACTCGGCTCCGGCTCACGTCGAAACACCCAAGAAGGATACGGGAGGGGACCAGACCCAACCCAAGACAGATAAACCAGCTCTAGACAGCCCGGGTAAATCGGCGTTGTAAAGGACCCGGCATGACTGGAGCATTGTTTTGGCAGCAGCATTTTCGTTTTTCACACAACGCATGAAGACACGCCCGAGCCACTGTCTACTTCTGGGCCCCGACCCAGACATCTATGATACCATCCGGCATTTCGTTAGAGTACGGGGATGTCCCTGAGTAAAACAAACAAGACGGTCCTCAGAGGAGTTTGGTTGGATTTTGTACATTCTGGCTAGTGGGTAGGGCAGGGTACTCACAGCAGCATCGCGGTTGATATTACAAGCATGCTTCGAAGAATTCCTTGGTCTTGAAGCTGCATCAAGAATAGCTTCGAAATTGATTTCATTTTTTTTAGCCCTCGTGTGTTTCATTGCTTCTTTATCCATGACAAAGGTAGGAACAGATGCCCAGCACTCATAAGCTTTTTTCAACCAAGGAACTTGTACCGTCAATCACTCCCGCTCGAGGGTCTCATGCTGGGCCTGACATGTTCGATGACGAGCCCGCCATCTCAAGATTTTCTCAACCCATGGGTTTTGCACCTGGCTTCGGCCGATGTGAGAATTCCATACCGACCTCAGTCATCCTTATCATCGCCCCAGCATGATACGAGAGCTCCCTGCCGTGGTTATCTAGCCTTCCGCTGATCACCACGCTCCTCTTTTCGCGGGCCTGGGCCCACACCCGCAGAATGTCTGAGACGGACCACAAATACTGTATTTAATTGCAGAACCTGGTACTACATGGTGCTCCACGCTGGGTCGACTCTTGCCTTTTCTGGGAATCAAGTATTGAGACCTTGGCTATCGGAGTTGGAAGTGCAGGAGATTCGGAGGAGGGACCCTGAGAGGAAGCAGATGAGATCCGTATACGGAGACGAGAGTAAGGTCTCACCAGGTTCAGTTGACCAGTGACACGATATAATTTGCTGAGTCATAAATTCTATCTAGATGTGACTGCCCTCTCCTAGAGCTAGCTCTGTGTTTGCTACCGCGTGTGCTGGTGCTATACTATCATAAGTGGCTTGTATTCAGAGAGTAGAATTTAAGCATCTAAAGTATACATAGGTATAGACTTTTCGAGGTGGAGATACGCTGCACTCATATAGATCAGGGTATCTTGGTTGGGTGCGAGCTTGTAATAAAGAGGAAGCATTGAAAAAAAAAAAGGGAAAAGAACGAGATGAGGAAAAAGGGAAGGAAAAAAAATCAGGTTTTGTAGGCCAGCCTGGAGTTGAACCAGGTCCTCCCGGGGTGCTTGGATTTTAGGTAGAGAGAGAAGGTTTAAGGTCTCACTGCGACTTTAGCACAGGAGTGCGGAAAACCCGGGTGTACACGACTATACTACCGGCCCAACTGTATATACATAAATTTACTTATAAACCCAGGTCAAAGTGTGAATCAGGTTTTGGGCGCCACTGGATGCCTTAGGGTGGTCATGTGGTGGCCGACTAGGTTCGCGGAACCTTACATGTAAGGTGTCTAGAGGCGGCGACGGGGTCAGGAAGTTGTGCGAAAGTACAGCCAACTAACTACTGCTAGCCTCGTTAGCTTCGCCTGACCTGAGTGAAAATTATCTGTACCGTGTTATTAGTCTGTCTATATATGAAATACAGTATTACCATGAATGTGGCCAGTCTTGACTGTGTTTGGATTCTTTTTCTGAGATGCAGTTTAATTCTCGTCATGGGCGACAATATTAGCATCAAAGTATCGAGACAAATATCCGGCTGGGAGATATGAGAGATATGATGATGTGGAAGCCCCGGACTCGTGCTGGCCGTGCAGGTATGTTGTTGCGCAGGAGGGATATGGAAAGGCAAGGGAGGAGACAAACGAAGCAATATGAATCATCGGAAGCCACATGGGCTCTGACAGAGAGTGAGATGTTGAGTGGTGAACGGGAGGCCATCACCGCGTCTGCTTGTATCTTCCTGTTCTGATGACACTGGTCGGTACGTACTTGAGGCTCATCGACTTGATGATCCGCAGGCCTTCTAGAGCGGTGGATTCGAGTACGGAAATACGCGGAAATGTTGGCGGTGGAAAACGGCACTTACAGATGCAGATGCCGGGGATCATCAACTGAGTCCCCTCATTGCTTACGCTTCGGTGGCTTCGGTGGCTTTCTAGATCCACTAAACTTTTACTGCCAATGCCAACCAACGGATATGTCATGGTAAACTTCAGTCGTATTACGACCAGATCTGACCATGCAGCGGACATGGTCCAAGACCCACAGCAGGTGAAGACACCGTCTTTGGCTGCTTCGTGGAGATCGAGTGCTCCAGTCCATTGCACAGACCGATTCTGAACTTCAACCTCGTCAATTCTTGGTTTGCCAATTCCCGACCAAACAAATTTGGAGCATTCGGCATGCAGCCAATTTCTATTGCCTCGGCGCTGCTATTAGGCCATGCTGCTGCAACATTCTCAGCCTACGAACAGAAGCCTATAAAATCGGTGCATCTGCGCGAACCAGATGGCACAGCGGACGCCAGCTGCAGGTGCTTTCCTGGCGACGCGTGCTGGCCGTCTGACGCCGAGTGGTCGTCCCTGAACGCGACAGTCGGGGGACGACTCATTGCCACAGTCCCCCTTGGATCCCCTTGTCATGACCCTCAGTACGACGAAGAGCAGTGTGCGTACCTCAGGGACCAATGGCTGTACGCCGGCATCCAGTAAGCCGACTGAGAAGCTCCCCTTTCCCCATATCACAAGTCTAAAGAATGTCTGCAGCCTCAACTCCAGCTCGAGCGTGATGGCCCCGTTCTTCGCCAATCAGAGCTGCGACCCCTGGACTCCGCGTGAGCGGCCGTGTGAGCTGGGCGTGTATGTGCGCTATGCCGTCAATGCCACCGATGCCGACCACATTGCCGCCGCAGTCAACTTCGCCAGGAAACAAAATGTCCGCCTAGTCATCCGGAACACTGGGCACGACTACCTGGGCCGCTCCACCGGCGCCGGGGCCCTGGCGGTCTGGACTCACCACCTTAAGGATATCACGCCGGTCGAATGGGACGATGCGAGCTTCACTGGCACGGCTCTCAAGCTGGGGGCAGGTGTTCAGGGGTACGAGATGCTGCAGGCTGCTACTGCCCTCGGCCGTGTCGCTGTTGGGGGAGAATGTCCTACTGTCGGTGTGGCTGGGGGCTACACACAAGGCGGCGGGCACTCTGCTTTGAGCACAAACTTTGGACTCGCTGCCGACCAGACCCTGTCATTTGAGGTTGTGACTGCCAGTGGCAAGCTTGTCACTGCTTCCAAGACTGAAAATGCTGAGCTCTACTGGGCTCTGAGGTATGTCCGCTAAACCTTTCGGCGCATGGCTGGAGAGAAGAACACTGACACCTGCATAGCGGAGGTGGCGCCGGAAACTACGGCGTCGTCGTCTCTATGACAGTAAAGACCTACCCAGAAGCAATCGTCAGCGGCCTCAAGCTGTCCATCGAGAAGGCCGACAACAACAACTCAACTGACCAGATCTTCCGCGCCGTGGACGCATTCCATGCCGCCCTCCCGGACCTAGTCGACTTCGGCACAATGGTGATCTACTACTTCACGACCGACTACCTCAGCATCTCCGCCCTGACAGCCTACAATAAGACTCAGGCTCAGCTCGAGCAGGCCATGGAGCCGTTCCTCTCAACGCTGGGATCACTAGGCCTGCGACACAGCGTCAACTACACCGAGAGCCCGACCTACTACGACTACTACAGCGCCTACTGGGGCCCCTTGCCAGACGGCTGGATCCAAGTCGGCACAGCCAACTTCGGTGGCCGGCTGATCTCGCGGCCCCAGCTGGCCAACTTCTCGGCTGCGGCTCGCGCTATCGTCGAAGAGGGCGGCATCTTCATCGGCGTGGGCACTAACGTAGGGCCCTTCGGCGGTGAGAACGAGAACGCGGTGCTCCCCGCGTGGCGCGATGCAATCGTCTCTGCATCTCTCGAGGTGCCATTCAGCTTCGAGGCTCCGTGGGACGACGTATTTGGCGAGCTGGACCTCATCACTGACGTCTTGCAGCCTATTATCGAAGCAGCGACGCCCGGAATGGGATCGTACATCAACGAAGGGGACTTCAGGCAGCCCAACTGGCAGAAGGTGTTTTATGGGGCTAATTATGACAGGCTATCGTCTGTGAAGAGAAAATGGGACCCCGAAGGGCTGTTCTACTGTGGTGTTGCAGTTGGCAGTGAAAATTGGGTGGTCACTGGAAATGGACGGCTGTGCAGGGCTTGATGACCCTTGAATATGTGATTACATGCTTCCTTCAGCGTACAAATTCTTGTATTTTGTTCCATCTTCTGGATCATTTAGCAAGTGTTACAGAATGTTCAGCTGCAATCCACAGGTATATCTTAGGGGAGTGATGTTCTGCTGCTGGCGCTGCAGACCTGAATGGAGGTAGGTCCTCAAGGACTTCATGTTTGAGCTTCCCACGAGAATTTCTCCGGGGAAACGAGCTTTCGATGGTGCTCTTCAGTCGTGTGTACCATTTCAGTAGCCATTTCCTGCAGGTATCTCGCCAAAATCCCACTAAGCTCAACACACCTCAGGGGAACTCCTCACGGCCCTTGTTTGTGAACTCAGGTCTCGTTTTCTTTCAGCTTTCATTGAGATGCCCTGCTTCCACGACGACCCTGATTTCAGAACCCGAATGTGAATAATTCAAGTAAGCCCACATTTATACCGCTCTCGGTTTCAAGTTGACCATCAATGGAAGCCGTTCCCAGATAAGGTAGGTACGCTGCTTGTTCCACCAGTCTTCCTCCGGGCTCGCCAGCTCAAAGTCAAAATGCCACAAGAGCTTGGCCATGGTGATGCGCATCTCAGCCCACGCAAGCCTATGCAGAAGAAGAATCAGTAGTCCGCCCAAGCCCAATCAATTGGTAACGATATTCAACTCACGCCTTTCCTGCACAAGATCTCAGCCCGTGTGAAAACGGCTGACTCCCGCCTTTGTCATCATTAGCAAACTCCGAGCCAGGCGGGAGCTCCAGCCACCTCTCCGGAATGAATTCCATGGGTCGTCTAAAGTTGAGCTCCGAATGAGCAGCCGCCAGCATGTGGACACCCACGCCGGTGCCGCCGGGAACGATTTCGCCGTCAATGACCTCACCGTCGTCTGGCACTGTGCGGGCCAGCGAGCAGCACAGGGCTGGGCGCATGCGCATTGATTCCTCGAGGCAGGCGGTGAGGTATCTGCAATGCACAGTAGATTGTATAGTAATCTCATCCTTAGAACGAAACATGGAACGTATCTCTTTCTTCAGACACTCCATCTTGTCGGGATTGCGCAGCAACAGGTAAGTCAGGCCCGTCATGGTGTCCGCGGTCGTGTTGCTTCCGGCCACGATGAAGGTGCTTGCGAGCAGGGTCAGATCCAGACTGGAGAACTTCTCCTCCTGGTTCTCGAGGATGTAGTACATGAAGTCCTTTCCTGGATTCTTGGCCTGGAGACGTGCCTGGACCTTAGCGGCCGAGAGGGCAAGATGTTTGCGGCGGGCCTCGCGGGCGTACTTGGGAGTCAGAAATTGCAAAACGGACATTAGCCCATATTGTAGCGCGAATTGGAAGAACACGACAGACTTGGCCCGGTTCCCGAGGACCTGGAGATGTGGCTGGTCTGCCTGATTGAGACAGTTCGCGGTCGTACCAAAAGCGAGCTCTAGCCCAAAGTCAGAAGAAGCTAGAGACGCGAGGATGGGATGATAAACTTGCCGGTAATAACATCGTACGAGAGAAGATTGTACCACTTCGCCATATCCACCGGACCCTCGTTGCAGCTCTTGAACAACTGGGTTAGAAGCGTGGTAGAGTGTGCCTGCAAGTACTTCTCCTGATCTCTCAAAGCTCTCTCACTAAAGGCTGGGTTAATGGCTTTCCTGAGCCTGGCGTGGCCCTCTGAAGTCTCGGTCATGAGCGCCCTCTTGCCGTTGATCTCGACTGGCGCGATTCCGCGCCCATCAACGGCCTTCTCGAACTCGGGCGAGCGCTGGCCATAGATTTTCCTCCAGGCGCTGGAAGTGGTGTATGACAGCTCGTTGGGGGCGATGCGGATGACTGGGCCGTATTGTTGGTGGAGGTCGCGTATGCGCCAGCCAAGTCGGCCTCTGAAGTTGAAGTAATTCCACGGAAGGCGAGAGGTCGCCCAAAGTTTCGGCCCTGGGTAGGACGATAAAGGATGAAAGAAGAGATTATAGACCACATTGATCAAGATGAAGCGGACGATGAGCTGGTGTTAAGCTTTAGTTTTTTGAGATGGTTTGTTGTTGGTCATGTTCGACTCACAAGGAGAAAGAGGCCCAGCAAAATGTTACGGGAGGTCACCGACGGCAGGTACGCCTGGATGGAAATCATGCTGGCAAGTGAGCTCTGGCAACAGTCCCACAACGGTTTGATTGCCCTCTAAGTCTTGTAAAATACAGAAGGCAGCTGTGAAGTCGCCCGTGATGCTGCCAATGCACGAGTACACTCTCTACCAGGCTCTACTGGCAAGACTTACGACTATGTGATTCTGCTTTGTATTTTCTTGGCATCGACTTTCCTATTTTCTTCGCAGTATCGATATTGCGAGACGCCAACTCTTCATGGCCTAAGTGCCATTGTAGAACCCGTTGCAGGGGCTATCCAAAATCCATGCGATTGCTCCACTGGCCTTTAGAAGACAAATACAAGGCGATCAAGCACACTCCTTCAATTGTCCAATTGATTCATCGTTTCCTCCCACGCACGTGCGACCGTCCATCTGCTATCCACAACACCAATTCGAAGGCATGACTCGTCGTGAGAGAAGATAGATAGTCCTCCGACACTCTGACTCGTGTTAGACACAAGGACCATCGAGGCTGGGATTTGCTCCCAGGGGACGCCGGTTGACACTTTTGACACAGCTCAGTTCATCCACCATTGACCGGTATTACCCACATATATGGGAGAACAACTTGCTAACGAATAGGACGTTGCACAGATGGCACGTTGTCAGCGGTCGTCCCCGGACACAATGTCCACATCAACCCAGCACGACGACAGTCATCCATGCCACCAACACCGAGGCAGTGGATACGCGATTTGGGACACGAGGGTATCGATGTGATGAGATTGTCACGATCATGGGTCCCGTCCCATACCGGGTCTCGGACCTTATCAATTGGCGATGTTTGGCAGTGATGGTCTTGCCTCTCCAAGACTGTGAAAGTAGCGCAGGACTCTCCGCCAAGATGGCACAACCAACAGCATTAGCCACGAAGTCCGCAGAGGCGCGGCTTGTCAAGCCAATGCAGATTCTCTCGCTTGGAATGACGAGGACAGGTATGACGCTCCCCAACTAATGTCCACCCCACACAAGCTCCGTTCTCACACAAGACGACAGGCTCCTCCTCCATAGCCCAAGCACTCTCAATCCTCGGGTACCAAAATATCCATCACGGCGTCAAGGACGTCGGGAATGCCAACGACTGGCCAGTCTTGTCGAAAGCAGCAGACTCCTTCTTTCCCAGCCTGCCGACCTACACGGGTGCGTCCTTCACCCGCGCCGACTGGGACCAGGTCTTTGGTAGATATGACGGCGCTACTGATATTGCATCCTTCTTCGCGGTGCCTCTGATGGACGCCTACCCGGAGGCCAAGGTTATCCTCGTCGAACGGGACGTAGAGTCGTGGTATGCCAGCATGGACGAGGCTATCTGGAGCACGACGTGGGGCTGGCGCGCGTTCCTGATCATGGACGTTATCGGGCGGCTCAAGGGGCTCCAGGGTGGGCTGACGATCCGTAAGATCATGCTGGGATACTATGAGGCTAGAAATGTGGGTGAGATCAGGCGCAAGGCGAGAGATCGCTATCGCAGGCATTATGAAGAAGTCAGGGCTGCTGCTCCCAAGGACCGCCTGCTGGAGTACAAGGTCGAGGATGGGTGGGGCCCGCTGTGCGAGTTTCTAGGGAAGCCGGTCCCGGATGTGCCCTTCCCGCACGCGAACAAGAGGAAAGACCATGTGGCACGGGTTGCGGCGCGGCAGAACATGTTTCTGAAGATGGTCGCATTGGGCGTGTTGAAGAAACTGTTGCCGGGTGTTGTCCTGGCTGTAGCAGCGGGTTTGGGGTATTGGGCTGGGAAGGAGAGGGGATATGGCCTTGATCTTGTCAAGAACTGGTGGAAGCAATTGTCGTGATCGACCGATGATGAATAGCACGTGCTCAGGCTCTGTTCTCACGATGTTAATTGATGTTTGAGTCCGGTGGCGAGATTCTCGACCTCCATATGTTTGTTCAGTTCGGTACAGTACCCCAGAAATTTTGAGTCAGGAACTTGATGTTATGAGAGACTCATGAGAAAGGAAGACTGGCTAGAACATCACTTCCGCAGATTTAAAGGCATTGGTCATTGGGCAGGTGGAGAATGGGTGGATTTAGGACAAAGGCTAGTACTCCTTGTGTATAGATCACATCTTGATCAAGACGACCTGAGATAGGGCAGTGAAAATTATAATACATGTGACAGAACGATGAATAATAGCTAAGGACCTGAAAAACGAGAAAGGAACTCCAGAAGGTAAGCAAGATGCTGATATTGGACCCTATGCCTTCGGAATTACACCGCGTCTCGGAACGCAAGTTTGAACGACCATATTTACAGCTCATGACCAAAACAGTTGTAACACCGCGGGGACTGGAGAATAATTTTGAAATTAGAGAGGTCTTTCTATTAGAAGAAATTACGCAGTGAGTGTGGGACCATGGCGTGGTGCTGGAATGACCTCTGATCAACCACGAAACACATGTCACGGCTCGCGCTCTGTCACGCTTCCTTGTGTCGAGTTGAAAATTCTATGCTACTCTAATTGTCAGAACATATTCCCACACAATTGTGGACAAAGCTATTCATCCCAAGCCAAAGAATTACAAAGAGGGCCCTGTCATGCAGTGGTCGTTGCCGTGCGGGCATTCATGCATTGTTTCCCCTCGTAGAAGTACAATAAAGGGTTTGTCTAGACTAAGTGACAATAATATCACAGAAGTACAGACGTATATAAATATTGCCCTCTCCTCCCATCTTCTCCCCGTCTGGGCCACCCATATCAACACAAACACCTGTTCATGTTCAGGAAGCTTTACAGACAAACCCACAACATTTTGAGAAGACTCAAGAACATGGCCAACAACACCTCCAACGATAAGGACGCTGAGATTTCGAAGTTCTTCGTCAACGAGGACCGATCTCAAGGCGTAGATGCTTTCGAGGCTGCGGACCTCGACATCCCCAACACGGCTCGCCCAGACAACATCTCCCCGCTGGCTTACACTTTTGCCGAGCAGGAGGAAGGAAAGGGGAGCTCTTTGCGTAGGTTCGTCCCAACTCCCCGAACGGAGCGCAGGTTCACCCCAACTTCCAGACCTGAGCCCAAGAGCGAGATGAAAACTCCTTCCGAGCCCCAAAAGATTCCCCGTAATGAGTGGCTCTGTTGCCAATGTGGCGTCCCTAACCCCCTCGTTGGTCCCGCTTGCTGGCAGTGTAAAGTTCACCGTGCTTGCCACAATTGTTCGGCGGCCTAGTGGCTGTTGGTTATTAGCTGTTTCGGCTGGTCAATTTCTTGAGTATTAGGATACGGCCTTAGGGAGATAGGGAGACTACCTAGGTAGGTAATTGATCCATAGTTTGCAAGTCTCAGTATTAAAGAATCATCGTGTGATATGTGCTCTTTCTTTTCCTCTTGTCCTGACTTCCTCTTGGCATAAATCTAGAATCAAACTCGCATATTCGCTTCCAGATATGACCAGTGCTCAAGATGCCTCCACCTGCGCATCATACTCCTTGCGCCAAGCTTTCGTCCACTTCAGGTATCGCTCCAGTGTGGTACCGGTCATGGAATCCGTCGTCCAGCCCGCCGCTCCTAACAATAGATCGGCAGTCCACACATATGCCAGCGCCTTGCGCCCATCCCTCAGTGTCACCACCTGTACCTCGTACAGCGGATTCTCGAAAGCGTCCAAAATGGCCCACTCTTTGGGGCTGAGTCCACAACTGTAGATACATGTTAGTGATGGATGCTGAAGGACCCAGTGGAACTTTAAGAAGCATGTCTCTCACTATATGCGACCAGGAGCCTCGGATGACTCGTCATGCACAAGGCCTGGGTATGACTGATCTGGGAGCTTGGACACACGGTAGCCTGGGGCTTTTGCGGGCTCGTGGTCGGGTACGCGGTCCAGCAGGGCAGCGATGACCTCGTCTAACAGAAGCGAGCCATAAGAAAATAAAATCGGTGCTGAGTGAGAGGGGTCAGAGGCAAGAGCTGATCTCGCCAGTGCGAAACGTTCGCTCTCGGAGGCCATGATCAGTGATGGTCTAGAAGATCTGGTGTGGTCGACTTTGTGTAGTTAAGGATCTGAGAGTTATTTGTGGCCAATTGAGGCTTGTCAATTACAAGTTAAGTATGCTCTCTTGAACCCAGTCTGAAGCACAACAATTGGTACTGACACACATCTGATTCCTCACTGTAGAAGCCTGGGACATCGTGACTTCAGGGGCTGGGTTGTTGGCAGGAGGGGAAGCCTCAGGGGGACCAGGGTTAGGCGACAGAATGGCTTAGGTAATCGATAAACGTCACTCACCAAGTTCTCTCTCTCAATCGCTGTACTGAACTTTGCCGTCTTACTCAAGCCGGATTTGGCGGGTCCAAGATCTGACTGGTTAGATGACAACAATTTCACAATGTTGTCACCATAGACAATGCAATAGCATGCCATATTACACCTTGTCCTTCACCCACTGTCATTCTCACAAAGTTTGAAGCGCCATGCCTCCCGTCCGCCTCCGCCACATCCACCTGCCCTGCTCACCATCACAGGGCATCTTCCCGAGCTATCAGACAGCAGCGGCCTTACAAGAGTTGCTGCGACGGCGTCAGCTAGACTTCCAGGATGCCGAATCATCATCACCGTCAAGCAGGGGCCTCACACCTCCTCGCCCAACTCTCATCTCCTTCACTCCACAGCCCACATACACACTCGGCCGACGACAAGCCCAGACAGCCACAGCCTCATCATCACCCACTCCCTCGTCTTTATCACCAGCCGAGATATCCCGCCTCAAAGCTCCATTCTACGTCCGCTCCTCCGCCGCACAGTCACTGCACACCCACGGCGTGGTACCGACGAGCGAGGAGAAGAACACCACCGACCCGCCAAGCGCAGAGCACATCTTCCACCCGTCCGTGCTGACCTCGCCCCGCGGCGGCCTGGCCACCTACCACGGGCCAGGTCAGGTGGTGCTGTGGCCCGTCATGGTGATCAAGTCCTCGACGCGTGCCCTGGGCCACAAGCACTTCACCGTGCGCTGCTACTCGCGCCTGCTGGAGCGCACCACCATCTCGCTCCTCCAGCGCCTCTTTGGCCTACGGGGGTTCACTACCGACGACCCGGGCGTGTGGGTGCAGACGCCGGCGCAGGGCGGGGGCGTCGACGCAGAGGTGCGCAAGATCTCGGCCCTGGGCATCCACCTCCGCCGGCACGTCAGCAGCCTCGGCGCGGCGCTCAACCTCGACATGCCCACCACGCGCGCGGCCGGCACGACGACGACCACCACCACCACTCGGGCCCGCGAGCAGGAGGCGGACAACCCGTGGGCGCGGTTCGTGGCCTGCGGGCTCGCGGGCAAGGGCGTGACCTGCGTCGAGGAGGAGCTGCGCGCGGCCGGGGGCACGGGGATCCCGGGGCTGGACTCGGAGGTGGTGGCGCGGGCGTGGGCGGAGGAGCTGGCGAAGGGGATGGAGCTGGGCGCGGGCGCGGTGGAGCTGGTCGGGCGGGACGAGGCCGACGAGCTCGTCGCGGTGGCGCAGCGGGAGGGCTACGTCGATGCGGCAAGGGGGGACGAGCTCTAGGCCACGCCAGGAAGGGGAAGGGACGTCATGGTGATTAGGTGCGTGATGCCGGTGCGTGATCAGTCACATGATGGCGAGTGTGACACGGGGAAGGATTTGGCGAAATGTTGTGGATGCCACACGATTACTAGCATTGCGAGGTGGTTTGCATGTCAGCATTTGGGACGAGATACCCGGCAAAGTAGCATATTGACCGAGGCACATGGCCCTCATCATGGTTGTCGCCCCGATCGAAGACCAATCATGTCTCAACAGCACAGCGAGGGAGGTGAACACATCTCACCGCATCAACCTCAGTCACATTTGGTCACATATATGCACGCCGTGATCGTCCTCTCACCAACCCTTGATCTGCCGAGCCGCGACATCGCCAGTGCCACATAACACCTAACACCCACAGCTCGGCACGCCGGGATCACAGCTCGGTCGAGCTGGTCGGCCGAACTACGGGGAACGTCATTAGAGAGTAAGCACACTGGCACACCGCACACAAAATGCGACACCTCACATTCACCCCTCATTCCTCACAACGTGGCAGCTGCGTGAGCCGCGACCCACCAAATCACAGCCATCGGGGTGGCCTGACTCCCCGGCCGCAGGCAGGCCGTGATAGAAAGTCCTGAAAGAGGAAGAAATAATCAGGGGGATGGGCACACCTCCCGGGTGCTGCAGCCTAATAGATTATTATGCGCAACCCGCCCATCCCATCACATCTCACACGCCCCTTATCTCCCTGCCTCTTGTCTGCCCCTCTTCCGACGTTACGCCCCATCCAATCCCCATGGACCATGGCGCCATGTCAGCAAATGGGTAGGGGGCGCAACCCGTAGGGCTTTCCCTCCCTGCCCGTCGGGCTATTGTCACGCCGGTGATTGGTTACCGGCCTCGCGGTAAAATTTTCAATCATACGCGTATGTCCCTGCCAGGCCTGCCCGCGCTTTATTGCCCCCCTCCCCCCTTCCTATGTCTCGGGGCTTGTTTCTGCGGTGGTGCTGATCACTTCCCGACAAGCCAAAGCCAGCCATCTTGCCTCCTTCTGCGGCACGTTCTGGCCAACGGGCGACGGCCCACGCATGCATGGGTTTTCTCTGGTGACAGCAGCTTCTTATTTGCTACGGAGGCGGGAGGGTCTCGAGGGGCCGGAGGTGGTGTTCCGTCAAACAGCCTGAACCGGCATGCGTCTGATCGAAAGATGCCGAACGTGCCACCCTGCTCGATCGGCCCATGGTGGCGGGTGCAACGCACGGCCATTCATTCAATTCTTTCTTCGTGGGTGTGTATGTTTTTATGAGTGCATATACGTGCATGTGTGTTTGCATGTCTCTCTTTCTGGATGGGTGTGTGTGTGTGTGTGTGTGTGTGTGTGTGGTGTGTGTGTGCACGCGCAAGCGCGAACATGTATTGGGAATGCCTCCACCCCATCCACGAACGGGGACCGCTCGACGATCCTGCATGGCAGCTGTGGATCCCAGATCTAAGCATATCTGCCACTCCCCCTGGGAGTGCCGTTCGATCCATTTGTACTGTCCCCGCTCCTCGAAGCCCCGTCCCGCGGCCCCGAAAGGCGCCCCGAAAGGGGCAAAGGCTCGGCACCGGCACAGAGCTGCAGCGATGGTGGTCAGCCCGCTCGCTCTCGGCGGGGAAGGCGTCGACGAGAGGAGGGGCGAGAGCAGGCCGAATTTGACAGTCGCAGGATTGATAGACTGCCTAGAGTCGATAGTGTCGCGCGCCCCCCGGAGGTTATCGTCGAATATAAAAACTTCACACCCCTCCCCCCTGACGTCAACAGGCTTCCGCGCAGCCACGAGGCTGGTGGTGACAGGGCGTGTGAGTGGCGGCTAATATGTGCTGCAGACATGCAGATCTGCACGCTCAGACCCTGCACTGCACTGCGCTGCTCGGTCTTAGTCTATTGACTGGCAAGACTGGCGGATTATTGCAAACAACAAATCCTTTCGCCCTGTTCTGTTGGCCGCGGGCGAAGCTCCCCTCTGCCCACGGTTCGTGGGTGAGATGCAAGGCGCGAAGACTATTAGACCCTGTCCTTGCGAGACCCGCAAATCGAGAATCCATCTGCGGGTTTGTGGGGCAACACGGGACGGGAGAGGCCGCAGCGTTGGGGGCGAGCAGGGAACGGCAGAGACGACCACTCACCAGTATGCGTCAGTCACCGTGGGTCTGCGATCTGGTGGTCGCTCGATGGAAGCCGACAGCGCAAATATTCGAGAGCCTTTTCGGAGTCTTGTAAATGGAGTTGCTTGCGAACAGGAGTGATGTCACGGCCTTCAGCCAACGACTGTTGCCACTCAGGTTTCTGTGTGCTTCTGCCCCGTGTACGCAAGCAGTGATCCTCACCCAGCCTCGACAGCCCCATCTTGAACGCGACTGCAATATGCAGCGCTCGAGCACTCGGGCGTGCAGAAGTAAGCTGCTGCCAACTCCGAGGCACGCCAGGCTCACCTGAGACAGGAAGGAGAGCACCGCTGGAGAACTATTGTATGCAGCAGATTCTTCACCGGTCTCCTGAATACGCTTAACTCCTTCACGATTTTCCTTCTTCATCTTTTGCTCGCCTCCTGGGCCTCCTTATTTGACGGAAGTTGGCCGCGTTCTTCGACCTGGTACTAGATAGCCGAGGCCAGGATCGATGCGGCCACGAGAACCGCCCCCTGCGCGTTTGGCGGCTGAATAGGAACTAGGCGGTGGCACTCCCGTGGGGCCGGAGACTGACCCCTTGATCTAGGGCCTTCACCGGCGAGGGTCCCGGCGGGCATATAATTCGCGTTTCCCATTCAAATTCGCGGCTCTTTAAGACATGCAGATGGCGTATGTCATGCATTGGCGGACGGCTAAGAAGCCGAGACCTTGACGCCTCTTTGCAGCATCCGCAAACATCTTCCTCCCCGTCCGTCTTCTCTATCGTCGGCCGCACCTTCAATAAGGCAACAATGCCAGGGACCTTTGTCTGCAAACCCTCATCGGAAGCTCGAGCAAACAAGCAAGTCGAGGGCCGCCCTTCCCCCTTCCCTTTACGCATCCCTGCACGCTCCCTGGCATGTTGTGTTGTCTGGCCGCATCAACAGGCCCCTCGAGACCAGTCTAGACGCACCCCGTCTTTGAACGCCTCGGCAGTCCGCGCTTGCGGTAGACTAGAGCCGCAAACTAATTTGCGCACACTGATCGGGGCCGGTTGTTGGTGCGCCAAAGCCTCGTGGCAGAAATGATCTGGAAGAAAAGAAGGACGTGGTCCCAAACGATTGTGTCCAGCTACCTTCCCGCTGTAACAATTCACCCGAATTCGAATGCCACATTTGCAGCCCAATAGCCATTGTGTGAACGGCCACGAATTGCTGTCCAGTATGACATGTTTTATCTGACTCTCAGAGCTCATAGTCAAATGTATCACAGAGTGGGCAGGCCTGCTGGCCCGACGGCAATCCCGTGTACACGGAAAGCAGTTCTGCCACCTGACTGGTTGAGTGATGCTGGATCCAGGGGCGTGGACAGCTTTCGACCTCTCGTACCCTCGGCGTAATCGTAATCGCAAAGTGGTTGGACTGTTTCTACAAGCCTGGGAGACGTGACGGCGACGGTCGCTTTTCAAAATAGGCAAGCCGTCATCCGCGCAACATGCTCAAGGCTAACCCCGGCTTCAACAGCCCCCTCTTCCCCTAATGGTTTCATTCCCAAAGGTCAAAAAACGACTGCTCTCCTTGGACGAAGAATTCTCGTATTTCAAGGTATGGCCGAGCGTCCCTGGTATTGGAATAGAATAGCGGCGTTGGGGAGGGCGTGCCACGCCGGAAGAATTGAAGACGGCGGGAGAGGCTCTGAGTGAGGGAGGGGGTGAGCAGTGCGGGTAAATTCGAGGAATGTGAACTCTCATGAATTATGTCGAGGGGTGAGGCGTCATGGCGTACAGTGCCGAGCTGAAAATGCTGTGGGACGGCGCTGTTAGTCGGAAATGTTACGCCATCAGATACGAAGACTTACCCCGTGCAAGAAGGACAATCCAAACACTGATGCCAATCATTCATCTGCACAAAAGTCTACAGGACTTGAGAATACAGCGAGAAAGCTTGAAAGACATTGCATATGTGACAGCTCAGACCAGGCCCAGGCTTCCGATTCAACCCCCCCCCCCCCCTGACGACGGCGCGACCGAAGGCCAGCGCCAGTGACCTGTGGGCCACGGTTACGTACATGAGATGGCGTCGCCCCCAGAGGAACCGACGGTCGTGCTGCATGATGTCTTGCACTTGCAGAAACAACAGACGGAAAATAGTGGGGGGTGAGGGTGGAGGAAGGGGAACACAAGGTCAGCGTGGTCGGGTATGACAGTCAGATGGGTGTGCGATGACGGCCAAGGATTGGGAGAGCCGAGGAGCTGGCAGCAGAAGGATTTCTCATAGCCCATCCACCATCTCATCTGGTTCGTAAAACTGCAACTGTTCAAAGTGGCAACGAAGGGAGGGACGGATCGGGACGGGGTCAGATCAGGGGAGGGAAGCGAAAGGGTGGACGGGTAGATAGGCTGGGTCGCGACATTGGGATGCGAACTCTGTGAGGCACGTCCGTTGGAACACGCGGGACCGCCGAACGAGCGAAAATCCCACGAGGCTCGCCCATGATATTGGACATGGGGCCTGAGGGTGCTGCATCGTGGGAACGCAACTGCGGGACTAACGCTGGCCTGCATGTCCAGGACGAATTAACGATACGTGAATGGCCATGACCTTGCATTGCCAGTCGAGTCTATGCAGAGCATCAACAGCTGTCTCATTCTAATTCGTTTACTGTCAGTCCTTCCATGGGCTGTACAGTAGTATGTATGTATCATGAACACGGGTGTTGGTGTTGAGTGCTGACGGTTAAACGGCTTTGGGCGATCTCTGATCCGAAGGGTTGACAGGCATCGAGACTAGCCGGCAGATGCCATGATACTACGTGCCATGCGCACTTTATGCGCGGCAGACAGGGTGACTTGTTGTCTCCTTTCT